AAGAAAGCAATAGCGACAACGACGAAGAGAATTACCGTAATTACTTCGGAAACGAACACCACGACGAGGAACACAAAAGCAGCTCAAAAGAAAGCAATAGCGACAATGACAACAATAAAAACAATAAGAATAAACACGCACAACAATCCGCGAAACCCAAAGCTATCTCACCGTCCTCCACCACTTCCAACACCCAAGAAAAAGGACATGGTCCACCCCCTCAGGATCCAAGTTCAAGGAGACCGCTTGGCAGTGGTACGAATAACATGCGTCCTGGTGATGCGGGGTATGTTGATATTGGGAATGATGAGCATGAGGAATTTGAATTTTAAGGTTTGAGTTTTGTGGTGGGTGGTGGGTGTTTGAGCATGCTTAAATAGGTAGATGAGGGTAATTCGTGGAGGGGGGGTAACGTAGTATCTATATATTCGATTGGGCCTGGACTGGTTTGATGGGAGTGAAGTGAAGTGAGGTGGTTGATGTGAGTCGGATGCTCGAGTGTAGCAATAAAGACGGGCCCGGGGTGTTTAATTCGCTGATTGTCTCACCTCCGGTGGAACATTTAAAACACACAAATCCCGCGGGTACTGCATAATAACCGCTTGATAAGTTACCGTCTACTTAAACTATGATCGTACCTTCTTTTCTTTTCTTTCTCTGTGTCATACCTGGTGCCTGACTAGCTCTAACGTCCGAGAAATATACCGCCCACAGTCATTGAGATTTGGACTGTGCAACCTGGACTTGTATAAAGGTGTACCAAGTCGAAATAATTCCAAAATTCCCAACCGGTTCGATTTCGCCACAACTGTTGCAAACTAAGTAGCCTCATTAATTCATCCTCGCAATGTCTTATCTTTTCCATGAAGATCCCGCCGCGAATAGGAAAGAAAACGACAAAGCATATTACTTTCGCAGAAGCATCGAGTATCAGTGTCGAAGGGATGTCGAATGGAGATTCTTTTCAAATCCTCTAAGGCTGGCCTTGGATATCTAAGACGATTATAGAGAGAACCTCACTCGACAACGACTGAACGAGCAAGTAGAAAGAAAATTCATGAGTTATGCTATGCCAGACAGGTCTATGTAATACTTCCCATCCTATCCCGTCCCGTTCCATCCCGTCCACCATCCGTCCGGATATGCTCTATTCCGTCGCCTTATACATTTTATTGAACTCCCCCACCGCAACCCCAATCTTCTTGTACAGAAAGTTCCGACTACTTTCCTCCCCTACCGGTATAAACGGTCCATTCGTACCGCCCCTCAGCGTCAAACTCAAGCCCGTCCTCTCCTTGCTAATTGTCTGTATGTCCTTAAGTGGGACATCCCACTCACTCGTCAACTTCTTGCTCTTGATAAGCATGATGCGGCTATACGTAAGCATAACGACTACGTCCTCGCGCGGGAGTTCCAGATGTGCAATGTACATCTCGTTGAAATATTTCCCGTTATCGAGTTGCTTGAGCCAGAACTGACCCAGTGCTTCGCGCTGCGAATAAGGGCGCACGATACCATCGGTGCCGATGAAGCGCGTGAGTCGGACGCGATCCAGGCCTTCGGCATCGAAGACGGTGGTGGTGTTACGGATGCCTTCGCTCACATTGGAGGCGAGGTCGAAAATGCCGATTGCGGGTTTAGTAGCGAAGCCAAGGACACCTTTCCCAACACCTTTGAAGAAGCCGGCCACCCCTTCTTGCTCGGCACCTTCGAGGGGTTTGCGGGCCAGTCCACCTACGCCGCTGGCGACGCTGCTGACGAATGAGTTTGCGCCGGCTGTGACGCCGTAGAGCGCATGCTTAGGACGGTTACGTGATCGCGTCATACGGCGACGGTCTTGGAATTGCTTGTCCATTGTGGCTTCTGATAAACCTTTGGCAATACTGCCAGTGAATTTGGAGAAACTGTCAGAAACACCAAAGACTGATTTCTTCACGAAACTAGTAGCACCCTTTGCGATACCAATCCCAAGCTGCTCGGGACTATCTGACATGATAAATCCCTGATACGGCTCGTAGAAGATATCTGCCACACCAGAGCTAAGATTGTTGAAGAGACCGACAGGGTTTCCAAGGAAATCTGCCGAGCCTAGAATCTTGTGTACTTGATATAATGCTTCTTGGGAGTAATGATTCGACACATTCTGCAACAAAACAGCAGCCGAAACCCGAGCGTTCTCCAGCATGAGGGCATTGAGACGAACAGGAGCATCATTGATATTGCCAATAGCCATTGTCAGGACATTCAAGAAGAACATCAATGGGTTTCTTGAAGATGTTTTGTCCTCAACATTGACACGATCTGTGCGGACAAATGACAGGTCCAACTGCATCGGCTGTATATTCAGCAGCTCGAAGTACATATCTTGACCAGCCTCTACTTGTGTTGGTTCTGGTATATCCAAGCTATCGTCACAGAGGACTCCTTCGTGGGTTTCGGACCAACTTGCGCCAGGGACCTTTGAAAATTCCAGGAGCGCGAAGACAAAGTCCTCGTCGATTTCCAAAGTCATTTGTTGTAATAAAACTGTAGCGTACTTGATATATAGCACTCCATAAGAGTCGTCCTTTACTCGAGTAACCTGAATGTGCACCGAGGGATGAGACTCGGTCTCTTTCGTATTCTTCGGCACCACACTGGGGTATAAGATCATTGGAAATATGCCGCCGTACAGTTGGTTGTCAATTTGCACCCATTTGATGCTAGCCGTGATCGTTTGAAATAGAGGCGACTCGGAATATTGAAACGATATATCGCGGAAAGTGACATACGCAAGCTCTCGCAGCTGGTGGTTGATTAGTGAGATTCCGAAGCCAGCAAGTTTAAGCTGTGCGCGGAACGTGACATTGGTATCTTGGTCTTTGACCTCGAAACCTGTAGCCACACTGGTAGTCGATGCGGACCGTGAATTCTGCTTGTACAAACTCTTAGAAGCTTTGTAGTTGGAGAGTATTAAAGTCTGAGTTGGACCATCCGCCGCGACATTCAAGTCGATGATCTTAGGTTCACGTGCTCCAGTCGCTGAGTGTGGTGCTGGGATCTTCATAGGAATCAAGTTACCAATCTCAGCCAACTTGATATGTCTCTCTTTGCCATTGGCATTGATTATCAGCTCCTTGTTCTTTGCTGCGGGATAATCCCAAGCGTAAGGCATGATGCTTCTTGGAGGCAAACGGTATCTAATTGGGCGCCAACCTGATTGATCTTCTGTATCCTCGTCATCAATGTTGGGGTTTGCCTGAAAGAACGTGAATTCCGTGTCGCTCTCGTTGCGCATAGAAAAGGGCCAGTTCTTGGTCTCTGCGCTCAGGTGCAAGAATATCGTTGCATTCTCCATCAGCACCTCCACTCTGATAAGCTTCTGCCGTTGGCCTGCTCTCGCCAATTTGATATGGGTCGTCCCAAGATCAGAGATGTTAAAGGGGGATGACCATTGATTATTCAGCCCTGGGAAACAAAGCGAAAGTTGCTTGATGGTTGACTTCTGTAGGAAATGCAACGGCTGCAATGCTTGAGGCTTCAACGTCACGAGATCAGATGATCCAGGTTCTCGGACATTGATCTCTTCATTCATCCGATTCTTGAGAACAAACCGAGGGGCTAGAGTAACAACTTTAGTCATCTTGTACTTACCCTCTCCTGCATCGACCGTGATTCCGACGTGAATTTCAGTGTTCTTGGTCGAAGATGGCAATACGACATCGACAGTACTTCCGACGGCGTCAAAACTTTGCGCTTTACTCCAATTCGATTCGCCGACCTTGAGGAGGGCACGATTGCGTTGATCGTCGGCTCCAAAAGCGAACATATAGGGCAATGCCTTTTTCTTGTCCGCGTCGGCCGAGTTTGTGTGGAAACCTTGACCGGCTGCAGTTTTTGCTTGTTGCAGAAGAGACTTGGCTTTGATATTGATCTCAAGCCCGGTTTTGTTGAGAATGACATATGGACTGTAGACAGTTACTCTGAAGGCGCCGCCGCTATCTGGAATTTTGTAGTAATGTAGCCGGAGATTCAACGCCAGCCCGTCCTTATCTTTGCAAACTAACATAGACTCCTTCCGGAAATCTTCTTGGTTATTTGAATTGATGATGGCAAATTCACTAGCCTTGAAGACTGTATCTTGCATGTCAATACTCATCAAAAGCAGATGCGAGAGCTCGACAACATGGACGGGACTGAGACCCCCTTTCCGGAGAAAGTTTGTCCAGTCCTTTTTGGTGTTTTTGTCGTAGATGCGATACTTGAAGTCGTACGGAAGAAGGTTTTCTAATTCGACAGGTGCAGAAAGGCGAATCCTCATGTAAGGATATATACTAATCATCGGTAAGCTTGAGCTATGATCTTGTTCTGCATTGATTAACACATACCTGGTGAGAGGGTTGCTCCGATCATAATTAGCGTGCATCTGGAAATAGAAAGGCGGCGTCTGCTTGTCCTGTTCGCCCTTGCACATCAAGGTTCTTGTCGGTCTTTTCAGAAGGTCTTTCCAAAACAAAGATTCTGATGACCAAGTGTAGCCAAACCCTTGATCTGGTCTGACTAGTAACGATTTCATGAAAGCTGCACCTACAGGAGCTGGACGGCTCTCCCCAGGGGCGATCTTTTCAATCTTCAGTAAGTGGCCTTCTTGTGCATCAAATACACCCATCTCGACCGGAATTTGAGTCTTGTTTTCGACCAAAAGTGGGGAGCGGAATGTAATGTACTTCACGTTGTCCGTCCCTAGTTCGACCTCCACCAAGAGTCGATGCAATATCTGCTCCTTGCGAGGGCGAAGGTTGTAAATAGCCTCCCCTTCGCGATTGACAGGTATCTTGTTGATACTATCAAATCCACTTCCTTCAAGTCTAATCCCAACAACTCCACTGTTGTTCTCAGGGGACAGATTCTCACGCATTTTCTCCCAGTCTTCAAATCGCCACGGTGCCTCTTCGCCATCTTCAAGTTTGGCCGCCATCTGATTATCCTGGCTAGAGACATCAGCCCAGACATTGATCTCAAACCCTGTATAGTTTCGGATTCGATAAGGTGCTTCTTGTCCTCGTGGCTTAGATAGTACATCCTCTTCTTGCGTCAGGAACTGTGCCGACTTAGAGGCAAGAGCAATCGAAGCAGATGTGACCGTCAACTCCAGCATCTTTGGGGATGTAAAATCGACAGTCAGGCATTCTGGATTTGTCTGCTTAGAGATTTGCATGCCCAGTTGCCAAGGCTCGACAAGAGGTTCCCAAGCTGATTTCGAGAAGTTGTAGATATTGATGAACATATCAATGCTCGTGTCTGCCTTCAACGTGCTCGTCCAATCAGTGGCGGTAGTCGTGAAACTCTTGACGCTCATGTCCAGAATTGGTAACTCGTGAAGATCACCAATCAAAATGAGCCTCATACCATCCAGAGTGGCAGTAAGCTCCTCGTGCTTTCGTACCACTTGCTTTCCGGCAGCTTGGTTACCCGAATGAGGTGCAGCCATAACAGACTTGCTCTTTTTCACCGTAGTTCCGGCCTTGCCGCTTGCTGTACGACGCTTGAGACTGCCAGTGTTACTCTTAAGCTGTTTAGCCTTGACATCGGAAGCGGATGCTTTCTTCTTATCACCGTCATCGCCAGATCCAGTCAGCTCTGACGCCTTACTGACAATTTGAATTGCAAGCAGAATATCGCGTAGAGACAAGCGTAGTACTAATGGCTCAATATCAAGGTGAATGCTACTTGCATCGGGTTTTGTTTCCATGGACATTTGCATGGAAAAGTCGTCAAGTACTCTCAGGCGAGTATCTTCAAAGCGATCCATTCTGCAGAGGAACATACCCATTTGCATGACCTGTAAAGTCAGGGCGTGCTGCTGTGCAATCAAGATCTGCTTTGTTCCGAGGACAATGGCCTCGGAACTAGAGCTCAGTGGATTGGCAATGAGAATGACCTGTGCGTTAACGACATTGACCCTAAACGCAATGCTCATTGATGACTCTCCTGGCTGAGCTGAAGTTTCAGTAGGACTGGCGATGGTATTGGCTCTGGTCGAGAGAGGCGGTCTCAGCGAGTCAGTCTCAGATTCAACCGGAGACCCGATTGTGCTTTCATCTTCCTCCGGTATCACTGATTCCTCGACGGCAAACCCTTCAGTTACAAAGGCCTGAATGGCGAAGAGATAGTCCAGGGCAAAGATGATACGAGGGCTGTCGACGGCAACAATGGCAATTAAGTTGCGTTCCTTTCCACCAGAGATGGTCACGCTCGTCATAAACTGCTGGACATCCTTGTTCGAAGAAGTCATGATCTTTCGAAACTTGTTTGTTTCTTGGGTTCTGCTGTCTTGGATTGTGAAGGAATGAATCGAAAGCTCGGATTCCAAAGATCCATCAGTCATCATCCGTAGCTTCACTTTAGTATCATCCAGGGAGAACTTAGACAAACTAGACGCCTCAAGATTACCAACAGGCTCATCTTCCTTTGCTAAAATTAGCTCGAGGCCGATAGTGTTGACGTGAAAAGAGAAATCAAGGTTCGTCCAAGTCTTAGAGTCAACTCCAAGCTCTGGTCCCAAGTCCACAAGAGCGTTGTTACTATCACTAGGCTCGTCCTGCATAATAGTCCTGGCCTTTTGTACCGTTGATTTCGGGACATCGTCAACAGCGTCGTGCTCGTCCGCGTCTGGGTCTGCTGTAAAGGCCGCCGGGACGGACCTGGCAAGCTCCAGGAGGAACTTCAGTTGGGTCTGTGTGATGCGCAGATTGAAGTCCGTCATGCTTCCTTCAATCTCCATATCAGGTCTCTTAGCGTCTAGCGTATGCTCAGCATAGGTCATCTGGAATCCGAGATCCACCTTGTCGATAAGTTCAAGCTCTTCGGTCTTGTCGTCTGAGAAATGGAAGTCGGATGTGAGACGAATATTACGGATTCCAGCCGAGAGCTTCATTGCAATCTCAGAATCCTTTGAATCGTCCAATGGTACAAACTTGTTTTCGGCATAAATTTCTCCCAGGTAAGCAGTTATCAGGTCATGTTTCGATTGGCCTGCAACCATGACCCGTGGAAAGACGACGATAGGTGTCTTGATGTTAATATCGAACTTTATACGACTTGCATTTCCTTGGATCTGGGAGGCCTGATTCGCTGCCGCCTGTCTTGCGGCATTGAAAAGGGCTTGCATCTTGCCGAATTTGACTAGGAACTCAATGATCTTCCTGAAAGGTTCTTCTAAGAAGTTCAACTTGATGGAACCAGCGCGAAGATATATCGAAGAATCGTAGCCAGGATAGGCATTGCCACCTTCAGGGTCGAATGTCTCATAACGGAAATCTGCCAGATCGTCTCCCTGGATTGTAATGAGCTTTCGAAGGCTGGAATCAGTCGAGGCGCCTTGATTTATGTCGTCAAGCAGACTCAGGTCACCCAACTTAGCTCCGATTCGTAAGGTCTTCCCCATGACGAAAATGCCAACATCAGCAGCATTGAGAGAAAGTGTAGCTAGACGAAGTCCGTCGTTGTTGAGTATGAGACGAATACTTTTCAGATCAATTTTGATCCTAATTGAGCTTGCACTGGAGTCATTGTCCTTGACAACTTGCTGCTCCTCGTTCTCGATGTCCATTATTTCTTTGGGTGCAGGAGTGGCCCCGCTAGTTGCCGATTCATTGTTTGTAAACGTGACCAAGATGAAATCAAGGAGTGTGAGGAGAGTTTTTCTGGTCACGACCAAGTTAATGGTAGATAAATTGACGTCGATATTGATTTCCACGCCCTCATATTTGGACATAAATTCCGGTGAGCCTCTGTTGACCTTTATCAAGTTTACGTGGATCAGATCGTTTTGAGTCTCTGATTCAACGTCACCCGATGAGACGATCGATTTAAATTCGGCAGAGGGATTGTCAACGCAATCGTCAATGACCAGAGACTCCAAGGAGACGTCAATGATCAAATCGTAAGGACGAACGCAGAGGTCCAGGGCGAAATTATCAGCAACAAGTTCCACCAGCAGTTGATCTGGCTTCTTTCCTTCAGGATCACTCCTGAAAAGCGAGCCCTGCAAACGATCAACCTCGAATTTGAGTTCAAAATTGCGTTGTTGAATCTTGAGATCGTCATTGGGGCTACCTGTCGATGCATCCTCAAACTCGTGTTCGTCGTCGTCATCCGACTCATCCTGAATGACAATAGCTTCTTGGGTTGAGAACTTGAACGACGTAGATGCATCGCGCTGGTTAGTTTTGTCGAGTTTGTTGGAGATTGAGCTTTGCGCACGAGGCCGGGCCACCGCTTTTTCTTGGGCGGACGACTGGCTAGGCTCGTCTTCTTTGTCCAAATTTGGAATGGCAACCTCAATTAGTCGCATCAGACTTTTGTATTTCTTGTCTGATACCGAAGCATGGAGAATTGGTAGATGTCCTGAAATCCGAACCTTTGTGAGGTTTGGTGCCTTCGGAATGATTGAAGTTTCGACTGTGAAATCAATGTTGATCTTCTCGACAATATGCATCGACTTGGTGTCGTCCCTCTTCTCGAGTTGTGACTTGGTATCCTCAATTGAGGGACCAATTAGGACTTGGGTGGAGGAAAGCTTGACCAAAAACTTGTCGTACATCAATGACTCGAGGCGCTTGAAGTCCTCATCAGTATAGGATTGTCTCTGCTTTGCCTGAACTTCTTTCATGGTATCCTGATCGACGAGTTGGCTGTTGACACTGATATGACCAGCGTCTAAAATCAGACATGTCGTCGATTTCGAAGTTATGCTTTCAGGAACAATGATCAGAGGAGCTTGGAGATCCAGCTTGGCATTGAGAGTCTTGTGCTCTTCCAGAGCGAACTCGAGCCCGGCTCTAGTTTGTTGGCGTAAGCCTTCTACGGTCGCACCAGCCGTTTCCATGAGTGCCCCAATGGACTCCATGTGTCTCTCGGGAGGTTTGAAAAATTGTATTATGCCAACGAGGAACTGTGGATTCCATATGATCTCGAGAGGCTTCAGCTTGCCGGTAAGAGCTAGATCGCTGGCGCCATCCAGGGGGTTTTTCTCAAATTGGAATTGGAAGAAAGGATCAACAACGTTCTCTTCCTCGTCATCTTGCCCGTCTGTCAAGGCTTTCTGTGTTGGCGTATCTGGCGCATCTTTCACGCGCACAATCTGAGGAAATAGACTGTTCGGTGTCGTACCGTCATTGACTCTCAAGCCATTGAGGCTGATATCGGCCAGGAAAGATTCTGGTCGTTGAAGAAACTTTGCACGGAATCCATCAAAATAGAGACTAAGAACTTCGACGACGTTATCATGGGGATCGCGTTTGAGTGTAAAACTGCCGGTGTTCAGAGATGCATCGACTTGCATTTTGACGGTGTCTTTCGGTAAATCAACACTTTCGGCAAGTGCATTCTTTTCGTCCCAGTCAATAGCATCATACAGCTCTTGGCGTTGCTCCTCAGTCATTGTAGTCTCTGGATCAGCCTCCTCCTCCTCCTTGGGCTTAGATCCCCACGCCCAAGCGACCCAGCCTTGATTTTGTTTAGCTGTCTCAGTCTTCTTGATGCCAACATTCTCCTTTTTCAGCTGGTTCCTAGCCAGTGATCTCCAGAAGCGCATGTCCTCGTAATCAAGCTTCCACTCTAGCTTATCTAGTTCGCTGACTTCATCTGGTGTCATCTGGTCTGCTTGCTTCTTTTTCTTCTTGAAAAGTTCAATATAGCGAATTCTATTGTCCCTCCTTTCTTTAAAGAATTCCCATGACCATCTCCGATTTCGGTCATGGATCTTACTCAAAATTGCATTGCCAGCGAATTTTAGCCATGCTTTCGGATCCTCCTTGGGCGATACACCTTTTGGCTGTAACTTTTTGTACTCTTGGTGGCGAATGAAATAGTGGAATAAGTCTACCATCATGAGTGCGTCTCGGTATTGATCATCATCAAGAACAAGTCCAATCTCGTCGAAAATCAAGCCAGCCTTTATATGTGGTCTATCCAACTTCCCGGATTTATCGATGGCGATCTTTGCCTGCCCACTGACAGGCTTCAAAATAAATTGGTGGTTCCCGGTTTCTGGGTCTTCGGCTCGCACAATCATCTCCTTGAATTTTGATAGCATTTCCTCATGTGAAGCAACAGATGCTCCGGCAACCTCTGCCTCTCTCCCAGTCCCTAATAGCGAGGTATCCGTATTCCAATAAACAGCAAGTGCACCTAAAGTGCCAAGCTTGTGTGTAGGTCCAGCCGTGTCTTGTATGTACGTAGGCTTCCATTCTCCATCTGTGCTCACTGCACTGAATTCTTCGAGAGTTAAACCAAGGGCAAAGGGATGGCCAGGAGCCGAAATCGAGTCTTCGTAGCGGACGTGGATATTCTTGACTTTGATCTGGAGATTGTCGACAATTTTGGTGACCAAGCTGTCCGTGAAGCTTTGACTTTTCTGCTGTTCCTCCTGGCTCATGCCTTCTTGGTTGCGGTCCTTCAACATCTCAGCACTGTCCAGCTTCTCAATCTTGACTGCCTGTCTCCGTCGCTCCTCTTCCTCTTCGTCATATTCCGCATCCTCCTTCGGGGCAGCAAGGAGGAAGACATTCTCAATCTCAACCTGCACAGGCTGTCCTCGCAGATTCGACCACGGGATTTTCAGTGTGAGTTGACCCAGATGTCCTTCCACTACATTTATAGGCAGCTTCAGTTGGTCGAGAGCTTCTCGCCGTAGCTCTAGATCTCGTAGCGTCACATCGCCTCCCCATATTCCCACTTTCAGTTGTCCAGGATCGAAGTTGCGGATGTACATGCCCAAGAAGCGGTTAAGCAACGAGGAAACAAGACCTTCCAACATCTTGGCTAGTGGGCGCCTTCACCCTGGCAGGGTATCTCGCGATCAAGGTTTTCGAGAAGGCGTCGTCAACAGCATCGAGGAGTACGGGTCGCGCTCTATCGCGGGGGCAAAACGTGTTCTCGTTCAGGTCATCAGATCATTACTTTCGTACAGTTGTTCGGCACTCGTGGAAGCAGCGAGTTAGGAGTCGTGTCGTGGCAAACGAGACGAGGAAGGAGGAAGGAAGGGGTGCTTGCTGTAGGTGGATCAAAGTTCCCCCGCCAGCTGAGGCGCAGTTGAAGTTGGCAAGGACGATCCTCGAAGTCTTCACTTTGCAGGCAATAAGTTTTGGTTGAAGATCTCAAAGATGCATATGTGTACCTATCTGCCTATGTATTCTTCCAAGCAAGTATGTACGATCTCTCATACGAAGTATCTGCCTACAGCCTTGTAACCAACCCAGCCAACAAATAGGTGGGTTGTGCCAGCTCCACAACATTTACTAGGCTCGGTTGGGCACAGGCGGCTGTGACGTAGTTGTGCTATTAGCTGAGCTTGCTATTTTGGAATGGGAAGGGGAAACTGAAGTCCTTCCTTTTTCCTCACTTCACCATTGTGAATAACCTGGTTCACTGCCTCCAAGCTGTTATTCCAGTTGAGTTTGTGCATTCCAACGTCACCAATTGGCTCTTATAGGTCCAGATTTGAGATACAGTAGTACAACAACAACCCCTCGGATTGCGGGGAAGCTTGAGCGCTCTACTTGTTATCTCAGCTGCGATCAATCAACAACACAATGCTCCGCACAACAGCCACGCGATCACTCGTAAAGAACTTCGCAAAGGTCCCAACGTCGAGATCAAGCTACTCTGCAGCTTCCGCCACTTTTCGAAATGCTGCTCCTCGACGCCAATTGAGCAATAAACGGCCCCAGGTCCTCGCTTCTTTGCCCCGTTCCAACACAGGCGCAGCTCTGTTTGCAACCAACAAAGCAGGACCACCCTACGACAAGATCGATACGAAATCAGAGAAAAAAGTAGCAGAATCGAAGCTTGAACCACATCCTGAGGCTGTCTCGACCGCATCTTCAGCTATTCCCGTTTTCGATCGCGGTCACAAAAAGGAGGATGACGCCGACATGATGGCTGGCATAAAGTCAGATGTGAAGACTATAAAAGAAACATTCTCCCTAAATGAAGTCCCTAGAGAGTCTTTGTATATCGGCGCTGCTGGTGTTATACCATATGCTGCCACCTCCCTCTCAACCGTGTATCTGGCTTGGGATATTAATCACGCCCATGCCAATGGTACGGGAGTTCTCTTCTCTCCAGAGACGGCTCATCAACTGCTTGAGTTGATTACTCCAATTCAAATTGGATATGGCGCAGTGGTAAGTACCCTTATGGCCCATTACAAGCATGTCTAATACTCATCAGATTATCTCTTTCCTCGGAGCCATCCACTGGGGCTTGGAGTATGCGGGATATGGTGGATACCACAGTTATCGTCGATACATGTATGGAGTTATTGCACCAGCAGTTGCTTGGCCTACAATATTCATGCCGGTAGAATACGCCCTCATTACACAATTTCTGGCTTTCAACTTCTTGTACTTCGCAGACGCGCGTGCTACAGTGAAAGGATGGTTCCCGGCCTGGTACTCGACCTACCGATTTGTGCTGACGTTCTTCGTTGGTGCTTCCATCGTGGCAACCTTGGTTGGCAGAGGACAGATTGTGAGGGCGGATCACTCTCTCAAGAGCCCCGTGGACTATATTAAGGGTGACAGGGATGCTCAATGGGAGGCCCTTGAGCGTGAGGAGAAGGAGAGACGTTTAGCACTAGAGAAGGAATCCGAAGAAGAAGATGCAGAGGCAGAGGAAGGAGGTGAGGAAGAGGGTAAAGATGAGGGTAAAGACGAGGAGAGTAAGGAGAGTAAGGAGAGTAAGGGGGGTGATAATGACAAGGAGGCAAAATAAGTTCGTCTTGAGATGGCATGTTTCTCGACTAGCTTTTGCGTCGCGTGTATCCTTATGTAATTCCCAGAAGTCTTTTATACGATTGTCATAGCTCAAAGCCTCTGTTCTGCAGAAAGATTTGTCCAGCTGCAGAATTGCCCAGTTTATATCATTCGATAGTTATCGTAATGGGTTGAAGTTTGGTGGAGGTCCAAGTATCATACCAAAAAGTCGGGCCTTCAAATTGCAGCAGCTGTTTAAAACGGAACGACGAAGTAGGCCTCGCTAAAACCGGACGATTATATACGGAGGTATATACATTATCCACCGTGTGGCGGAAGCAACTTTCAGCTCCATGTCGAACCGAATCTCACAATTTCACCCGGTGCATTTTACAAAACCCTTCTCTGTGCAACTGTACAGATGCAAATGCTAGGCCAACGGGTCCTGCAACACAACCTACGTCTTCACATTCCCAACTGACGATTCGATTTCGGTTTTCGCTTCCAGCGTATCTCTCCTCCAACTAGGTACCTACCCAGACCCGAATCCGTAGAATCCCTCGTCGTCGTCTTGGACGCAAGCCTCGACTAAAATCGAATTCGGCCCCGAAGACTTCATAAAGCGTGGCTTGAAACCGCGAATTCGGCAGCGATGGCTGGTGGTTGATCGCTTTGGCTTGAAAGAGGGGGAGGATATGTACCATCGTCCCCGGCGACGTATCACACCGGCAATCGAGGGCTTCTTGGCTTCGATATAGAAAGAGAGGGCATACAAACAATTCCTCCTTTCTTCGCTGTTCGGTCCATTTCTGCTGGGCTTACGCTCAGATATATAGAACTAGAGGCTAGGTCGAGTCCTAAAGGATGCATCGCTGCGACGAAGGCCTAAGAGGATTTCTTCGCTTTACCTCTGCGTAGTATTTGATGGACGCCAGCATCCTCTCGCCCATCGATACTGCTTCGGACACGGCTTATCAACGAAGAGAGAACAGTATGTTCCTGCGGTAAAATACATTCAACTGATAGTCTTTAAGGGATCGCTTCTCTATGTAGAGGATGGGCTGAACGGCAGAGCGGGCTGAAGTTGCGTTGCTGAAGGTGCGCGAGGCAGATTCGAGCCGTTCATTCTTATCTCCTCATTTCGATATATTGTATGGAATGAAAGAAACTGTCTAGAGAGCACATGGTACGCTCCTTATCTATGAAACAAGAGGCATAGAAGAGATGGTGCGCGTGTACATCTCATCTGATCGAAAAGCAAAAACACCATCTTCGGCACACCTTCCAAGATCTACCCCTCCATCCGACATCGCATGCAAACAAGCACTCAGCTAACCTCTCAAAAGCATTCCCTGCTGCAAATCGCACACCGACACCCCCTCGCCCACTGCTCACTTGTCCCCTTACCCAAAGCGGTCCGTCGATCACTAAATAAAGTTCTCCGGCATGATAATAACCTGCTGACACACCCCGCATCTCATACGATTTCTCCTCTACAAGGCAGTCCTAAGCCCGGCACATCTAATTTATTTGCGCGGGTCAAGCGGTACTTTTCGTCATCTCTAATTCCTCGCACACACAAGTTTTTTGCCTTTTTTTGTTTTACCAAAGCCAGGTCATTTGTATATTTTCGTTATCTCCAGCCTCTCGCACGGAATCAGAACCGGGTCATCTCTCACTTCTGACTGTAAAAACTGTATCCGCAAGTAAGAAAGTATAATTAGTTTTCACCTGGTCTATTTGAATAGCTGATCATGAGTAAGACGCTTTGCTTGAATGCGACATAGTCGGGCGCTGGTGCTGACTGACTTGCCATGCATGCGATGCGATGCGATGCTCATCCCGGGAACATCGGCGGCAACTTGGACGACAGACGTGCAATCACACCAGCACCAGCAGCGCTGTTGGTTGATTGACGTTGTACTTTTTTAGTTTAAAGTGCTACGTTTCCCTTTTCATGACTCAGTTCCTTGCTTGTTTCTTGCAAACGTCCATTGAAGAGTTTTCTTTGTGCTGATATATACTGGTGGTGAGCGCACATACTTGTATTGTTTCAAAGGTTTTGAAGAGCCATATCAATATCTGCAGTGCTTACTACTACTACCTACCTATTGTACTGTACGAGAATATCTTTACCTGTACTTCAAGTACCGAAGTACATATCCATCACGTGCCCACCCCCCGTTCTACAAACATCGGGTCGCAACCAGCATAATGCTATATCTCCATCCGTTCCGCTCCACCTCCACCTCCTCGTCTCTCTCCTCCCGACGCTCTCGCTCTCTCTCTTTCTCCCGCTCCCGTTCCTGTTCTCGCTCTCCCTCGCCCTCACCATCCATGGCCATATTCCCCTCTACGAAGAAGTCCCTAGTCACAGAAACCGACGCCGAGTGCTGGGAACGCATGCTGCTGTTACAACAAGAATACCACTGCTATAATTCGGCCAGGTTGGAGGCTGCGGTTGAGGCGTTGGAGATGGGCGTTGCCTTTGAAGAGGTCCCTATTCGTAAGTTTGTTCTGTGTCTTTGATTGATATGTACGGAGGCTGATGATTTGAATAGCTTCGAGGTTATGTTTGGATTTGTTGAATGAGGGATTGAGGGATTGGATTAAGGCTTGTAGTGAGGGCTTAGTCTATTTATAGGCTTTCCGAGGGGTTCTGGAATTCTTGTTTGCGTTTTTGGCGGGGCGTTGGGGGGTGCTTCTTGGTGATGGAAGAACTTGGATGGAAGTAATTTCTTTGATATCCGGCAACGGATTTGTTGCGCCATTTGGCAAGCGCAGTGGAGATTGATTAACATTACCTATTCTCTTGTTGAGAGAGAGACTCCAAATAGTCTCCAAGTCTTTTAGCGTGGCGTCTGGGGGAGAATACGCACTTTAATACCCGCCATTCCCATAGGTCTTTATCCTATTTTATTTCCAAGACATCAATCTCTCTCAGCCTCGCCTTCCAAACCGCGACGTGCAACAGAAAACGCCTCTCTCGCACCAAAACAGTAACCAGGCCAGGATGCGACTTGCAACAAAACATCATCTCAAAATTACGAAATGCGACAAAATCTGGTTGCCAAGACATTAATTGCCCAATGCGGCAAGTCCATCACAAGTGACCAACCAACTGCTTTTAAACCCGAGGTTAGGGGAACTACGGAGAGAACTAACCCTTATCGCTTGAGAGATATAGGTTGTGATGAAATGGTTGATGAAGTCTTATCTGAATATCAAATAATGGGAAATATTTCAATAGGTGTGATATGCACGAATAGTCTTCTTTAAATAAACGTCACGGAAAGTTTTGCGGGAGTACGGAGGGATGGGACCAAGCGCAGATTTGGAGGCTATCTTTATCTGTGGCTGATCAATACTCCGTCCGTAGTTGTCCGAATTATGTCTTTGATTTATCTGCCCCGCAATGGCTTTATACAGAATAACCTAAGTGAAAACAAACCTGCTTTTGGGAATTGCGAAGTGCAGCAAGAGTATACATTAGGAAAGTGACACATGTGATTATTTATTTTCAAGGATAGGGTGGTAGAGGACACCTCGAAAGGAGTTTTTGCTGCATTTCGCACTGCTGGCGGGAGATCTACAGTTCTGCTTTTTGTCTTCGGCAAAGGCCCAATGGCTGAGGGGTTTACCTGTTCGCCAATGTACGGAGGAAGGGGTAAACGTTGACTTCAAGTTTGAGATTGAGGCTCAGGTAACACGAGCACGGGTTTGAGGAATGTTCGTCTATCTATCGATTGGTTCATCGCAGATTGTACTTTCGGGCCGGGGTGGATTGACAGAGACGGCCTTTGGGAGTAGCACTGCTTTGAAGAGTTCCTTAAAGCATAATACGTCGTCTATCATGAAGCGTACTTTAGCAATCTAACTCACTAAGCTAACTATAGAGGCAACTAAGGACAAAAGAAGATGGTGATGTTGCTAGAAGGCACAGAAAACGGCTAGAGATAAAGCATATCTAGGCAGGGAACTTCCAAGATAAATATCACATGCTGTTTGAGAGGAATCGTAATGGTGACAGCAGGAGAAAGAGTAAATCTATTTCCGGCATTTGAAAGATATCGACGGGGTTTATGAATTGCAAAGCTCTCTTCACTAGACGACTTCTTTGAGATACCAAATAATCAGAAAAGTAGGACAACATGATTTCATGTTGGAGACTCGAGCAACATTTCTGGCCAATCGGAACACGTGATTTTCCCAAGCAAGTATCCCTGCCGTTCCTGCTTTCTTCCTTCTATTTTGAGCGTTCTTCTTGATCTCGACATCTACTCCGTTCCAGAGCTTGTGGTTTCCCTCCTCTTTCGTATCTCATCCAATTGAACTATCCTGGAATAGTGCGTGTCAATGTTCTTCCTTCCATGCCTGGTGGCATCTTGAACGGCAGCCGCGGCGCGTTGCAGAGTCTTCATTATTGTCTCCATGATCAAGTCAGGCCTCTAATCCTGATCCAAAAGAAGCCGTATGCATACACACAGACCAACCGTTTTCGGGTCCATCCTTTCAACACCTCTTGGCAGCGGGTCGATGCATGGCAGCCATGTGCTTGATTAAGAAGCTAGCCATGTAATATCCAGGGGTCCCGACGACGGTCGATCTTGGGCATCATCTTCATATGACCTTGGGCTCATCAGTTGATCCGAGGCTGGGATCTGGGAGAGTGCTTGTTTGAAAGTCCAGCTTGATCGGTTTGCAGTGTCTTTCTGGTACAACACACTTGGTACTCCCATTGGGACCCCTAACATGCGTCATGTCACCAAATGAGGAGAAAAGCTACGAGTTTACAAGACGCAATGTAAGATTTTAGTATCACAGAGCTAGCGGGGGTGGCTCCAACAGTTGTACAATACGCCTTGCTGATCCGAGCACTTTCAATTCCGGACGAACCATATCAGTGGGCTGCCATTTCGTTTCGGTCTCCTGTGAAGCCTCAGCTATTCCTTTTGGCATTGTGCATTGCAAGAGCCGGCTCGTGGCCTACCATATCCTAAATCAGAATTGAAAGATACGATAGTTCATAGACAGAGCGTCATTGTTCCCTAATTGGGTACCACCAGGCTATTGGGTGACTGGCGGAAGAATAGACTATTCTGACAGCTGTGCAGGAAGATCTACAACGAAACAGCCGCAACTTTTCAAAGGCACAATATATTAAATGATACTGTACTCCTATCCGGAAGATGATAGCGGCAGAAATGCTCCGTGGCGAAGCTGATAAAGGCTCGGCCCGACGAATAGCTTGTTTTCTTGTGAGCAAAACGGTGTTTTTTGTTCAATGACCTGTACATGCTTGCTGGCAGGCGATGAGTTAGACTCAACTCAGTCATGGCGTCTGGTACACCAGAGTTCCCAGACAAGCAATTTTGATAAGGATGAGAAAGGCGCGAGATACAAGTGAAGTAAGTTGTCACACACTAAAATCCGAAAATATCAAATGCCAATAATACCATACCATACCATACGATCCATACTGCATGCAAAGTCAAGAAGTACGAGTACGGAATAGTTGTATGTAGATATGTACGAGTAGCTACTTGTAAGTAATATTGGGTACCCCACTCCACCCTACCAGGGCTGGCTGCCTTGCCCCTCTGATAACCATCCCATCCTACCCACCATCCCGCGTCGTGGGTTTTACTGTGATTGATGTCCTGATTGCAAGGATGCCGATAAAGCAAGCTTTTCTTTTTGGACCGTCTGAACTTGTGCTGACGCCTACTGGGTTAATTGGATTGCCCCAAGAGGCCAAGCTTTGCCCCAGATACACCATGCATTTCGCCTGTACGGAGCATTATCCGTACTCATTCATTTCTTGTAAACCTTATCGACTCCTCTAGACTTGACCTTGTCCCAGTCAACAAAAGGCCTCACGATCCCCTTTCGCTCACGCTTGGGTGGGAAAGCATCCGACAGGAAAGTGTTTGGTTGGTGATCTCTCATCTCATCTCATCCTATCCCACGCCACGCCACGCCCTTATCTTTTATCTTTGAGCGCAACCCACCAATCAGGACTCGCACTACTGAGTACGACTACGAAGTATAGTAACTTTGGACGTGAACGTGAACAGAACGTGGGAATTGGATGATCGACGGTGGAGATGGATTATCGACGGAACTCACAGGTTCTAAATAAGCAACAGCAGGCTACTGTTAATCCCCATATATACTCCAGCTTCGCAGGCACCGCGCCTCCACGCATTACAAATGGCATTGTGCTCGAAACGCCGACCATGTGGTGGGATGAGGAACGCATCGAAGCGACAGTCACTCGCCAATTTGTCTTGTCGAACCTACGACCCGACGAACAGCTACGATTAAATCAACCGCTAGGTTTCGGCGATGGCTTGACAGACGATACTTACATAGAATGGATCGAGGAGAAGGCCAAACGCATCTTTCTAGTCTTGGTCGACCTTGGAGTTCCGGACCAGATATTCGGCATTATCGATGATTCTTGGGACGACGATGATTTGCCTGTGCCGCTGGATCAGATTGAACGTCTTCGCCTGACCAAAACCAAAGATGAAAAGCTCGAGAGAAAGTTCTTTCAGCGACAGTTCACTTATCTTTTGAGGAATATTCAGAGAGGCGAGCTAGTGGTCTACGATGATGATGAAGTTGTGCCCCTGGAGTTGGCTGAAAAACGGCCGGTCGGGCAGATAGCAGGACTCACTCAGAGCAACTTTGACAAGGTGCACCTCCCTGGAAGATCGGATGATTTATTCCTACGTCGCAAAATCCCTCTTGGTACCACAGCAGGTCGTATGCCGAAGGAAGAGTTTCTCTCTGGCGTCGAAGCTATGAAAGTCATTGAGCATGACCATCTCACGTGTCTTTGGGGTTCCTATATCCATCACGACTCTGGCTACCTCCTCCTCACGCCTGCTAACGATAGCACCTTGAAGTCCTTCTTCAATGTGACGCCTCAGTCCATCAAGATATTAGCAAAGCAAGACCGCCGGCTCCTACTTTTGAACTGGATCCATTGTCTCGCCGATGGGCTTGCTTTCCTGCATAGCGCAGGCCTATCCCACAGCAATATCAGACCCTCGAATATTATGCTGAATGACGAGAATCACATTTTCCTGGGAGATTGTTCAATATTTCCAACCTTGAATCTCATTGGCGAAAAAAGGGGATTCGATAAAGAGTCCTACGATTATTCCGCTCCTGAGCAAGCTGCACGTCCCCAAGCCCCAGCTCCTGTCATCTTTCCAAACGTCCGCTCAACCGTCAGAGCATCAACTATCAAAAGAACCTCTGGATCCAGCAATAGTAGTTCCGCCCACTCGGCCGGCTCCAACGGAAGAAATCCTACTTTGCCTTCAATACTTACAACCAACGATACTTCATCAATCCATACTTCATCCACCGGCTCCAATTCGGCAACTTCTCCCATCTCCCCCACCAACAAAACAGACAAGCATTCAGGGGGACCTATGAAGTACGACCCCCAGAAATCCGACGTCTTCTGTCTAGGCACCATCTTCCTCGAAATCCTCACCTTCCTCCTCAAACGCGCCCAACGCAACTTCGCCTCGCACCGCTCCGCCAAAAACAAAACCCCAGGACGCGGCGGCGGCCTCCCCGACGCATCCTTCCACAAGAACCTCGGGCAGGTGGAAAGCTGGATCGCGACTCTCAAGAAAGATGCCTCGAAGAAAGAAGACCGCATCTTTCGCGGCATAACCCCAACCCTCGAACTCATCGGGACAATGATCTCCCCCGTCCCCGAAGACCGCCCCACGGCACAGCAGGTGCAAGAACGGCTCAACATCATCCTATGCGTGAAATGCGGGCTGGGCCTGCCTCCCCCTGGCTCAAAGGAGAAATCAAAGGGCCGCATCCACTGCGAGTCCCGCAACCTAGATCCGCACCGCGAGTCGAATTTCGATTTCGACGAGATGCGCCTGGCGTCGCAACGCGCCGCCGCTGCGGCCTGCGCTTCCGTCGCGCCGATCAGCAAGCTCAGCGGTGTCAACGAGGACGATATACAGGTCATCTACGGCATGACTATGGATACAGTCGCGACGAGCCCACTTGCAACTTCACCTCCCCCACCACCACCATTATCACCGCAGTTGGTAAAAAGGGAAAAGTCCAATAACAGCGATAGCATAAGCATTACCACGAAAACGAGCCGCAGTAGCGAGGGGAAGAGCATGAGCCGCATGGGCAGCGTGAGTGGGAGTGGGGGTGGTGATCGGAAGGCGAAGAGCAAGGCGAAAGCGTGGCAGGCGCCTGTTTACGCTGGTATGTTCAACCCTTCCTTACCTACCCCTTTTCTAGCCGAATACGGGATTCAGAACATACTAACGTAATATCATGTGCGTAGAAATTAGCTTCGGATGAATAATCATAGTGTTTCGAATCCTATGCGATGGTGTGTGTTACGATTAGCCTTTGTTTGAGGGGGGATTGGATCTGAGATCTGGAATCTGGAATCTGGGATGCAAGAGGAGGCTGCCCCTACAGTACAGTAATAAACCGACATATTTTCCCCAGTTGGTACAGTAACGAAACGAAATTACGAACGACAACTGAAATCACATCATGAAACTCGAGCGAAGGAGTAATAGGCTTGGTTTGGTGTATGTCTTATTCTGAACATACATGTAACATGGCGTTATCACCCGCGCAAGATACCACTCTCTCAATTAAATGAGTTCTTTATGCCTCGCTTGGTTGGTGTTCTGAGTACAGGAATTAACAGGGGAGGGGATGGATTATTTTGCTACTGAAGACTGAAAGGTCTTCTTTTTATATCTCAATTCAGCGTTATCTGTCTGTCTGCACTGGATGCGAAATATGTATGTATGTAGCAAATTTGACGATGAATTCATTTATATGTATGTGTATTTGTTTGTTTGTTTGTTTACTTGTTTTGTTTTTCGCTTTTGAATCTTTTGCATGCCGTGCATATAGAATTGTTCCTTGGCCCAAGAAATGACGCGCGCTATGCTATGCCATGCTATACTTGCTGCTAATGCATTCAAACGCCTAGCATCGTAATCCAGACGAAACTTCGGTATTCGAATGGGCCAGGTGAGTGAGAATTCGAACTCACCCGTGCTGGACACAAAAACCGACACTGGTGTTCGTCGACTTGCAATATCCTGCTCGACTTGACTGACACGTTGAGAATGCAGTGGGCACCCCTTTGCCTTCCTCAATACACGCTCCCCCTCACACTCTTATCCTTCTCCTCCGCCGCAATCAAATCCCCCAGTTCCCCCTCATCCCCAGCATCACTCCCGATATCACTCTGATCGCCCAACGCATCCGCCAGCGCACCTCTCCCCATCCCACTAGCCTCCCTCTTCAACCCCTCGTTGAAACTGGAATTCCCCACCCCCACCCCCATCCCCGTGTGCCCAACACCAGAACTGCTCTTCTTCTTCGCCAACCGCTTCCTTGCATCTTCTTCAGCGCTAAACTCCGTATCGCTGCCCGCTTGGCTCGTGTTCCCGCTCGCGCTGCCTCCGAAATCCCGGCCCGCGTTCTTGACGTGCAGTAAGTGGTCGTGCTTGGGGCTCTTTGCGTGGTTCCGGAGTCGGTCTTCTACGGAGATGAAGGATGGTGTGCCGTCAGGGCTCGAAACTATCTCGTCCAGGCTTTTCTGTACGTCAACTTTGGGAGGTGGTCCAATGCGGCCCCGTGGGTCGTCTTCATCTTCATCACTGGACGATTGCCATCTCCTGGTCGCGGGCCTGCGAAATGCGAGAGATTCGGTAGATGCGGTGATGGGCGAAGTTGTTGTTGATGTTTTGCCATTCTGTTGCATGGCGTGCATGGAGTTCTCTTTGCGGAAAGAATGTTTGCTGTGATCACAGCCGTTTGGACAGCCGCCCCACTTCTTGCGGACTGGGACTGCGGAAGCGGGGTTGGAGGACTCAAGTAGCTTCTTTTCCTTCTCTTTATCTTTTTCGGATAGCAGCGGGCTGGGGGCGGCTTTCTCTTTTGCTGTTGTGGCAGCGAGACGCTCGCGCTTTAGTTCGGACCATGTACGGAGGTTGTTTTCTAATATGTATTTCCCTGAGTCCTCTCTCTTGCGCATGATGAGGAATTCGCAATGGTTTACGTTCCGCAGGTCTTCGAAATATTCGACGCTGAAGTGGTACCATTTCATAAGGAAGACGCGAGACATGAGGCCGTGGGTGACTATTTGTCTTATTAGTATTCGTTATTTTCACAACTCCTTCGCAGCTCTCTGGTCGACTGAGACGGAGGAAGTGAACATACCTAAAACACAAACACTAGCACAGTCATCTTCCCCAAATTGCCTCCATAGACTCTCATTAAAGCCACTAACTCGATCATACGCATCCGCCGCAGACTCCCCATTAGGAATCCTATAGAAGAAATGCCCATAATCCGCCCTCTCCTGCCACATGCGTTCCATTTCATTCGAACATGGCTGGAAGTTTCCAAAATCCTGCTCTCGTAGTCTCGGCTCCTCATACACTTTGATCGAGTGGCGGGGAAACGGCGAAGGGGAAGGTTCATCCGAGGTTAAGGTGTTAAGAATACCTTCTGTGGTTTCTCTGGTTCGGCGGTACGGGGACGTGAAGAAGTGAAGGGTGTCATCTGCGCGCAGGAGAGAGCGCAGACGTCGACCTGCCTCGGCGGCCTGGATCTTGCCTTCGGGGGTGAGTTTTACTCTGTGGTCTGGTATTGTCTGGTGGATATCGCGGTTTTCTGGCTTGAGTTAGTGGTATGATTTTGCGGGAATCAGCGCGGGAATCAGCGTAGCACAGAGCCCTGCACGACATGAAGAGAATGCAAAATAAGCTGAACGGTGTACATGGGGGAACTAACTGTTGCCCTCTGACTGGGCGTGTCTGATCAATATTATCATGCGAGGCTTCCCCATCTTGAGAAGGATTGTGGGGGCAAGTTCAATTTATTTCAGGTGTAGTATAATAATAAAGTAGAAGTACAAACACTAGAGAATGGTCGAGTTCGAATATAAGTACCGTATGTACTATAAGATCTGAGACTCCTGATTTCCCCACTACTGTCTATGCTGGAACACTGTTGTTGTTTCAAGCAAGCAAGCCTTGTCTTATCGCAAAAGTCCCCTCCCTTGATATCGCTAACTAATGATTCCAAGGGGTGTGTTTTTATTACGAATGTATACGTAAGATATCAATAAATAAGCAATATCAAAGCCTTGCCATCTCATACCTGTACAGTCAACTCTTCTATTTGTTCAGCCTCGAGCATACAAATATAATCTTCAGACTCCAACGTACATCTCAATCATCGCCACTGCCATTCGCTATACCCGAGGCAGACTAGCCAACACATCTCCAACCTCACCTCACCATCGCATACTGTACAATCACAACTCATCTCACATCTCACTCTCTCACAATGTCCGAAGCCATTCCCGAAAGCATCCCCACCTCCGCCGATCCACGCTCCAAGCGCCCCCTCAAGAAACGTGCCTTGTCCCCGCGCTCAGAAACAGCCTCTCACATCAACGCGCTCTTTGCAAAACCAGACCAAGAGATCCGTCTCCCCGCCAGTACTTCATCCTCCCTCACGCATAACGGTCCCCTCCCCCCAGAGATCGTCACCAATGTGCAGGGATCCAGCGCCGGTGCAGGCAGTGGGGAGTTCCATGTGTATAAAGCCAGTCGGAGGCGCGAGTATGAGAGGTTGAGGCAGATGGATGAGGATGTCAGGAAGGAACAGGATGGGGAGGATTGGGATAAGGAGAAGAGGGAGAGGGAGGAGAGGGATAGGGAGAAGACAAGGAAGAATCGCGAGAAGAGGGAGAAGTTGAAGAAGAGGAAGGGTGGGAAGGGGGGTGGTGAGGCAAAAGGGGAGAATGGTACGGGTGGGGGAATTAAGCCTCGTGTCCAAGTGGGCAGTACGCAGGCGTATGGGGGGGAAGGCAATGAGGACAATGAGATGAAGGGTGTGGAGCAGGCGGGTGTTATTATTCATGATGATGATGATTGAACAGATATCGAATCTGGCTAGATGAATCTACGAGGTGGGCCAAAAAGGCATGCATTATTATAGTTTCAGATCAGCATATCGTATAGGGCGGGTGAGCTTTCTTTTGGCATGAAATTCGCGCATGCATTTGCCCCGAGCTTCTATACTATGATACAAGGGTATGCCGCGCCATATTATCATTGCTTTTCATACACTGACATTGTATCAAAGACATCTACTCCTCTCCTCCACCTGGAGCACCACCGCCTCCAGCTTGTCTTGCAGCCTTAGCACTGCAAATATCATCGACTCTCAGTAGCAGGCAAGCAGACTATAATAGATTAGTATCAGGAAATCAAGAAAGATGCGTTCGACATACCTCAATAGCCGTCTTAATGCTCTGTAACTTGACAGCCTCTGGCTCCCAAACACCATACTCCTTCATATCAACAAGTGATCCCTTGTCACCATCAATACCCCACGTGCTTTGACCCTCGGCATGCTTGGCACGCAACGCAGTGAGAACTCTAACGGGGCTGGCTCCGGAGTTCTGGATCAGAGTTCTTGGGATGACTTCCATAGCCTCAGCAACAGCCTTGTATGGCCATTGCTGAACGCCCTCAATACTCTTCGCAAGCTGACCTAATCTGACAGCAACAGCCATTTCCGTAGCACCACCACCGGGCGAGAGTCTTGGGTGGAACATGACGTTGCGGGCAACGGCCATCGCATCGGCCAAATTCCGGTCAACCTCATTCAAGATATCCTTCGAAGGGCCTCTAAGGAGGATAGTGCATGCTCTTGGGTTTGCGCACTTGGTGAGGAAAGTAAAGTACTCATCACCAATCTTCTCAATCTCGAAAAGACCACATTGGGTTCCGACGTCAGATTCTTGGAGATCGTCCACACGGTTGACAACTGTTGCCCCTGTAGCACGAGCTATTCTGTTGTTGTCTGTCTTGCGGACACGGCGGAGAGCAGTGACATTGCCCTTCAAAAGGTAATGTTGAGCGAGATCTAGGAATATTAGCCAAGCCTCTGAAATTAGACGACGTAAACTCACCAGAGACACCCTTCTCAGTAATGACCAAATCCGGTTTGAGCGCAAGAATAGAATCGCACATAAGCTTGACCTGTTCCTCCTCAATCTGCAAGATCTTGTTCCAGTCCTCCTCCTTACTAATCTCAATATTCGTCTGAGATTCTCCCTTCTTGTACTCCAGTGTGCAATCCAACAGAATAATCCTGGGGTTCTCTATTCTTCTCCTCATCTTCGGGTGGGTAATATCCTTGTTGACCATAACACCATCCAGAACTCTGCTATCCTCAATCTCTCCACCTGGTACCTTCTCAACTCTTGCATAACGCTTGATGTCGACCTCCTTCTTGCCACCACCTGCATCAAATGTGACAGTTCGAACAGCTTTCAGTGCAAGATTGCACATCAGGGTTGACCATCTGGAAACGAACTTCGTGCCGATGGACGAGGAGATCAGTTGGTACATGGCCTCGTCATCGTCGATATCGACTGGAAGGGAGATCTCGTCGATGATTTCAAGGGCGTCTTTCAGGGCGGCCTTGAAGGCGGAGATGATCACAACCGGGTGGATATTTCGCTCTAACTGGGGGAGTGCTTGTGCGAGCATCTCTCCAGCTGCATGGTGTTAGCTGCTGTTCAAATATGCCATCTTGTAGTCCGTACCCAGGATAATAACAGTCGTAGTTCCATCTCCAACTTCCTCATCTTGTGTTCTGCTGAGCTCGATCATGCTCTTCGCCGCTGGATGTGAGACCTCGATTTCTCGCAGGATGGCATGGCCGTCATTTGTCAACACGATACCTCCCATAGGATCCAAAAGCATCTTCAGCATAGCCTTTGGTCCTAAACATGACCGGATAATATCTGCGACACTATTGTTTATAAGCTTCTGATCTTCCACGGCCTTGTGAGAGCTCGAGGCTTGCTGGTGGAGCTTACGTTTTCGCTGCGGTGATGTTGGACATCTGTGCTTTTCTTCCGGTTTGTCTGTCCCCATTTTGGGTGTCTGCAAAGATCCATTAGTACTCTGAAGCTCTGGTTGGGGAGAGCTTCTAGAGCTCCCTCAGTTTGTTTGATTTTATAACTTACTCATAACCACCACGGGAGCCTGCATCTTGAAAGTTTCGCTCTGTAACTGGCTACCGAAGGCTATGTGGTCGTATTGATATGGAAATCTGACCGTCGGAAGCTTTCGCAGAATGAGGTTGAGATTTCGAAGAGCTTGCTGTCCAGGCAGTTTCGCGTCTTCCAAATTTTTGAAGGTTCTCGCGTCGAGCACGTGATCCAGGGGTTCTCAAGATTGTGCCCAGCTTCAGCGGTCTTAAAGTAACCACTATGCGGCTGTCTTTTCTATTATCAAGCACTCTTTGGGAGTGTTCTTAGTTGAGGTTTAGTTGGGAGTTTCAGCTAAGTCAAAAGGCACCTGTTTAGAGGTTGACCTCAGTTTACATGGAGATATCTCTTTAGATGCGGAAAAGGAAAAATTCATTTGACTGTTTTACATTACATTTTGCGGTCTAGATAATTATAGTTTAATCTCGGCGCCAGCACCAAGATCATCTATTTCATTATATCAGAGGTTCTTTCTCTCCTTCCCCTCTTCCCACGAAGCCTTTCATACCGCTGTCAACACCAGACATCTTCCGCATGATAGTCTGTACACCCACTGGCATGACATTCATCCAGTCTATCCATCGTGCATAAAGTGGCATTGCCAGCTCTGTGCTACTCCCCCCATCAATAGCAGCAATGACCTCCTTCGCAACATCCACCGGTTCTAATACGGGAGCAAAGAATGAATTGGGAGTCTGGACACCAGTGAAGAGAGGAGTAGTCAACTGGCCAGGAGATACAAGTATAGTCTTGATATTTGGTGTCGACTTGAGCTCCGCTGCCAAAGATTTGTGCATAGCTGTTATTCCTGCCTTAGCAGCAGCATAATCACTCAAATGAGCGGCACCAATTTGGCCCAGAACGCTCGAGATGGTGACAATTGTACCTTGTCCAGCTCGCATAATACCAGGGAGGAAGTTCTTGAGAACATAAAAGTGGGAGAGAAGGTTTACGTGGAAGTTGCGCTCGATTTCTTCGATTGAAAGGTCGAGGAGGGGTTTCCCGTTGACGATTGCGGCATTATTGATAAGGATTGTTGGAGGACCAAGCTGCAAATTGTTAATAGAGATCATTAAATGTGGTAATGATACTGACATCTCTTTCAATCTCAACCGCTACCTTTGCTACCTGTTCCTTGTCGCCCACATCACACTTGTAGACCGACACTCCTCTCGCTTCTCCCGACTCCAAGTCCTTGACATCTAGCACCGCAACCGTAGCACCCCTCATGCCGTAGACCTCTGCAATCAAAAGCCCCAGGCCACTTGCGCCACCCGTAATCACAATGACTTCCTCGGAGAGATCTACTGTGCGTGGTTTCGAGTATGCGATCTGGCGATTAAGCGTGTTTAGGAAGAAAAGAGCGGTTAAGAGAGACGCGTATGCGATGACAACTTGCATCGCAGGATGCCACCAGGACATAGCTTGCGCGCGCATACATAATGGGAGCATCCATGCCACGAAGGGGTGTAAGAAGGTGACATTGAGGACCTTGAGGAAGAGGTCGATGGAGAGGGGCTTAGCCCAGGAGAGTTCTCGACTGCGCGGTTGGTAGGACATGTTGACGATGCGATGGAATAACGATTATGGAGATTACTGAGAGAGAATTAAAGAGGATAGAAGAGGAAGAGGAAGAAGAAAAGTGTTCAGACCTTTGGCACCATATTCTGAACATGAGACGAATTATCATCGCCTTGAAACATCGAGGCGCTTCCTTCGTACCATGCTTTGAAACGAAAGAATCGTCCGAGCTTTCAGCCTTGCGACATCGACATCTCCCAACTCGCTTCCTCCTCTTCTTTCTTCTTGCTGCACATACAGTAGTACAATACACAAATCGACCTTCTTCCTTCCATCGTCGATAAAACTTTCGGCAACAAATACACCTTTCAATGTTTGTATGCGTTTGCAGAATATATATGCTCTACTGGTCTCTGTATCCCTCCGCTAGTGCAGGAGGCATCACACGCCTCCTTTTTTCTAAGCCCATAAAATTGAGTCATACTCTTTAGTCTAAGAGTAGTCTTCTAGATCCATGATTTCCTCTTGGCAGAGATTACTAGGCGTCTAAACGATAAATATTTCCCCGCGTTGTTGGAGGCAATCCTACAACGCGAGCCCCACAGAGAACATGACGGTCCAGGTATTATATATTTTTCAGCATTGATCTGTTCACGCGTAAACAATACTAGAAGCCTGCAAATGATTTTACGAATCCTGGAGCTCGGATTTCATCCAACCATTCTAGCGCACATAGGTTTATAAGTGCGTTCTTCGGAATAGCATGGGCTAGAGACGCTCTTGAAAATTAAGTACTCGAAGTTCTATTTTCCAATGTGTGCAACCCACCAAGTTTCAAAAAGTCATGACACTATTTCAGCGTGTACAGTAAGTTTTCAAAGCTATCTATATGCCTCATACCGTTGTCTATTCTTGCCTGAAGCATCGGTTACAGGCTGGCGGTCACCATGTTTCCATACTCAGCGTAGAGAAGTCTTGCAGCCGGCGCAAACATGGATTTTAAGCACTCCAAAGGGATAGAAAACAGTAGAGAAAAATCAAGTGGTTATGGTTGTTAGACACATCCACAAGTCTTCCAACTCACGCAATCACTAGGAACGTAGACATAAGCTCACGCATGACTTTCGATTTGCTAACGAGCGAACTCAACATATCATTCCTCTTTTCCACCACCATTTCCCAGACCTAAAAACGCCCCCTACACTACGCCCCCAAGCGCATGACTCCCAACACTCAGCGAACTAGCTCATTTTCCAACAGATGCTCACTTCTGAGCCTTGTTGCTAGCGTTGCCGGCAGAGGTGTTGGATCCAAGTCCACCGGCTCCTGCATATCCAGCCGAGTTACTGGAATTCACATGTTTATCGCCAGTAGACTGAGCACGAGATGCAAAACCGTTGGCGGACATGTCGCCACCATTCTTGGCCTCGGGATGTTGTTAGTATGTGTTGACGTACGTGGGGAAGAGGGACCTGCTTGCGTAGATTGAATGCGCTGTGATGCGTCCTTGGTCATCCCATGATTGTTAGGCATTTTGGAAGAATCGGGGGAAGTTTTTGGGGTTCGACGTTTGTGAGGATTCTGGTTGGAGATAAAATTGTTTGTGATTTTTGGGAATGGTGGGGAGTGGTGATGATCAGTCGAAGATGGCAGTCGAAGAGAGCTGGAAGAGGGGCTTATATATGGCGATGGCGGAAAGACTGTTCAGCATTGGGAGGGCCAAATTCTGCTCCTCTTTCACAAAGAGAAATACTAAATTCCGTACCCCACCAATAACTCAATCCTTAAAAATGTCTCAAGTGTGGCTTCCCGTCGAATGCAAACTTATGTATAGATGAAAATATATTGAAAGCACGAGTTACGTATGAGTAGCGTTTGAAATCAAGACCAATAAAGCATGCTCCCGAAAAAAGGTATGGTCAGCATATATGATGTGGCAGTCAAGAAATGGAAGTTCCACCAATGATACGTTCTTGAATTGAGGGCTGTTTGCTATGTCGATAGACGATAAGTGAGATGTGATAAAGTTTCCAGATTTCCGACCAGCTCCCCACACATGCGAAAGATTGGACTGGCATATTCAGGCATTAACCCGTCATCCATGCTTTCCCTGAGTCATGTAGTTGCAGCAGAAGCTTTGAGATTCATGCGTTTTCAGTTTCTGAAATACGATTGGGTGGCTTGGGTATATGCAAGTTTTAATATAAAGGTCTGACTCGTAATACTCGGGCTCTGTCCTAGTATATCCTTCAGATGTCAAATTTCGAGTGCTAGTTCTCACCAAGCAATTGCTCCCAAGTCAGAAGCCCCAGGGCGTGCTCGGAAGTATGCATCGCAGGGGACAGATCAGGGCACAAAACTCTACTACTCGGAGTGCCACATCCATTCTGCTTCCATGATGTGTGGCCGAGATCACAGCTTTTGGGATTTTGTAGAAAGATCGAGGAAATGAAAGTCTAGAACTCATGCAACTTGGATTTTTAACCCGGAAGAGTTTCTGGTGCCCGATCTCAGGCATGCGATAGGTTCAACAGAAAGACGCAGTTTCACTACAAGCTCATTCAATACAAGTTGCTTCTGCAAGTAGCCTGATGGAATGACCTCTCTAATACTTCGTCCCAGGCCTGATAATTTACCGAGATCCAGGTCAAGTGGACGGGCGACAATGACTTTGAAAGCAGGAAAGAAAGACCCCCCTCCCCTCCCCCTCCTACCCTTGGTTCTGGTGGAGTTATTACATCGGGAAGAAGTAGAAATGTAGTGGAAGGATCTTGACTTCAACGAATCGTGATCCCACAACGAGCTTCTCGAATTAAGAAAAAGAAAATTCAAGGCAGGCATATCGAAGCAATTACGACCAAAAAACAAACACTGACCAATATTTAGATGTCCAAGTTCATATTAAACCTTTTTCGTGCTACTCAAATGAAAAACAATTGGACTTTGAGGTAGTGAGGTAGTGAGAGAAACCATCACAAACTGGAGTGTGATATTGCAATCACGAGTGGCTAGATACTCAGTACATGAAGCGATCACCTTGGTGCTATGTATCATCAATTGCTCACTTGATCACTGCAATTTCTTCATAGTGTTGATGCAAAGAGAAATAAAGATCACTGAGTGTGGTTGAGGTACATGGGGAAGGTATCGCCGAAAACAAAAGCCCCACTCAGATCTCAACCCATCGCTTACCTCATCCAGACTAGTTTTCTCGCCTTCCCTTCCTACCTAGCCTTGCGCGTGCTTTCAGCCTTGCATTCATTCCATAAAGGTGGTTTTCCATAGAGCGAGGTAATAGACCAAATCGCAATCCAAAAAATCAAGTCTCACAACTCGCAGTCAGCATTGTCACGATATCACCAACACGATGAGCAGACATGATCTATCGAATTCGCCGGCTCTGATCAAATTCTACAGGGGCGATGGTACGGATTTCCAAGGGCGTTATCTAAAGGATATGATGAAGTGGGATATGAGGAAACTTGAACAAGACCATGCCTACATCCAGACTATGTTTCCTCTCCCAGAACGTAAGATATTCTACGATTCGCTTCACTTCCTTTTTGCCATGCCTTGGAGATTCCTGAGATTTGCTTTCTGAAGCCTTTGCTTGTGGATTCGTGCTCCTTACTCCCAGTTGAAGTTGGTTTTGGAAGAGTAATGCTAACTCCTAGTTCCTCAGCATCCATGATTGTAGGTGGGTCTGCACCTAAGATCGACTACGAGGTATTCAAGGCTTTTCGAAAGAGCCCTAACCTGCGACGAGCACTCTATGATTCTTTCAGCAGAATCCTGTGGTTCTATGGTCTCAGGCCTAAATTGAACGAGGAAGGCCACTTTGAGACAGTAAGTCCGCACCGATGTCCTATTTTGTATTTGCCACTTATTAACACATCGCAGGTCGAAAAGAATCCCGACTCCTGGTCTAATAGCACGAGGTCGTGGAACACACAATTCGATCACAATCACCTCCGCATCACCCGCATAATCCGCTGCTTGCGTGTCCTCGGTCTCGAAGAAGAGGCGCAAGGTTTTTACGAATTCCTGAAAGAGAATGCTGCTCGTGCCAGCAAGACTTCCCATATGTATTGGACACGAGCAGCCAAGAGACCACTGAATGTGAAGCCGGATCTGAATATTGACGAAGGATCCTATCACATTGTCGGAGATACCTTCTTGAAGGCTTATGATAAGCGCTTGAAGGAGGCTGGGGAGAAAGATAAGCAGTATGGAAAGGGGAATTGGACTAAGACTGAGGAGGAAGAAGCGGAGGATGAGGAGAATTGGTCGCAGTCGGAGGATGAAGGTTTGATCTGAGTTGCAGGTTAGGATGGCACTCAGAGGTTTGTTTTTGGCGTTGTGGTGATGGACTTAAGAGGATGGAGTTTGCTTCGCAAGCGGTTCTTAGACTGATATTCTGATATTCATAGACAAAAGACTGAGAGACTTGGAGACTAGATACAAGTTACTGAATGCACTTTCCCACCTATCAGAGGTCTTCCCGGATCTGACTCAAGCCTCACCAACGAGCCGACAAGCATGACCGTGAATAATGGAGTTTGGGGAACGCCAACGCCTCCAACAAAGTAGCTTACTCCGGAGTACTGTAAGTAGTTAGAACGCCCCACAGAGGGGTTGACAGGCTTTCCTCATGTGGAATCGCGCTCTCTACCAGTGCCCACCACCAACTTTCCACTCCACTCCTCTCCACTCCACTCCACCCCACTCCACTCCTCCTCCCCACATAGATCCGCTATTGTAGCGCGTGAGGCACTGAGGACAAAGATATTCGTAAGACTAAGCAGCGCACTGGTTCAGCTTTGGGGATTTAATGGGGTGGTGGGAGGGGACTTCGTAAGCAGAATGAGCTCAGACGCAAAGAAATGCCCAAGTTGGGCTTGTACTCCGATACTCCGCGGAAAACATCTTGATTTCCTTTTTGGGGTTTAAAATCATGTGTTTTCAAACAGTGTAATCCCTGTTCGTCCAATCAAGTGGCTAGGAAACAGTGTTTATATCCGGCAGATCACTTGATCACCACTGCTCGGTACGGTGTCAAGCTTGACTGTAGATAGAGCGGGCTCCAATTACTTGTCCGCCGCGTGGAGTATTTGGCAAGTACTTGAATGTATTGTGAAATACAGCAGTAAATCGGGACTCAATCTGGTAACTCTCTAGCCGTTTATTACTAGTGAAGGGGAGGCTTATCATTCATTTTGATAGACCAGATATCCACTACTAGCAGCTCGGGTTCCAGATTTTTCCCCTCTCCCCATAAATTCGCGGGCTTGCGAACAAGGTTATGTTATGGCACAGCTAGCTTTTGTACGTAGTTGCGGGACACCCCACTTACCTCCGTATGGTAGCTTCAAATATACCACGCGAGAAAAGTCGCGATGTTCTTATGAAGTCATGAATGGCTCTGAAGCAGAAGGCTCAAGTGATGTGATGTGAATTGGTACTTGAATCAGAGCGAATTCGAATAAAGTATCATTGTAGAAGTATCAAGCTTTCTGTTCCAGTGCCAAGTCGCCAAGCTTTACCAAATATTCCTGACAACACAACAATCCTGTGCCTTGGTAGAGACACTGCCAAGAGCCCCTCCAGCGGCTCGCAGGTGGAATTCAGTCTGCTGCCAAGAACCAATAATAAGCTGTCAATCACCACAACGCACCTTCCTCATTAGGGGGCGCGCCCTGGTCGTCCCCACGTTCGTCTGGGGGATTCTCTCCACATCCAACAATTCCCCGCTATATGGAGGTAAGGGAGGTAGGGTTGTTGCACGGCGGGTGGAGTCGCACTGGTAGAAAAAGATCCTGTGATCAAAAATCTCATTCAGTCCATTCACAGTACTGGTATGGCATGGATGGGCATTAGGCATTGCGCGGGTCGTGCCTTCGCTCCTTCTGCTACTACTACTTAACCAACGCGCTCCTGCTTCTATCTCACAACCTTCTCTACTCTTTCCCTCCCCCTCCTCTTCCCTCCTACCCCTCGCAGTCTTTTACCTACAAATCTATTCCTATCAACGTCAATCCATTGTTTCTCTTCTCTACACCTTCAGATACTTATTCCAGAGAGGACAAAATGGCAGGTGGAGGACAGCCCGTTGGGCCTGGCATGTTCAAGGCTGCCCTAGCCGACACACCTAAAGAAGCCTTCAATTGGCGACTTATGATCAGCGTTATTTGCTTTGGACTCATGGTATGATTGTTCCAAGAAGCCCTTTACTCAAGTGCTAAATATAATCACCAGGGCGCTGCTAGAGGTTTAGATGAAGGTCTTATCGGCACTACAGTTACGCAGAAGAGCTTCATTAGCGGTACGTTCCTAAGCCTCCAAAGTTTTGGCATTGCAAGCTAATGATGTTCAGAATACAATTTAAAAGTAACAAAGACTTTTACCAAGGCCGAGCTCGCCCAAAAGACTGGAAATATTACGGCCATGGTACAGATTGGCAGTGTTGGTGGGGCTCTCATTGCCTTCATATTCTGTGACAAGATTGGTAAGTCGGAAGACCAAACACACACTTCTGAAGTATCCTAACAAACCTACCAGGCCGTATTTGGGCTACTCGTCAACTCTGTGCAATCTGGATAGTTGGCGTTATCGTTTACATCACGGCTGCAGGCAATTACGGACAAGTTCTCGCTGGAAGATTCGTCATGGGTCTTGGAATTGGCCAAACGACTGTCGTCGCTCCAGCATACCTCGCTGAGATTGCTCCTCGCAGTATCCGTGGTCTTTGCATCTGTATTTTCAGTGGTTCGGTCTACTTAGGAATCATGCTGGGATATTTTGCCAATTGGGGAACCTCAATTCACATTGCCAACAACACTTCGAAGCAATGGATTGATGCAACAATCTTGCACCTTGTTTTTGCTGGTATTATCTTGTTTTTGACCTGTTTCAGTCTTGAATCTCCTCGATGGCTTGTCAGCGTTGGAAAGGATGAACAAGCGACTACCAACATGTGCAAGCTTCGACAGCTATCACCCGATCATCCATATGTGCGCAGTGAAATGATCGATATCCATGATCAAATCAACCGGGAGAGAGAAGCAACTCTCGGTTCCGGATTCTTCGGTCCGCTGAAGGAACTCTTCGTTCTCCCAAGGAACAGATACGCGATTCTTCTCGGGCTGGCTTGTCAGCTTATGGGACGTATGTATTTCCCTTTCCCAAGAAAATCTCCTTTCTAACACAATCTAGAATGGTCCGGAGCACAATCAATCACCATCTACGCCCCCCAATTCTTTGCTCTATTAGGCACGACTGGCAGCTCCGAGAAACTCTTTGCTACAGCTATCTTCGGTGTGGTGAAGTTCGTCTCCGCGCTTATCTGTGCCTTCTTCCTCGTTGATTTCCTCGGCCGAAAGCGATCCCTCACAATAGGCATCATCATCCAGTTTATTTCTATGCTCTACATCGCCATTTACCTGACAGCCGTACCTTCAATCTCGACAGGCCAGGTACAAAGCACAATAGCAAAACATGCCGGCACAGGAGCGATTGTCTTCATCTATTTCTCTGGAGTTGGATGGGCTCTTGGATGGAACAGTATCCAATACCTTATTGGCGCAGAGATCTTCCCCCTACGTGTCAGATCCCTCGGCACATCCATGATCATGTGCTTCCACTTTGTGAATCAATATGGAAACTCGAAAGCTGTCCCACTGATGCTTATTGATGGATCACCAGGCCTCTCGCCTAAGGGCACATTCTGGCTCTTTGTCGCAGTCACGGCTCTGGGATTGGGCTTTGTCTGGTTTTTCCTTCCCGAGACTGCGGGCAAGTCGCTTGAGGGGATGGATGAGATGTTTAGCTTGCCATGGCACATTATTGGACGCAAGGGTGCAGAGTTGACTGCTGGAAAAGGCAGCGTTGCTGAGGCTATTGCAATTGGTGATCACGAGAAGGCTGATATTATGGCGCGTGAAGAACAGGTTGAGGATGCGGAAGAAAGGCCTGCTCATGTATAGAAGGACGGTATTGGATAACAACCTGGTGTTAATAGGCGTTAAGGTGGGAAATCGAATTTTTACAAGACTTACGAATAATCTTGGTTCAATGATAACAAGTGCGACGACTTACAATTTATTTCGTGATATTAAATCCTCCCTCGACACAAAATATACTCCTCCCATCCCGCGTCGCCGCCTCTGCTCTAATCTCATACCAACCCTCCGGCGTCATCTCCGGATACAGTGGCATCGGGGGAGACCAGTTTTCCGTATACCCTTTTCAGCTTTCAGGATAGGAGCGATGCAAGTCTAGCACCTTATCCTCCTCATTCTCATTCTCCTTCTCAGTCTCATTTCCTACGTCGAAAAACTGCCACATGTCGATATCACATAACGGTGCATAGTAGAGCGGTGATAGCTCGGCGAGGTGAATGTGCCGAGGAGGCGGATTGTGAAGTAGCAACCACTGGAGGGGGAGAGGGGGAATGTTAGATTGTTGGTTTTATTTGAGTGTGGAGGAGAGGGGTGGTGAAATGAGTTAGGGGTTATGTGAAAAGGGTGTATGTGTGAGGTGGATGCCGGGAAGAAGTGAAGGTGGGGGGAAGAGGATCATAACACGGGATGAAATAGGATAGGGACTTACATTGTTAGATCTATGGGGCCGGAACCTAATCACCTGATTTAGAAAATGGAGTTGGAGTTATCGTTGGCGATATATGGGGAGGGAGGTGATCAAGGTTTGGATTGGAAAGCAACGGCGGAGATATGATCACACTTTGCTGAACATGTATTGCTGAGACTCCATGAGCGAGAAGGAGAGTTGCGATGCAATGCTGAGCAAAACGGCTTTAGTACGAGTATACATCTCATGGTTTTCGAAGCTTGTGATTTTGCATAGCTGCAAATTAAAGAGAAGTAGTTGCAATTAGGCAGCTGTGGTTGCATTGCAGGAGATTAAAGGTAAAGGACGAGATGGGGTTTGGAAGAGGTTTAAATATGCTTAAGAGGAGGCGAAGCAGAATAGAAGGTTTAGATGGCAGAGGGAGAAAGAGTGAGGAGGAGAGTGAGGACCGAAATAAACGTATAATGATCTTTCAGATACTTGAATCTACCTTCTATCTCTACTAGCATAATCCGCCGACGATTAATTACCAGCTCTTATACATAACTTGTTATCCTCGTACCACTTTCATCATAATCCGCATAAGTCTAGGTAACAATTAATGATGTTTGCTTCGTATAATCATATTTGCTATAACTCGGGTAAGCCTAATTATCAGCCCCAATACCAAACAACCTAATTTTTTCGAACCAATTCTATTTTTATTTACTTATATTGGCAAACTGTACGATGCAGTTTAAGATGTCTTTCAAACACTATACATATATAGTGTTAGCTATTACAACCTAGTTTGTCGCTACGTACGGATGCGCCTACATGTCATCACCGCACCAGAACTAGAATCAGACTCGGGAGAAAGATACGAGTGCGGAATCTGCCAAGAGCAACTCGTTAATCCCAATGACATCTCTCTGACCAGAAACAATCGAGCAAAGATTTTATTGGACCTGCAGAAGATAGGTCTTTTGGCGAGGGATTGTCTCAGACACGTCAGTTCGGGTTCGGACGGGGAGGTTCAGGTCCTGGAGGATTTCAGGCCGTTTGTGTTAACTCTTGAAAGCCTGCTCTCTTCGCAAGAAGATGCGGGAATCATACACTTGCACGTATGCAGTCAAGACAGAGTGCGGCCATATCTTTGGCGTGCCTTGCCTGATGTCCTGGGTAACAAGAAAACTCTATGATAGGGAGCATTTCACATGTCCATTATGCAGAGCCGAAATGTCAAGCCTCGCAATAGAGGAACATCTACCACCGATGAGTTGGCAGGAAGAGGAGATAGAAACAGGTTCCTGCTTGGAATTGGAGGATGAGGTTTTCGACGGCGATTTGACCCCAAGTCGAAATTCGGCAATGCATGACACAGAGAGGAGCCAGGACGGTGACAGTTCTCGAGTTTGTATGAAAATGACGAGCGTTGAAGAGTGGTGTCAAGAGGTGAGCCGCTTACAGCTGTGTGGAATGATCAAGACGAGACGACGAGCGATTGTCACGTGCATTGTACGGGCTTCGTGTGCCAACGCGGGGCTTTATAAACAGCGTCCTTCCATAGCGAGTAATTCAGAACCTCTTACAACCTCACCGAAAGACGGATGCTGTCCCTCTGGGTGCTTATGTTGACCTTGGGCTGCTTGTATATGTTTGGATCTGCCCGCCCCGCCCCCCCTTTTCCACAAGACGTGCTAAGCGAGACGTTTGTCTTCCGACTGAAGCACTGAAGCCATTTTATACAATCGCAATAAGACGATGAGGCTGTTCGTGAACAGCGAGACTTCTCGCGACCAAATAAAACGACTCTTGTCGCAAATGCTCACCTAAATGAAGACACAAGTGCTCAGTCAGCATGATTCATTCTGAATTCAACGTTGCATCCAAACGCACCTTGGATCCTTCCGTCAGCCGATCCCCACCAAAAATATTATCCGCAGCCCCTTGTCTGATGCACATCATAGCATTTCCACCTTCCGCATTAAGATCAATCACACCCAACTAATCAAAAACGACCTTTGTTGCACGTCGCGGTTTGCAATCGAGTCAGTGTAGAATATGACGAGTCATGACAAGGGCCCGCTGTGCCCCACACTTGTGTCCGAAATCATATCATTGTGGTAAAGCTAGACTCTTAGCGCGCGAATCAACCAACAGTTGCTTTTGATCCCGTCAATGTTTCTGATTGAAACCGTAGCATTTTTGGCTCTTGAGGTGAAAATGTTCTGAGATATTTTGAGCTGGAAAATCAACCACTGAGAGGGAAATGTGAAATTTGAAGAAGCGCAAGCAAGATATGTTAGGTTTTGAAGATGAGGAGATTGGGAAACACTTCATAGGGTAGACGAGTCAAGAGCGGATTTTGAAGAGGAACAGTAGGTCCAGGTAGAGGGACTTTGACTAGGTAGGGCCCAGGAGCTGCTACTGCGTTTAAGACATCCCATAACGTATCCAGTCTGATTATAGAACGCTTACAGATTGTACCTGTTCAATTGAGCAAATTTCTTCCATCTCAAGTCTGCATCCAGGGTTGTGAGAAAGAGAGTCTTTGAATCCAACATGAGGTTGTACCTGAACACTAATCCCCATGCTTTTTTAAAGGGGGCTCCTTACCTCAGCTAGTGTAAAGCCAAAACCAACAACGAGCAATATGATAGAAAGACCCTATAATACTAGAAAGGAAAATGTCAGGTTCTATAACTCTGCTTTATAGGTAACGATCTTGCCGCGAGGTTATCGGCGTTGAAATCAACCCAAAGTGGTTTAGGGCATCTTTTTCGGCCAATGAAGTCGGCGTTCGCAACTCCCACAGCATGTCATTCATTCCTATGCCGACAATGTAAAGTCAATATAAAGGCTCTCTGGCCTTGCCTGCCAGAAGCCACGCTATTACGACTCCGATATACTGCCTCAAAGCACCGCAAGTCAAGTCCAACCCCAAGACTCCGTGTCGATATCAATAAATACGTTATGCGCGTTCTCCTACTTGGCGCAACTGGAAACCTGGGGAAACGGTGTGTCCCTGCCCTGCTCGCACACGAGCACGTACTCACGATATACGTGCGGAACCCGTCCAAATTCAAGTCTGTGATGTCCCCGGAGATCATTCAGCGTCTGGAATCCATCGTGATAGGCGACGCAACCGACACGGCCACCATCGCGAAGACGATCCGCGACCATGATATCGAAGGTATCGTTAATGTAGCCGGCAATCAGGTGCTCCCTTGGAAAGAGTTTCTCCTTCCCAAGATAGCGAAAGCTGTAGCCGATGCTGCCATGGCCGTTGGCAATGAACGAGGCGTCCCTTTGCGAGTCTGGTAGGCTTATGATCCTCATTCCAAAATTGCAGTTTTGCTTATAGGAGCTGGAGAGTTGGACATGGCTTCCGAGACATTTGCTCTCTAAACACGTGCCTCTTTATAATGCTAATCCGTTAGTGCAGGATTACAGCCGGCTTGGGGCTTCTGAAAACATCAGGAAGACCTTACCTAATCCAGGCATTGTGAGCCATTTCACACTGCTGTATTTCCATCTGATTGCTGAGAGTTCGATTCCAGTGCCCCATACATGGCTATGGTCCAGCATGATGCAACGTGCAAAGCCATCGAACAAATTTCTCTCACAAACCTCCGCTGGTCTCTGTTCTGCGTGGGGACCATGCACCCTCTGGATCGCCAGCAGACGGTTTTCGAGCCACTCAATGCTCCCAGGCCCCACAATCTGTTGTTGGGGGTCACGACTTTGCCAGCCTGGGTTGATTCTTGGTGGACTCACGTGCCCTTCATTGGGGAATTTGTCAATATCTGGGTGGTGCTCTTGTTTCAATACGGCACTAAGTATGAAGCTGCGGCTGATTTTCTGGCGGAAGACTTGGAGAGGGGGAGCGAGGAATTTGTGGGAGTGAGAGTCGGGATGAAGAAGAAGTCTAAGTCGAAAGATGACTAAGGTTGCAACTCGATTCGATGTTTCTTACCTCTTTTCTTACGTCTTATGCTGCTAGCTCAAGTTTCTCTTCTAGTTTCTTTCGGAATATGTTTGTGCAACCTTAGTCGCAAATGCCGAAGCTGTAGCATTCAAATGTTTGAGCAATGTCATTATTTATCCTCGGAAAGAAGCACCGTAGGACTAGTGTCTTCTAGAAGTTCTGCTAGAGATCGAGTCTATTGGATCGATTTTATATATTCCTATTTTTTATACAAACTGCCCATTTCTTGCTAGACATTCCAAATTTTGCCTACGCGAAATGTAAAGGGTTGAGCAAGAAGCCCAAACCTTCTTCCTTTTTCTCCTTCTTTATTTATGGCACATGGCGTGGGTTTCACACTTTTACAAGTACCAATGAAGTTGCAAGAGGGTCTACATAGTTTTATTTCTATGGTTGCAAAAGATTCAGCTAACCTGGTCAAGTTTCAATCATGGTGCCGAGAAGCTAGGAAATGGTATCGCACAAAAAGTATTAGGGTCTAGGCTGACTAGTCAGTCTCTCTTTAGTCTTCCCACACAGCACCAAATTCTCTTATAATCTCATTATATCAAGTCCTAGAGATCCGTCTCGGTACTTTATCACCCCCAAACCGGTGATTCGAAACCCCAGAATCCTGATGTCCAGAGCGTGGCGACCTCTTTGGAGATATCTGAGTCAATGCTTGCATATGTTTAGAGACCTTTGCAGCATGCGAACACATAAGCTCTAGCTAATTTGACATCTTACAGATATTGATAAACTTGGACTCGACTGCCCTTCTAATGTCCTCGCACAAGCTCATCATCAGTGAGTGTATGGCGATTCCGGTTCCAGGATCCCGAGTCTGTCGTAACCGTGGGCTTGGACTTGGCTACAATCCAGCTTAACCTTGCCAATTCTAGGTCTATCAGCCAGATTCGGCGAGCCCAGGGTATGTGAGGGAATGGTGTAATTCAGACTCGTGGTCCTGATTTTGGTTTGCGTGCCCTGCCCATGATCCGATTGGATCAACGCAACTTGCAAGACACGATTTCGCTAATTGTTTTGTTTTGGGAAGGTTATCGTTTTGCAGATGGGTTGTTTCGAAGCCCAATCGGCAAGCCTGGTCTTGTTCCAACCACTCCGCCATATTCCTTCTTGGTCCGCCTCTTTCTCATACCCAAGTCGCACACTCATCCCGATATAACAGATATCACCATGGTGCGAATATTGAAAGCATTCTTTGTTAGCCTCGCAAGCCTGGGCACAGTCCTCAAACGATACAGCATTCGATTCTACGCCACCTGTCTTCCCAAACTCTCCTGGATCAGAAGCTACATTGTCCCAGTTTTCGCGGGAGTCTAGCAACGATCCGGTCACAAAGTCATTGAATAACTCCATGTGGGTCCAAGGTCCCTAAAATGAAGAAGCTTAGCCAAGTTTTCGTATCAAAAGTACAGCATCCTTAATCACATACCAAGTTGTCTAGCCGGATTTTTTCGAACTGGGCAAATTCTTTCATATCCACAGGAGTAAGATGGTGAAACGATAATGCAGGGCGGCACCAATACTCTGGAGTCCCTGGGCCGAACGGCATTGTCGATGGTCTCTCCCCACTCATTAGCGGCCAAACATCTTGTAGCTCAATCCCGTACTCTCCCAGAGCCATACTGAGTACGAGATCGCCGCAACATTTCTCACTCGTTTGAGCGTCCCAGCGCGTGGCCGTGTCATTATGGCTAACGAAGAGCTCTTGCATGAGACCTTTTGATAGAACGATGCCGGACCCGCCGTGTGCAAATCGAACACCGCCTATATTCACCTCGGAACCAAAATAAGACTTCTTCTTCGGGTCCAAACCATTCAACCAGAGAAGCATAGTTGGCCAAACAATGTAAGTATCTGCATCGATCAAAATATACCAATCCATGTCCGGCTTCAAGGCCCAGGTCTTCTCCAAGACATGTATAAATTTGTATTTATCTAAAGTCCATGCCGCGGACTTCCCCTCAGGATCTTTGGGGTTTTTAGCATCCTTGAGGGTATCGATATTCTGCTTGGTTTGCCAGAGCTCACGCTGCTTTTTGTAAAATTCGAAATCGGTATTGGTGTTGACCATAGAAGCGGGAACTGTATCCAAGGCGTCGTACAAGTGGTAGTCCCCAATGTCTTGCTCGAGATCCGAGAAAATGAACGTATTCTTGGCGCAACGAAGCGAGGATTGCATCAGTGCAGGTACTTTCTGCGCTGCTTCTGATGCTCCGGTCTTGACCGACACCACGACATTCTCGGCTGAAGTCGCGACCGGGCAAGACTCTGGCGTGACGAAAATGGGTGAGGGGATGCTAGTAGGTAGCTTGATATCGTGCCGTGGAGAGAAGAGGAAATATCCCAGAACAATCAGCACTGCAACAACGGAAATCCGAAATCCGGCCACATATGATCGAGGCGACCAGCGTATCATCGCACAGTAAAGCCAATGTGAATTTCAAAGAAGTTGGCGTCTGGCAAAGATATTCACGAAGCTTCAAAAGAACAGTGAAGGACTTTGAATTGAGGGTAGTTGAGAGAAGGCTGTCAGATGAAATAGACTTAAAAGTATAGCGCGAGGCGCGGGGCGATGCGACGTCTAGATCCATCCTATCAGCTTAGCCTGCTTACAGTCAGCCCCATCCCAACCCCAGGGCCCAGGCTTCCCCTATCCCCAGCCGAACCCAAACCAACAAGAAAGACTTTGAAACTGGTCGAAACACATTCAAATCTGTTTGTATTGTTCCATTCAGAGACAAAGACCTCTTGAGTTATTGCCTACGAAGTAACATGATAAAACTGGGTTGGGTTATGTTGGTCAGCGCACTCGAGGCAATTCCAACCTTTTGACATAAGGTTCTATATAAAGAACTAGATACGTCCCGTCCGGCTTGAGGCTCTAGCGCTGGGATGCAGTTTTACGGATTTTAGGGCAGGTTAGGGTTCCTTCGGGGGCCTTAATGTCTATCTTTCTTGCTGGCCGGCCAATTAAACCATATGAAAGAGGCTCAGCGCCTGCAGCCGTACGGCTCAGTAGTACGTACAGAGTAGTGTTTTGGTTCTGGGTACAAGTCTGGAGGGCGCAGGCTGGATCCCTCAATGCTTATATTGTTCCATTTTCCTGCATCGCTCTTTGTGTTCGTTTTCGACCTTTTCGTGCAAAGATGGCCGTCTTTCCTCTTCTATTAGCGTCGGTTCTCTTTCTGGCGAGTTCCACGTTCGCTGCTTCGAATTACTTTCAGAACCCCCCAGATATCGGCACTGCGACGAAGAATCCGAGTAATTTTCAAGTTTACAAAGTTGGCGATATACTCGATGTCTCCTGGGTTACAAATGCCGATGTTGTAGATTTGATCATCAATCAAAAGGGCACGCCTGACACCGAGATAGATAGACCCCCTAATTCTGGTAAGTGGTGTAACAATGTGTTTGTGTAGAGCCTTGACTGACATGCTTGATACTCTTAGAATCCATAGCTCAGAGTAAAAGTTCATATACCTGGAAGGTCAACACCGACGGCACTGATGGAGGCGCGAAATTTGATCTTACTTTCAACAATCAGTTCAATTTCATGCTGTTTGTCCATGGACAAACCACCACGATCGCAAGTTCGGGATATTTTAATGTTTCAAACGCTACAATCGACGCAACTGGCAAGAAAATAAAAATATCTTCTTCCGTATCATTGTCACCCACCAGTCTTTCAACTTCATCTGCTGTCTCTTCCTCCGCCTCACCAACCAGTCCGCAAGCAGCCAGCGCGACAGCATCAGCCACAAGCACGAGTTCAACCCCAACCCCAACAAATACGAGTACGGGCCTGAGTACAGGAGCCAAGGCTGGACTGGGAGCAGGCCTCGGAATTGCAGGCGTTGCTGCGATTGCCGGTCTTGGCTTCTGGTACATATTATCTCTCCGAAAGAAGAGAGAGAAGGAGATGGAGATGGATGAACATCGAGGCAGCGCAGACCCTAAACCACCGCCATTATACGCAAACGAGAATTGGGCGCCCCCGTCGGAGCTGCAAGACGTAAATTCAACGGCAGTACATCCCACCAGAGTACCGTTACTGTCATCACCGCCGTCCGAGTTACATGTTCCCCCATCAGAAATGCAGGGGCCTCCACGCTCTCAAACTCATCCTTATGAATTGCAATAATGTATGATGAGCATTAGTCAATTGTCTATTTTTTCTGTATGGAGTTTGGAGCGCAATATATACACATAAGAATAATTTACCTTGGCCCATCTTACTTCCACGTCAGTTTCTTATTTCCATCAATCCAAGTCGAAGGAACATTGTGTACTTCGATTAGTATCATCCAAGTTGAAGTGATCAGCTTCTTTCCAGACCGTTTGTAGTAAGACTAGATCCTCGCAAGCTATGCTGTATGACTTGCAGGCATATATATGCCCTGCCCCTCTCCCGTCATGTCACACATATCCCGTGTTGGCGCGAGTTGCGTCACTTACCTAGAGACAAGTCACAAACATTCAGCCTCTGGCTTGAATTCAAACGGTTGGTCCGCTTAGGAAGTAGCTGCAATGCCCTACATGCATGCTCCGTGGCCTGCCTTGTTCCTCATCGCATAATGTCGGATGCATCAAAAAGTTACAAGTCATACATCTACTGTCAGTACGCTTACTAAATCTATAACCAGCATTCTGTACCCACCCCGCGTCTAGACTCCAGCAGCCCCTGAACCAGCGAAATATAAATATCCCATGCCCCGGGAAATAAACAGCATTAGCAGCACAGAAAACCAGATGAACGTCCCATGCATCAATTCGAAACAATGACATGAGCGAATCGGGCATTCATTCATTCATATGACGACCTTCCATCTGCCCAATATAGAACTGCACTCATGAAATTGCATGTGGGCGTCGGGCGGGCCTCAAATCTCCCTACCCTGCACCTGCCTCCTGCCCTGCCGCCGGTCATATTTTCCTCCGTGATCCTAGCGCCTACTGTATGCGCATGGATGCTGTCTGTGGCTTACATGAACCTGTGGCGTCTGCACCTTTCGACGAAGCGTTGGTTTGTATGTGAAACGGACTATCCGCATGCGGCTTATCGTGCTTACCTTATAGTGCCTAGGTACCTTACTGCGGGGTTCTCTGCATCTGTACAGTACTGTATGCACAGTACCAAGTACTGAGATGGAATAAATAGAGTTGAGGCGAGCTTAGGCGATGCGATTGATTCCCTTTGCTCTCTATGCTTGAGGTACTGTAAGGTACATTGCCTTGGAAACACCTTGATTAGGTATTTGATTCCGCTTGCAATCAATCTCGAGTGGGAAGGGAAAGTCACCAACCCGGCACGAACGTTGAGAGGGAATTGGCAAGGAGTAAGTAGTACTGCTTAGACTTGTGGAATCCCTCAATAGGGTAGGTTGGTTCTAGGCTTTATAGCAAGGCAACACTCCGTCCGCTATAGGAAGAAGAAATATGCAGTCTCGGTCGGTCTCACGTGCATTCATCGTACTCCGTATGCCAAATTTCAACTCACGCTCTATCGCTCCTGCTGGATTCGGAAACAATATAGAGAGAGTACTGTAGAACTGTACCTAGCCAAGTAGGCACCCTATTTAAAGGTAGGTAGGTCATCATCCAATCGGTCCATCCATCCGGCCATGGATATGATATATCCAATAGAAGGACCGCCAGATAGACTCGAGGGCATCAGCACATGTCATCCATGAACCACAGTCACAGTTGGTACTTGCACCGGGCTAGAAACTTCTTTCAGGTCAGGAATCCTCCCTTCGTTCGCACCTCATATGTACTATACTATACCCCGCCTCGCCTCGCCAACTCAATCTCCCCCTCCCTTCATTTCAATCCACCCTCCTCCTCCAAACGAAACGAAACCGTTCATCATCCCCCCGCCATAAAGCGGCTCTTATGCACCAGGATTAAAATCTCCTCCGTTCCGCAACCCGGCCCACCCCACCCCACTTCACCCCATCCATCCATCCATCCAGCCCAGCCCAGCCCAGCCCATCTCATCTCATCTCATCCCGGGAAAAAAAAAAAAAAAGACCCTACCCAGAAGGCCATGCCATGGATCATCAAGGCCGGAACGCACGAAAGCACACGCAGAAACGCACGCGTATGTTTGATCGTCCAGCATGCCTCCCCTCCCCTCCCTTGGCGCGACGTGTTACCCTTGCGCCTTGGCCTTGGCCTGGCTGGCGGGTAATCTCTGCTCTGCTCTGCTGTGCTCTGTTTTCGGTATACCCAGTGAGGGGTAGCCGAAATGATGGCATGGGATGGCATGTCTTGCTTGTGATCTTATGGTACGTACGAATTGACGGGTGGTGGAGATTTGATACTATGGCGTTCTGCTATGTGCATGGTGTATGGAAGAGAAGGGAAGAAACTTGGGGGAAACGAAACTTGAGGGAGATTTGCGGGAAAGGAAAGGAAAGGAAAGGAAAGGAAAGGAAAGTGTCGCGAGAAAAGGTTTGTATTTGCTGGTTTTTCTCGTAGGAGACGAGTCGCCTAGTGCGCGCGCAGATTTGCCTTGTCTTGTCTCTCCCTCGACCTACTCAGCCTTTTTTTCTTCTATTCTATGCCAGTAGCATGATTGATTGATTGATTGATTGATTGATAGCTCTCCATTTTTGCTCCGTTCTGCATGCATCTGGTTTATCTGTTTTCCTGCTCAAGGAATCTTCCCCCTTTCGTGCAATGCAATGCAATAACACAATCCAATGGCGCCGTCATCCCGGTTTCCTGCCAGCCCAGCCCCCTAAGCCATGGACGGACGGTCCATGAAGAAGTAATATTTACAAAGTGAACCGAACCCCGTGCATACATACTATGCTACGTCCAATCTCCCATCTTCTATCCTTCAGCAAGCTGCAGGTAGATTGACAACCCGTGCCAGTCCACCTAAATAAAGTCCACCAACAAGTACTGTAGAATTGAAAAGTCATCATGATATGATATAACAAATGCGGGGTCCTTGCCCCGTCATCTCAAGAAGCGAAGTAAATGATAATATACAGTTTGTACAAAGTCTCCCTCTCGGGTTTTCAACCAGCCCGGCCCATACATAGGGCCATAGGGAGACAAAGGGTAAGAGCTTTCTTTCGTGCATGAAAACTACTCGGTAGAACGAAAAGGTATTTGCGACTAAGCGCAATAAATGGGTATCTTATAAATCGGCAAGGCGCAAGGCAAGGCAAGCAAAGCCAGAACAGGAAGTAATGCGCGCGGAGGGCTCTAATCCGGCTGGACGTATCGTACATATCCAAGGAAATGAGATTTGATGTTATTTATGTCCAGAGAGCCGATGGGTTACGGAACGGAGAATCGTCTCGATGTTTTGGTTCGCGCTGCTTATTCATTCCGCGTGCAAGGGCCATCCACGGCACATGGCTCTTTCTGAAACAAATCTAATCTCGTCCATCATCTCGCTTCGATCGTCGTGGATTTTCGTCTTCGGGCGTGGTACGTCGTTCCTCATGCCTCATCTCCGGAGCCCCCGCATACTGAGGGTTCTGTTGGGGTTGTTGATGTTGATGTTGCTGGGATTGTGGTCGCGAGTCGCTTTGCTCCAGAAGTGATGAAACTGGATTCGAACCTCCAGACCGTCGTCGCGTCTCTATGTGACCCATTGAAGATTGTCCCGGCTCGGAAAACTGGCCTTGATTCGGTGGTGACGGTACGCTTTGTCCACTGAAGCTGCTTTCAGTATGTCGATGTCGGCTCGCTGGTCGGCCGTAAGAATCGAGCCCCCTAGCTGACAGGTCACTTCTCTGTCTTGAATGACCACGTCGTCGACTGGAGGGTGTGTTTGAAACCGATGATCCGGCCTGCGAGAAAGGCGGTGACCTATACTGCGGTTGTGAGGTTGGTGGTGGTGCTGGTTGGTGTGGTCCCGTAGCCTTTCGTTTCTTTGGGGATGAGGTATGATCTATGCCAATTGTTAGTTGACCTTCTATCATTCTAAAATACAGCACATTATCTATGCTTGCCTGGAGGTGTAGCCGGCTGAATACCACTGCTCGTACCTGCTTGGGAAGTCGGAGGCTGCCAATGATGAAAGTAGATTGATGGTGAAGACTGAGTTTCTTGCTGCTGTACTGATTGTGACTGTTGCAGTGGGTGCGCTGGTTGGCCAGGTAATATTTGCATGGTAGGACCTGGAGGAGGTGCTTGAATGAGCATTTCACCTGTATTCAGCCTAGGAAGATGCGACGTTGGAGGAGGCCGGACAATCGTACCCTGCCCTTGTGCAGTTTGTCGAGCTCTCGAGGCCGGTGACATCTGGTAACTGGGAAGAAACCCAGCGCTTTGTTGAGTGCCACCAGGTACTACGGGAGTGGAAGGCAATGTCATAGGTGCCGGAGGCTGCTGGCCACTGAACGATTGGGCATGTGCTCGAGATTCTCTCCTCGGTACTTGTTCAGGAGTAGTCTGCGCCTGTGAAGGAAGCAGCTGCGGCTGTTGCTGACTCTGCTGTTGCTGTTGGAGATGGTGCGCTTGTGCCATATAATGCTGAGCCCATTCGAGCGAGGCACCCGGTAGATTGCCACCCCCCATGCCAGCAAATACCATGGGAATCATGTAGGGCGGTATTCCCCCATTTAATGACGCTCTCAACATTTCTTGCTCGATTTTCCGTTGCTCCAATCGAAGTGACTCCTGTCTTGTCTTCTCTTCCTCTTGCTTGCGCCTGTCCTCTTCCGCCTTAGCTTGTAGCCAATTCCTCATAGATTCTTCAGCTCCTTGCCATTGCTGTGGAGGAGCAGGTAGCTGTCCCATAGGCTGAGTTAGTGGAGGAGCCTGACTTAAAGCTGGCTGGGCGATCGGTAGTGGTGGTGGAGGTTGTTGTTGCTGCTGTTGCTGCTGCTGTTGCTGTTGCTGATTTGGTTGGGGCAATGTCATGGCCGCCGGTGGAGGCAAGCCTCTATGCGGGGTCGACATTGGCTGTGGTGTTGACTTCCTGGCTGGCAGGGGAGGAAGAGACTTGTTGATAACAGAAACGACACTCAAAGGAGAAGCAGTCGATGCTACTGGGGGGGAGAAACGAGCGGTAGAAGGTGGTGTAGGCGGTGTATAGTCATGAAATGACTTGTAACCTTGATGTGCTGGCTGTTTAATAGTGAGCAACATGTCGAAGAAGAATATTGAAGTGAAAGAAGAGAAACATAAAGTGGTGGGAGGTAGAAATGACCTTTGAAAAGAAGACGGTGAGGTGTAAGAAAGGCCAGCGGTAGGCGAGTGGGATGGGGTTGACTTTTATGTAGACTGCGAGACACCCCACATGCGGGTAGTATTCATGCCCAGCACAGGTACCGGTATAATAGGGTTGGCTGTATGGTTACCGAGAGGGAGGGTATATCAAAATATAATCGGAAGAGACCAAGTTCGAATATGGTAAAGCTGGTGCCTACCCGGTGAAGATTGATTGGGGCCCACGAATCACAATGCTTGCTACTGAGAGCTTGCGATCTGGATTTCAACGGTTGCTTGACTGCAAGGTCGATCTCCTCGTGGACGAATGGTGTGTGGATGAAGAAGTGCTAGAGTAAGGCTATCAAGCTGCCGAATGAAATGTCCAGATCGACAGGACGTTACAGGACAAGAAAGAAGGAGAGGAATTAGAAACGAGCCACTCATCATCCAGCAAACAGCAGGACTCAGACAGATCCTTCCATGTTGCTTTTGTTTATACTTTAAATTGGTCGTGTGTGAATAGAAAGAAACTAAGGTATGGGGCTGATATTACACACGGCAGCCATCAAGGCCTGTATCCATATTGGTGAATTTGCCGAAGGGGTTCCTAGTCTAGTTGCGGCAACACTCTTCGAGAAGAATTTTAATATATCTGAAGGAGAGTTTGGCCGAACTTAGACATGTCTGTAAAGGGTAGTGGGAATGGCAATGGTAATGGTACTAACTAAAAGTGTCACAGTTTGAATTTCACATACAACCGGGTCAAAATACAGGACCGTGTGTGTAATTAGGGGGCCTTATCCGAGATGTCAGTGGCAGTAATCACATCGTAGTGCGTAACCTCGTAGTAAATTACCAAGTAGTATGCTAATGGGAAAATACATGGCGTAGGATGCAGACCGCAGTCAGAGTAGCGTATTGTGGGCAGTGGGCAGTGGGCAGTGGGCATGGTTGATGGATTTGGTTCATGGGTTCAACTAATGAGTACTCTGTACAGTAGAAGTAACTTGGTTCTAGCGTCTGAAGCTTCAAGCTTGGAGCTGCTGGGGCTGCTGGAGGGCTGAAGCTTTCGGCTGGAACATTGATTGCGGTTACTGTAGAACTTAGCACTGCTGTACTGTACCGCGTGTGGCGTTTGGTGCCTAGAGAGAAACCCTCCTCTCGAGTGAGTGGTGCGTGCTGCGGACATTATTGTTGGTCTGGACTGATTGATGGAGACAGAGCAAGCATATAGAGAGGCTGGACCAGGACCAAGACCAGGACCAGGAACCTGGGGTTTGATTTACTCCGTATAGTAGAATGACCGGTTACTTTTCGTAGTCAGACAGCAACTTGAGGTGCTGTACGTACCGCCCTGCGATCCCCTCTGCTGACGGACGTTAGACCGCATTGAAGTGAAGGTGGGATAACGAAGATTGCAGGGTTCGAGATGGGGCGTCCAGGATGGTTCCAGGGGTGGTACTCGCATGCTCCACTCCTGGTACTCCATACAGTACTCCGTACTTACAGCACGCAACGCTGAGGCATGTCCGGGCCGGGATGTGTACCGACATTGACTGGGATGCAGAAGGATGGCCCGGGGTGGGTAAGCTCCTCCAACCTGATTCGGTACTAGTTGGATCTTGAGATTTCCTACCTGGTAGTCATTCGTCAAATCCTGCGTGCTTTGAAACACAGGACGATCTGCAGCCCGCATTTCTATTGGGCCAGACCTGCAGCCATGTAAAAGTGACTTTGAACGTCAGCCACACTTTCTCACTGCCAATCATTTCTTCTCATACTGATGAGACTAAATCTCCAGTGGATACATCCGGGACCGCGGGGAGGCGAATGCAGTTCAGATGAGTACGGTACATCAGATATGTCAAATAATAACACCACAGAATATTCCGCCAATACCCGTTAATAGAACTTTGGGAACAGTCATTATTACTGCAATAGGTCTTGTCATGCGAGCGGGCAGAGAAAAACAAACCTGTTTGTTCGATGCAGCAGGGAAAAATGCAGCCTTTAAGTCTTCGAGGCCCACCGTGAATGTGCTACCTGAGGTTCTTGATGAGTTCGTAACCACTTGGTGCTTGTTCAAAAGGACAATGCTATATTAAGCGTACCCGGTGTAGCCTGCCCTGCTACTTGCGCACCAGTTGCGGGACAAAGCATATTGTATTGGCATCGGACTTGCCATTAAGAAGGGAGTTCTCCGGACGGCGCAATTAACTGGCTGAGATTGGTACTGTAGGATTTTGGCTTTTTGTGGCTTTCGCTTCGCTGGTCTGGTCTGGTTCGCATCAAAAAAGAAAGCTGCAAAAGATCTAATTTGGATCCCTTTGAAGCTTTGCTTTGCACCTCAATCGTTTCGAGGCACAGACTGTAGGATTAGATCATACCGAACCGCTAGCTAGGATCATAGAGTAATCAAAGCTTTGATTATCCTGCCAGATGGGACGGAGATGGAAGATTGAGGACGTTTCCAAGGCCTGTCAATTTTCGAATGAAGGACCTTGAGTCATTTTGTGGCAGCATGCCATACGACGCCTCAAATGCAATTCATATAATGTACCTCGTTAGACCCGTGACACCGAGATTGCCGCGCAGTGCTCGTACATGATTATTGTTGGATTATGTGAAGCAAGTATCGGTCGGTACTAATACGGCAATTGTGGCTGAATGGCTGAATGCTAAAGTGTTCTTCTCCTGCGTCGCTTTTTCGGCCGTTACGAATGAGGTCGAGAAAAGGTAGCAAAGTGTCTCTTGACCACGCTGAAATGAAAGACTTAGCTCTATCAGCCTTGTCTAGTCCCGCGTCACCATGGCTACTAAAACTTGTGGCGATGAGGCCATTTATTTTGCTTTTCATCCAGAGGGGCAATCGCAGAACAGTCTGTATGTCCAGTGACTTCATGTGTGTTGATTTGCACGAGGCCGAGGCAAGTATATTGGCTTGAGTGGACAAGTTGTGGCCTGCCACTTTGAGACTTGCGCTGCATCGTGAACCGCTCGAGTCAACGAACACCGGGTGCAGACAGACAGTCGTGCAGATGTTTGACGCAAAGTAGTCTCGCTCATATGCCGACCAATTTGAGCCAAGCAACATACATACGAGTAGGTAGGTAGACCGGACCTAGCATGAAGAAGTGATATCGCGATGCAAAAGGTTATGCCACCACGGCACGGCGAGCTGCAGTTTCCAGCAGTGGGAGTTGACCAAGGAATTGAAGCCACACATGCACAGCTTGCTTGCCTATAGTACTCACTACGCTAGAGGGAGCAACTACCTACCTAGCAAAGGACGGGATCTCCCCGAACGATGGCGGCTTGTTGATGGAAGATGGTTGGTATTCGTATTCTTCTTCGCGTGGCAACTACGAAGGTATCTAGGTAAGATGTGGAAGAACTCCAGGTCTGTTGCTAGGGGTCCTCGGAGGCTCAGAGACATGTTATTGGCTTCCTCGCATCCATCATTCAGGCCTTCCTTGGAAGATATTAAATAGTACTTGTCGAGAATGGCAATGTTATCGAAGCTGCCAAGCACTTCTCGGAAGATTTTATTCTTCGGCCGCCGTTCCAATTTCTCAAGATTTGAGATCCAAGATTCAAGATTCAAGAAACGGCAAGTGGGGTTCGAGATAGCTTCCGAAGCTCGGGGTCGCCCTTTCGAATTTCCAGTTTCCTGGTGAGGCATAGTGTACGGTAGGCTCGTAGGGTAGCTCCCTTTTCAACGTTGCGGTGGGTTTCTCGCCTCGAGAAGACATACTGGACTGGATTGTATTGGATTGGAAGATCCCCTTCCCCTTCCGCTTCCGCCCAGATCTCATCTCAACCCACAGCTTTGGGAAAATGTCTCACACCATCACTTGATTTATGCGGTCCCACCCACCCGGTTGAAGCCATGTGGATACCCTGACCGTCTGGTGCATCTCCAAAGGCGACGGAGTTATGAGTAGTCAGCTTCAAATCCTACGTAAGAATCTACGAGCAAGGAGAGCATTGTCCATAGCAGGCTTAGGGGAACAGAAGAATAGCAAAATTACAGTTCTGTGGCGACGGGCTTCTGCAGCCACATCCACATCCACATCCACATCCCTCGAGTAGTAGGTTGCATGCATGACGACCAGTTCACAAGTCCTGCTTTGCCTTACAGTATTTTCAAGATTTGCAGCAGGCATCATGATGATCAAGTCGATTCGATTCGTGCCGTTGGTGGGTTGATCAGTTATCGATTCTGTAAAAAGCCTTGCCTTGCCTTGCCTTGCCTTGTCCTGCCTTGACGCCCAACCAACATCTTCCCTCGATCTGATGACCCAAAATTCTAGATCCAAGGTGGTCACCATCTTGACGCCACAGCATCCCAGTCGAGGTCCGATCGTCCAGCCGCCGCCTGCACCACTGCACTCCCCTACCCGTTATCCAAGATGAAACCGCATCAAGCCACACGCTAACGCCGCAGTCGAGGCAGCTCGAGCCGCATGGGAAGCCCCTAGTGCCACCCGTTCACTCCACACGCCCTGCCACTAGTCCTGCATAGTACCTGTGACGGGCCACCGAGCACTACTTGGGCTGCGACGAGCACCAGAACGGGAAAATATCTTGCAGGTTAGAAAGGAAGTACCTCGTATCACAGCTTCACAGCTAGTCCTGCTTAGGCGACCTTGGGCCATATAAAGTTTTTTTTCCAACGCGATATCTCATCTTTCCCCTTGGCAATTTTGCAAATCTGAAGATCCATGAAAAGACCTGAAGACGTGGGCAAGTGCCGGGGCTCTAAACCCTTTGTGTTTGTCTCTTCAATAGTGTTTATTCTAAATAGGCTTTGTGACAGTCTCACATCATCCTTTCTTGCTTTCTTTTAGAGTTAGGATTCGTGAGATTGTAGGTGTATAGTTAGGACTCTTTGAGCTTCATTGTGGACTGGGCGATATGGAATCTTTCTTTTTATAGGGTTGAACGCATTCTTCCATATTTGTTAGGTGAAGTCCTGTCTTTATGGACTTGGCTTTTTATAATAAAGATAGGTCTTCACTTGAGAGTTAGCTACATCGTTGTGAGCAAGTTCGCTGTGTTTATTGTTCCTGCCTTTTTGCTTGAGACTGCATTATATTAGGTGGTAGGTAAATTTTATAGATCTACAGAATACTATTGGATTAGTATACTTTTGGATCAGTATACTTTAAAGCTAAAGAACACCGGTATGTTCAATGATCTTTCTATCTATCCACTTAGAGTTTATCTAATACCTGCCATCTCCTAGCCCTGTAATATTATCGCACCTTGAAATGTCCACTAATCCCCTTTGGCTATTCTGCTCGCTATCAAGCCCAAGTGAACTTTCCTCCATTCCATGGCCAGATCAGATCAGTTCAGATGGTCGATACCTAGAGTAGAACTCGAGGTCCGAGCCTGATGGTAGGCAAAAGCTCAGTATTCTATCTTACCCCACTCACTCCTTCAGCTGACCATGCCCCCCGCGGCTCTGCGCAAGCTCCGGGGCGTTGACAAAGGCTGTGCCAGCTGACGCATCTGTATTTAAGTAGGAGTAAAAAAGAGGTTATCTACGTGGAAGTAAGAGAAGGCCGGGGGAAGGTTATAGCGTTCTAGGAGAGGTGGGGGGGGTTATGTTGCGCTTATAAGTAGAGAGAGAGAAAGTATAGTGCAGTAAGTATAGAAGTAATAAAAGAGAGATAACTAAGAACATATATGGAAACACTTCTACTAACTACTTTTCTAAGCTAATTATATACCCTGAAACTTTTTTAATCTACACTGTTTACTATCTCACCCCGTACCCTTAGTTAATACGTCAAAGTTTAGGTTACGCGTCAGAGAAGAACGTAGACACTAGCGCTGGCAATCAAGAAATCCTAGCTAATCTTAATCAACCCGTTAACGCATTTATATGCCATATCCGCACGTGTTTTTTTATCTCTAGTCGCTACTCACTTGCTTTTATGTACAGCTACAAGTATTATATTACGCGAGGTAATACTATACTACTATGTGGCACAAGTGTTGTTCCACCAGATGTGTAGGTTGACTAGGTATAAGGTTTCATTGCTATCTTCTTAGACACAGTAAATCAACTCCGGAGAGAATATCAGGTTTATGTTTATAGGAGCATAGTAAATAGTTGCGGGACAGGACAAGCTTTCTCGGCTCACCCTCTATCTGTATGAGTTCATGTGCATGGAAGTTGATATATAGTTCTTTCGAAATAGAATATGGCTCTGGATCTTCTATGGACTTTCTAAGCTGAAGTTTCTATAGCGTGTGCTTGCATATCAAGATTCCTAAGCCAGCACTGCCTGGTATGATATATTATAGAAATTGCAGAAATGTCTAAATTAGTTCGGACATTTTATAAAAGAGTAATAAAACCCCCAAAAGCATCTAGTCTAGATTATATTACTATCAATAGATCAATATCCAAAAAACGTCTTTATTATCTAAGGATGTCTCTCTCATAGCCTACCTGTTCAAGCCATCAGCGACACGTACCGGCGCCACGGTGTCAGGATTCCTTTAATACTTGACTTCACCTACCTTATCCCTAGATCTCTCTATATAAGTTCCTAGCCCTTCTCACTAAACAGATTCGAAAAATATCCTCTTAACTCCTACTACTTTTCGAAAGCAGAACCTAGGAGGGACTGAAACCCATATTTACATAATCTGCATATGCACATACAGTACTCTCCAGCCATTTGCTTGGTCCCTGTTTAACATATCCCTCTAGCTTCGTATGTACAGACACAAGCAGCTCTTTAACTTCTTTCCAAACTAGTATAGTAGCTCAAGCGAATGAGTAAGGGAACGTACGGACAATAAGACATATTTGGAGAAGAGAAAGACCGACGTGACTATAGCTACTCACCTACTACATTGTTCACATGCAACCACGCATTTGAATTCACAACTGCAGAAGTGAAAGCCTAATATAAGGAATTCCCTTTAGTTTCAAACATCTTACTTATTTCCTTCTACTTAAATCTCACCTTACCTACCTACCTACACGAAATCCTATGAACGAAAAAAAAAAACCCCCATTCAACTCACGCTGAATGCAAGCCTATCACTTCAGTAACAAGTTACTCGCCTCGATCCCATCCCCAAATCTACCTAGCTTGATAACCACCTACCCACCCCACCTACCCCTCTCAACACACCCACTACCCATGAACCACCAACCCGTACGCTCCCTCACGCTCCGTCCCAGAACAAAAGACACACGCACAGCCGCCATCTAACATTTCAACATCGGAACTGTGTTTTTCTGTTATTGCTCATCGAATTTTCTCTATATACATGCATATACACATACATATACGTATACATATACGTAAGAATGATACCCCAGATGCATGCATGCATTGCATTACATTGCATTATCCAGTATCTGCGCTAAGCAAGCAAGCAGAAGCAGAAGATGAAAACTAAAAAGCACACACACGCAAGGTGCAATTATTTATAGCAAGGAAGTGCCAGAAGGGAAAAGCAGAAGCAGGAGAAAGAGTTATATAATTTCTAAAGTTGTCCGATCGTCGATTCGTCTGTTGGTATCACAGAGGGTGAGCACTTCGCACTAGCTAGTAAGACTTGATACTGGTTTTAGTAGTTCTTATTTATCATTTCTAGAGGCTATTGTGTATTGTAGGATAAAAAGAGGTTATGCCTCCTTTGCTTATATCAGCTGCGCTAAGTCATATGACTAGAACGGTCCGCAACCACTCCTCATAGTCCCGACACGTCGGTAATTGATATGATGATATGTATTGAAACCAAACGAAACTAAACCAAACTCATGTCATATTCTATCGTATCGTATTATGTTATACAAATTATTACCAGCATATACTAACTGACTTGTACCATCCCTCTCCTCTTTCTCCATCTGTGCATTATCCATCACCCCGGCTCCAAAACCGCACTCTAATATTAGCTGAGGATAGCGCTAGCTAGCTCCTCCATTACCACCACCGCTCAATTATCAAAAGACAGCAGCGCCCGCATCTGGTATATCCATCCACTCCACTATTGATATGAAGAACGCCGGGCTGAAATAAAGCAGAATCCGTAAACGCGTAATGGTATAATGCGCAAAAGCAGAAAGACTCACACCCAACAAAGGAAACATGCGTCTGCGCGCCTCGTCTTAACTCCTCCGTTTCGCCCGATGCAATTTCCACTCTGCTTTCGTGACGCGCATCAATAACTCCTCGTCTTTCACAGGAATCCAACTTGTGAGCACCTTCATGGCGTTTTCAAAGTCGCTGTCCATCAAAATCTCCCTCATACCGTCAATTAGCGCTGCGCTTGTTGCGTGCAGTACATCTAGGCCGCCATTGAACGGCTCTTCTTTGGTAGGTGTTGAATTGAGGTCCGAGTCACCCAGTAGCATAAACACGTCCCAGACGCGGAGCTGGGCGGGGAAGGGAATGGAATAGTTGAAGAGAGTGAGGTACCAACGTGTTCCGTAAGCAGTGGGTTCAATACAAAGTTCGGTCTGTAGTTGTTAGCCTAGCCCAGGGGAGGCGTAGAAATCAGGAACTTACGAGCTTTTGGGACACTTCGCCGCCCTTGAACCATTGTTTTTCCAACTCGTCGAGGGCGGACATTAGGCCCGAGAAGCCGGCTTCATAGAGTTTGTCCAGACCTCGTAGGGTCCACATCCGCACTAGCATTACGAAGCACCGCTCTTCGTCGTAGTAGCACAGAAGAGTGGCAGCCAAAGATGCCATCCCTTGCACGTAGCCTGTATCGGGAAAGTATAAAGTCAAGGAGTGAAGTACCCGAAATAATAGTCTTTGCCCTCCCCGGTACCGCCGTCTGAACATGATGTGGCTGTTGATTGTCCTGGGAACGTCGATATCGATCTGAACATCGTCTGCCGAACCTTGCTGCAATAACTTATGGAAGGCTCCGATGATCGCTTCATCAGTCGCACTATCTTTTCTCTTCTTCGCTGAGCTGCTTAGGAACGAATGCCAAGCCGCAGCTCGCCACCGGTCGGGTATCCCTTTCCACGTGCGCTCTATCAATTTTGAACTCCGGGTATCGAATTCGAATTCCATCCCTTCTCCATCTTTGCCCGTTTTCACAATTTTAGCCATCTTTCTCCATTTTTCGGCACGTTCCCACTCTTTCTTCTTCAAGTCTTCGGCAGCTTTCCCCCCGTCTTCATCTTCGGCGATATCCGCTAACCCGGGAGGTAATGTGAGCATGTCACCTGCTTCATCCCTCCACCGTCTGTCCCGATTGCCCGGCAATAAATTGGCAGCGGCTCGGAGCTGCGCCCTGGAACTACTCCTCGCTGAAGTAGAGGAGACTTGGGTATTTAGAGATCGAGCAGATACCTTCCTGCTGGGGGCTCGTTTAAAGGCGGCATTGAATGATGCCGAATTTGAAGGGGAGCGACCGAAAGCTCTCTTTTTCCGAGGGGTGTCTGAGGCTAACTGTAGTACTGTAGAGACTCTCTGAGGTGGTCTTGGTTCTGGCGTCCCGGGCCTGGAATTTCGGCGCATTTTGATGAAGCCATATCGATCCACGCAATTCCCATCGACATCTTCCCAGTCCTCTATCCCTCCAGCCAGCTCGTGCTCCTTCTTTTCGCTGTTTCTGCTTCTGGTAGATAATACACTCACTGGCCGCTCGAAATTATCATTAATATTAGGACTTAGAAGTCCATTGGAACTGTATTCGTTAGCTCGGCTATTCGTGCTTACCAGAGGAATAACTCACGTATTGGTTGGGAGCGCCTCCTCCAACGGGTTCTCTTCCTCTATATTCAACTCTGCATTTCCTGAATATTTCCCCTCCTGCCAATCGAGACTCGACCCTTGTTCATACATTGATCGAACTTTCTGAGACTCCTTCTCCAGATCATCGGATAGGACATTGATAGCTGGCGAAGCTAACATCGAGAAACTTGGTTGTCTGTCATGGTCATTAGCAACGGTTTTAGATAAAGTGCCCAACTTGAACGCACCTTCTGCCTCCCTGTGGTCTCGCATGACCATTGATACCCTTCTTCCCACCTAGCAGAATACTCCCACGTTTCGAAAAGGAGATGGACGCGAGGAAGTCCGCCTCAAGCAGACTATCAGTCGGTATAGTCGTCGTAATGGGTGAATACTGTTCCTCGGTGTCTTTCCCAGCAGAAGTCGGGGTCTTTGGCGGCGCACCGCTTTTTCTCGACCCTTTGGAAGTAGGTCTCCTCCACCGAGCGCCAGACATGCTGTAGCTCTTCTTCACAATCTTGGTATTCGCGAGGTTTTTCGATGGTGAATATGTTTGCGCCGGCTCTAAAGGAGCAGTTGGAGGAGGTGGGGGTGAATCAAAGTTTATGGCGACGCCCAGCACATTCTTCTCGGTCGATACAACCTTCAGCGACCCTTCTCTTGCGGTAGACGAAGACGTTGTGGTTGGCGCAAGGCCTGAGTCCCTCTTCTTCTCGTCGTGGGGTGTGCGCAAGGCGGGATGTGTGTCTGCTGGTGGCGCACGAGGGGGTGCGACAATAACTGGTAGGGGGGCCTTTGCAGCAACGGAATCCTCGTAGCGCACGGCGACCAATGCGTCACCTTTGGCGATCGATTTGGCCCTATTGCGAAGGGTGATTTTCCTCTCGGGTGCCATCATTCATGCTTTTGTGATGGGATTGAGTCTGACGGGTTGGTTGCTGCGTTGTCGCGTTCTGTCGTCTCCTGTATTGAATGAATCAATCTCCTTGCTGCACGGGGCAGGGGGCACCGGGGTGGAGCGAGTGAGTGGAGCGCGTACGAGTACTCACGTTCAGAGTGAGAGTGAGATTGAGGAAGTGAGAGAGTGAGCGTCGATTTTGGCAAATGAGGGTAGGGTAAAGTGATTGATCAGAACTGTGCAAAAAGGAAGGAATTGTGGTTAGAAAAGCAAAACTGAGTAGAGGAGAGGGCAATGAAAGACTCGGCGTGTCTCTTGGAAGTCGCGACGTGTACAAGTACAAAAGGATGGTAGAAATCAATGCTAAGAGAAAAGTATTTTTTCTCTCTCTCTCTCTGTCTCTCTCTAACGTAAGTTCTTTCTCTGCCGTCACCACCACTACCCACCAACACCAACGCAGCACGCACCAGATGGCGAGTCCCCATTTGTCATAGCAGGCGCCCGTCCCAGCCAAAAGCAGCCAGTGCACGATACACAAACCGGTCAATTCGCAGCGGTATATCTAATACAGTCTAGTACCATATCCGAACGAGGGGATTAAAATTGGAATCCCCACCGTTACCAAGTATCGTTTTTGGAGAACTTTGGGCCTTTGCCTTTGCCTTTGCATTCAAAAAATGTGCCGAGTAGCCACGCCTATGTGCGGAGTATGCTTATGAAGTTACATTATTATGGACGATCCTCACCTCAGGTCTATCTTGAAAATCGAGTATACTCGCTGCGGCTACCTTGGCAAAAGCTTCATTTCATTTCATTTCGTTTCGTTATCTATACTCCGTATGTACAGGGGTAGGACGAGGACGAGGACGAGACGAGATCTCAAGCATCGGATGAACCATCACGTGGAACTTCGAGATGCCATCCATGCCCCTCATGCACAGGGGCGGCCCGCCCGATGACCCCTGAATCAGTTCCACTACAGTACATGGGTATACCTGCCAGCGTAGCAAACTTAAACGTCAGCAAACATAAAACACTCCGACGACCCATTCCCAGTGTATCCCGAAGCTTTCTCCACGTTCTGTCCTACCAAACACAAACACAAGAACAAGAACAAGAATGCAGCCGGAGCGGTGTGTCTATGAAGCTGCTGACCCTGTCAGCACTCAGAAGTCCCGAGTAACTGCCGTATCCATTGAAAGACATGCCCTTTGCATGTGCAGACCAGACCTATCTTTGTTATTCCAAACATAAATCATCTCGAAGTCGCGCTCCAATGAACGCAGTACTGCCATACAAAAGCACGATCTGTTTTGTTTCCAACATCTGCTTCTGCTCCTGAGTCGCTTCATCCTGCCTGATGCAATGCATAGGTATGGTCCACGATTCTACGTACTAGAAATCTGGCTGGCTTCAAGACTTACGGATCTTGCTTTGCCAAAGGTTGCTTGCATTCAAAGGGCCGTTATTGCGTGAAATGAAGCATCGAGAGCTCTCTTACCGAACCAACCCCAAAGAGGTTCCGTCAGAATCCTTCAAGACCTGTGGGATCTAAACCTAATGAGGCTTAATCCCATGCAAGCCAACGAGTCCCTTGGCAGACTATGTATAGATTCTACCTCCTGTCTATCGCATTACTGTCCGTCCATTCAGCTTCAAGTTTTTAGTTTTTTGATACTCCAGTGCTCTTAACTCAATATGACTACCCTTCGCAAAGCTTGCGGCAACTGCACGGCTTCCAAACGAAAATGCATTATCCAATTACCACAATGCACCCGCTGCACTCAGAAGGGTCTAGAGTGTAGATACGATCTCGAGCCCCTGAGCGCACCGACGGGACAAGCAGGACAATTTCCTGATTTCTCGTTCAATCCATCTAATTGCGATTCACCAGGGTATTGCATCATGAAGACACTGAAATTCCGCGCTTCCGACATCGATCCAGCGATCTGTAGACCGGGACATGAAGATGCGTTCGAGGTTCTTCGTTTGGGGTTCCGATCAGTGCCAGTCCTTGCTAGGGCGGGAAAGCCTGCTGTTTTTTTACATCCGAAGTTGGAGTATAGCATTGACAAGCACTTTGCTGGCCTTGGAGAGATGGGAGATGGTGGCGTGTGCTGTGAAAGCTTTAAGCGCCTGGTTGAGATGGATGTCAAGACAGTGCCTGTAAAAGAGGCCCTGGCAGCCCTTCAAGCTCTTCTCGTCTACCTTGCTACATTCTTCTTCTCCAGTCAAACCGAACAGGAAAATGAAAATGCAGGGAGATTCCTCACCGTGCTATCTGAGTGGACTCAAGCTTTACTAGCAGCCGCCCCAAATGCAACCAAAATGCCTCGAAAAGCCCAGTCTCCGTGGCAGGAATGGTTATTGGGAGAAAGCATCCGGCGGACCATCATAATGTCATATGTCCTCTCTTTGGCTCTATCCGGTTTCCAATATGGGTATTGCTCTAATTGGCTGTTCGTGGAGTCTCTTCCATTTGATAGGCGCGCAGGCCTATGGATGGCTGAGTCGCCACAGGCTTGGATTGCAGCAGCGGAAGCTAGAAATGGTGACGAAGTAGGGCAACAACTCAATTCCTTGCATGAATTCGCCGAGAGCCTTGATGGGTCCCCCCTGGTGGACCCTAGTTTCCGTGGAGATGTGTTTTTGATGTTGCTCGTATATGCTCACAATGGGGTGGTAGACCCCGTGGGAACTAGGCTGAATCCGTCCTCGACGGTATCAGAATCTGACTTGGCCCGATTGTCGATCGAACAAGTATAGCACGGAGCGATATTGGTCCGTCGCAGTGAAGAAGCTGTAGTGTATATAAAGCTAGAACTTACTCGCAAACTCTCATCTCATCACTTCCTCCTCACAGCCTACTACCATGTCCTCGGAGAAGCCTCTTCTTGTCGTACTTGGTGCAACAGGCACCCAAGGAGGGTCAGTACTGTCATACTTTATCTCACAGTCGCCTCCACTATATGCTCTCCGTGGCATCACTCGAGATCCATCGTCGGCTAAATCCGTCTCCCTTGCTCGCTCGGAGTTGAAATGGTGGCGGGTGATTTTGATGATCCTTCCTCACTTGACGCTGCCTTCAAGGGGGCATCTGCCATCTTCAGCGTTACCGATTTCTGGCAATCTTTCGCCAACCCTTCACAGCGTGAGAAAGCCTCTAGTTCGAGCCAGAGTATTGGGGTTATATGCAGAGAAAACGAAGCCCAGCAAAACAGGAACATCATCAATGCTGCTGCCAAAGTTACCACTCTCGAAAGACTAGTTTTCTCCAGCTTGCCCAGCCCAAACAGGTTGAGCGCGGGAAAATACGCTCATGTCTATCACTTTGACGGAAAAGCGATGGGCGAGGATTACGGCAGATCAGCTCATCCCAAGCTTTGGGCGAAGACAAATGTGCTGTATGCCGGGTACTATTTGGAAAACTACTTTGGGGCCACGGGCCACCTATTTAGACCCCGAATGGTACGTCGAGTACATGACTTTGATTTACCAATCCAAGCCAGCTTAGATCTTCGACTAATGGATTCTTAGAACAAGGCCAAAGACACTCTCATTTTGTCAGTCGCAGATCCTCTAGCCACCACGCTTTTGCCCATGTATTCTGCAGTCGCCGATACTGGTACCCTCGTGCAGGCATTGCTTCGTGCTGCACCCGGTAAGAGGGTCATTGGCGTCAACCAATGGCTCAGTGTCCGAGACTTTGCCAAGGTTTTAGCGCGGGAGATCGGGAAGAAAATCGAGTTTGTGGACCGTAACCCAAGCTTTGACATCGGAGATCCTGATGTTGAAAAGGATTATGCGGATATGATGGGATTTTGTATTGAGTTTGGATATGAGGGAGGAAAGGTTGATAAGAGTATTGTGCAGCCGGCCGATCTAGGTGTGCCGGTGCACCTAGAGTCTGTGGAAGAGTGGTGTAAGAAGCAGGATTGGGAGAAAGTGTTGCAGGTTGATTGAATAATCTTCATACCCGCAGTCTACTTATTCCGGGCTGCAAATTCAATGGGTTATGAACAGATTTGTGAGGATTCGTTGACGTCTCTGCCGAGTGGAATTTAGTGTAGAATATACTTGTCGCAAATAATTCATTTTCAGGTAGACTTGAAAGTTGAGACAGGCGATGGTTGCCTCTTCCAGCAGACGTGGAAATTGAGACAGACACTTCCTCCGCAAACCCCCCCCCCCACTCTAAGTCCACCCCATAGTCGCAGGCGTTTAGTCTGAAAGAGCTTCTTTCTCAGTAAAGCGATGTATGTTCCATGGATATATAAGTGAAGCGACCAAGTCTGTGTCCTTAGATGGGCCATCATTTATTTCTTTGAAAAGCTTGATCGCCTTCTCAATATTAGCATCAAGCAGGCATAAGGAGAAAGAGGCGCTCTGGGTCATGGAATAAAGCGAGGGCGTACCAGTATGCGTAATGGCTTCCAATAAATGGCCAGGACTCCTAATATCATCTGCATATTCTTCATTTCCTCTGAATTGTACCCAGGAACCGCCACCGATTGGTCCGAAGATCTGTCCGACGGCATCATACTGTTATATCTCTATAGTGGTAGAATAATTAGCACGCGTGAGACTTGAAAGAACAGCTTTGGAGAGGCTACAACCCGCTTGATACTGTAAATAGTCTTTTGATCTTTAAATCAAATGCCATTTCAGTAGCACACTACCATTTATCATGTGGTAGAATCATTCAGACGGGTGTATCATATGCATTTATACCGTGAAATACGTACCAGGAATACGTTCCCTACCACAAAAGCCCCGTACCCGCTAAAGGGCCACAGCTTTGTTATATCCAGATCCTTTACAATAAACTGACGTAGAATCTCCGAAAACTCTGTTGCCAGCTGGAGAACCATCCCAGAGTTATATCGCACCGATCCACTTGATGCTGGAGCTTCCATGGTACAGTCCGAGAGGATCGGAACCATAGAGATATGCAGAAGAAGTCGACTCAGATAATACATGGAGCAAATAGATGTGAGAAGCTCAGGACTCTCATCGTAGAATTGTGCTTGAGAGCAGAGATCTGTGAGGGTCAGCTGAATAGAGCGTTCGATGGGGCCGAAAAGCTTATTCAATTCGTCAAATTGATAAGTTCGCTGAGAGTTTGTGCGCATAGCGGAATCCGAAATGAAAGCCTGCACTTTGGTCCTTTGTAGATTATAATTTTAGCTGGCCTCGTAATCACATACAAGTACATATAATGAGATATCACGCCTGGAGTTATGCCAGAGACATAAAATGAACTTACCATATTCCAGAAAGCTTGACCAATTCTGCCATCAATGAACATGGCGACGAAACAGCCGTCTCGTGATTCGCACAGGTCTCAGTACTCCAGTCAACTTCCATCTTCTGGCCCAGCTTGAGCTCCACTCCTCGGACTGACCCTCCTTTCTCAAATATCGCCGGCAGCGGCAAACCTGCAACGCTCTCACATGCCGTGGAGGAATCCAATTGTGTAGTACCAATGCAAAAACTACACCAACTAGCCCAAAAGCTTCGTCTTCTCATTTCTCGATCGAACTGCATGCTGCGGTTCGTCGAAGAGGAAGAAGCAACATCTTCGTACAACATATCGTAACCCAGGAGCCGACTTTGTTGATAGGCTAAAGATGCGTGAATGATGGCCCGCTGGGTCTCGCCCTGGGAGAAATAATAGAGTTGCAATACTTGAAGCGCTTGCGTCCTAAGGAGCGTGGGTTCATCAGCTTGGGAGAGGACTTCCCGACTTGCGGAACGCGCCCATGGCCAAGACATCTCGAAAAGTGTATGCATAGGAAGTATATTAATATATTGTTTATATTGCGAGTTGGCATCGACATGCTTCAAAAAAAGTGAGGCTTGTGCAAAGATGGCGCGGAGGAGGTAGTCTGGTATATCATTCTGCAGATAGAGCTGAAAAGCAATGTTTTTATGGAACAACAGGGTGGCATTATAGACTCGTTTGAAGTAGACTTCTAGAAGTAGTAACCCAACTTCCGTGGGAGGCAGTTTGGCGGCTTCATCAGTCTCTTCGGCCTTTGGATCTGCTGTTGTAGAAGGTTGAGATCGATGGTCATGCTCGGCGCCATTCGCCAACGGCGCCCTCGGCCGACTTCTCGTTTGTGCAATGCGCTTCCGATCTGGTGGCGACGGGTAAGAACACGCGGCTCTCTGTTTGCGACACCTTATACATGATGGCAGCTCGCGATTGCATCTGAGCTTCTGCTCTCGGCATCTCAGGCATGCGACAGTTGGTTTTGGCTGGTTTTCTTGGGGCCGTTGTTGTGGCGGTTGTGGCGCTGTGGGGCCGATTTCCCTTGGGCTGTCCACCTCCATTCCTATCCTGTGGAAGGGCAATCAATCCAGTAATAGAGGGAAGATCATTGTTTGAGATGTCCGCCAGTAGACTCAATTCGAGCCGCTGAATAATCCTGCGTCAGGCTCGGCCGAAAATGTAAAGTCAGAGTGATTGATCAGGTTGATCGGGGGAATCAGATGATTCAGCAAAGCTTAAAGATCCAGTGAGCATCGCATCTACTCGAGTAGCCGAAAAGAGGCAAAGCCCCAGATTAAGCGAGGACTCCAGGGGCAGTACCTGGGTATTCTATTGACTTCGAAGTTTCTTTATAGTTTTTAAATGGCTAAATGATGCGGAGCTCATATCCAGTACTGTTCTTCAAAGTCTTAGATAATTACTAGCACAACCAAGCTTGCAAGCAGGTTTGAAGCAGGCAGACGTAGATGAGGGAATAGTCACGTGATGTCGTGATTTAGCGCGACCGTCGTGTCTGAAGCTCCCACGTCTGCCTTTAACAACCCCTCCTTACCCCACCTCACATCAACACAACCAATACCTCATATGAATAGAGACGTTCAAGCTCACACAACATGGCACCAAAACGCAAGAAGACCGATGCAGCTGCCGATGAGGAGGATACCATGGACTGGGCATCCCTCACCGTCGCGAATCTGAAAGCTGAGCTTGTCGAGCGTGGTCTCCCCGTTTCCGGCAACAAGGCAGCTCTAGTCAGCCGTCTGAATGCCGCTGAAGGTGCTGGTAAGAGAATTTGCCACGAGCTGTGGGATAATCTCCTCGATTAAAGCTAATTAATCGCAGTCCAAGCAGATGCTCGCCTCGACCGGAGCGGCATGACTGTCGCACAGCTGAAAGCCGAGCTCTCTAATCGTAGCCTGCCCGTTTCCGGTAATAAGACAACCCTTCTCAAGCGCCTGGACGATGCCGATATTTTTCCCGCAAAACCTAAGAAAGCTAGATCAACTGCACTTCAACAATGTATTACCTTGTCTTCCCTACCGAGAGGAATTTTGCTGAACAATTCTCGTAGCTATCCATGATGCACCTGCACCTGCTACTGCTGCTGGAAATTCTACCTCAGCCGGCGAGAAGCGCCTGCGACCATTCGTCGAAACTCCTGATGCTGAATATGCCAAGAAATTGAAGAAGGTCCAAACTGAACGCCTCTTTATGCTGGATAGGAAGAAGGGTATCGACAAACATGGAATTGTATGCGAGGAATTTGATATGTAAGTGCACCTTTCCTAGATTTGCTGGCAAAGTGTTTTACCTCTTGACTGTCATCCTTTCCAGAAAACGAAAGTTCTAATACATCGCAGCGCCGGAAGTACTGGAAACGTATATCAGACGACGATTGGCAGAGAGCCTAGATGTGTCTGCATGGTGAGCTTGTTCATTACAAAAGCTATTTTCTTCTATGCGAGCTGTTTCAGGAGCCACTATGCCGACTTGAGACAGCTCCGGACTCCTCAGCTTCCTCTAAACACTTGATTTTGTGCTATGCTAATTCGTTGGGACAGGATGCGGTAAGTCCAGTCGCGTACAACCTCACTATGTCCCTTTCTGGCTGGGCGTTTATGAGCGCATTTGGTTATAGACGAAACGGCTTCCATGATCACCCGTCTGATGTGGGACTTATTTCGTATATGCTAATGAATGAGCTAGCGCATTCGAGGTCAGAAATGCAAGCACATCAAATACGCACTGATCATCATCCTCAAGGCTCCTGCCCATCTCTGCTACCAAGTCGCTTTCCTATCTAGCGAACTCGAGTCCATTTTTGCCAACGCACCTGTTACACGTGCGCCAGAGCTTGATGTAAGCACCCAGAGCCTTGTAGATTCCAATCGTCTGCCTTCGAATATAATCTGAAGATCTAAGGCATTCCCTTCTCAAGACATCGCTAACTCCAACAACTTCCAGCATAAGCATAACCACGCGGATGACGAGACCATGTACGCCGGGAATCGCAAGCCCATTGATGGCGAGTGCCCTATTTGTGTCTTTGACATGGAGCCGGGGGAAGACATCGTTTGGTGTAAAGCTGCTTGCGGTCAAAACTTCCATAAAGATTGTTTTGAGCAGTGGAGGCGTAGTAAGCACGGTGGAAAGGTTACTTGTGTTTACTGTCGCACAGAATGGCAGGAAGACGTACCGAACGGACCGAACAGACCGCCGCCTGGTAGTCTGGCAAACTTGAAAGACATGGCTCCGAAAGTTGGCTCCTACAAAAACGTATCTCATCTTATGCCGCAATACTCTCAGGACTATGGATAAGTTTGACATCTTGTTTCAGTATTCCTCAAAACGTGGGACAATATTTTGATATTTGCCTTCGAGTTGAAGATAGTATCTAACCTTAGTATAGTGGCATGGAATAAAACTCATGTTCTATTTTTTGAGGATTTGTCAGGCTCGATGCGCAGTTTGCTTGGCGCAAAGCCTGTTCTTGGTCGGTTTGTTTTCATCTGGTTGCTTTTATGGTTTAAGGATTGGTGGATTTTCCGGCGCAGATGTGGCTTTCATTTTGCTTTTATGGAAATACCCAAGAGTTCGCAACTAGATAAGAGAATGCAGTAATCCGCTCTACTTACAGGCATATTCTAGTGACTGAAGCTGGCAAGTGCCCATCCTTCCTACTTTGCCATTCACCCTTCTTTTCCACTGTCCGCTTTGACTATGATTCACATTTTGAACTGTGTTCATATCCACGGTAAAAGTTTCTACCACCTTCCACCACATATTTAATCTCGACGACAAGCAAGTTATGGTCTAGATTTTGTTTTTATCCTCCTTCTAAACCTTTGAGACACAACATCCTCTAGTCTCATCAACTTGCACCTGGCATAGAATTCACGATGCCTCCCAGCAACGTCCTGAACACTCAACGTACCTTCACATGTTTCCCCAGACTTCCAGTAGAGCTGAGACAACTCATTTGGGAGCATTGCTACCATGTCGAAAGAAACTTAGACATCTGGATCGTACCATTAACAACATTGAGGCCCGACAAGGAGGAACAACAACCTTTTAAATATATTACTACCACTCCGGCGCCAGCGATCCTTCATATTTGCGAAGAGTCCAGAGCAGCAGGTCTGAAGCACTATGATCTCAAATTCGAGATGGAATTCACTTTAGGAAGCTCGACACATTGGACTCCAAATCGGATCTATGCCAATTTTGGAACGGATCGCATTTTTCTCATGGGAGCGTGGCCTGAAGAGGCCTTGTATGATGTCGCCGGCTACGATATTCGGAAGTTGGCGTACAGCACGCAAACGATGAGTAATGATGACTACTCAGCCTACTTTTTCTACCGGGATCTCGATGAAGTCCTTTTATTTGATTCGAATCACAAAATCGAGGAGATTCATGGTATTGAATATACCGAAGTTTGTTTGGACAATGGTGATGCACGCCACTATGAATCTTTCCAGGAGACGCTCAGTAGCATGGAAGCAGATAGATGGAAGGATTTCGAGGATGAGAAGAGGAGGGTAGAGGAAGAAGGTAGCTCTGTCAAAGGTGTCCCGGTTCCAGTAGAGAAGTGTGTGAGGGTTCGGTCAATAACAATAAATTAATCTATGCATCTGGTAGATTAGGCTTTAGGGTTCGTTGGTCGCAAGATGCAGTCTAGGATAGGTCTTAGCTAGGTCATTTGGTCCGAAAAATGAAAAGAATACTATGGCGCCGATCTCCAATTGATATGATGATTTTGCTGCGACGTGCTCCCTCTTGCCCTTCTTGTTCACAAAATTAACACTCTTAAGTAAGACAGTTGCTGCTTCAGCCCTGAATACATCAGCTGGATAAGACTCTACAACATCAAGCTCCCTCCTGCCCCCCTTTTCCACTCCTTCCAAAACTTCTCGATCTCCTTAAGAAGCCCCTCCTTAACCACCCCACTCGCCCAACACGTCCCCACCGCATTCCTCTGACACTGAACTAACTCGTCATCACTGAAACCCCCTTTCATCTTCAACAACGCCAGATTTTCAACCACATAATTACTCTCTACATACGCAGGACTATCACTACTAACACTAATCCTCACCCCCTGATCCCACAACTTCCTAACACCCCCAAAAAGCTCCTGCTCAGTACAATGCCGCACATAAGCCCACGGACAGATCGTCAACCCGAACCCCTCCCCCCTCCCATTAATCAGCGCAATCAATTCCCGACTCAACGCAGCATCCAGCCCATGATCCACACGATCTAGCAGCAACGGCTCCGTCAAGATCTGCTTCAGATGCACATGAGCATCCGGCTGCGCCACGTCACTGTGCGCAGTCGTTTTAAAACCATCGCGCTTGGCGCGCGCGAAGAGAGCCGCGAAGATGGACGGCGGGTGCTGGAATTCGTTGCTGTCGAGCCCGATGCCTGCGATCATGTGGCGGTAGGGCAAGGCTGTGGTTTCGTAGTGCTGGAGTGCTGATGCGAGGGGAGCATCGCGCAGGATGCACATGATGAACTGGACCTTGACCTGCCATCACACCACATCAACTTCGATTCATTGAGCCACTTCTAGTATTCAAATCTCCCCCTTTATCACTGTAAAGGGTCAAACAAAGCAAGCTTACATTTAGCTTTTCCTCAGCTTCGAGCTGCGCGCGACGCAGTCCCGACATGAGCACGGGGATGGAAATCCCGCGGCGTGTGTGAGCTTGCGGATCAAACATAACCTCGCAGTACCTCACGCCCATGCCGCTTGCGCGGGTAAAATACTCCATGCTCAGCTCATAGAAATCTCGCTCCTCTCTCAAACATTCCATGCCGCCATAATACGCCTCGAAGAAGGCCGACACGCCCGGGCCTTTGACAGACGGCGGTTCTAGAAGCCGGTACGCTTCTTGGAGTTCTTCGACGGAAGTAAAGGTTTTGTTTAGGCGGGCAGATGTGAGGGGGATGTGGTTGCGGCGCGCGAGGGCGAAGCGGAGAGTGGGGGAAAGGGTTCCTTCTAGGTGGACGTGGAGTTCTAGTTTTGGGAGGGAGAGGAGGAAGGGGGAGGGGGCGGATTGGATGATGGATTTCCAGGTTTGGAGGAGGGGATAGGGAATTCGCCCCATTGTGACTGAGATTTGATTGATAATATTTGAATCCAAAATAATAGATGGCGAAAGCAGATATTGGGGGCACGTGGTTATAGTACTATATTCAGGAATTTTTCGAGCGACGCGCTGGTATCTATTACCCTTATATCACTGTAAACCCTAGCTGTACTCCAGTAGAGATTGACATGTGTAGTACGTAAATCATGACATCACGTGTACTGCTTGCACCTGACTACAGGTGAGGCATTTGGAAATGGGAAGGGTGAAACATTGAGCCTTCTAGTATTGTACAGCCCTACATATCTCTAAATACTTCTTCTGCTTCAAATAATCAATCCCGACTGGCAGCAATCAACTGGGCCATCATCTCCGCGAACCTACTAGGGAAGTTTTCGACATCCCTCTTAGCCTGCCCCACAGCAGTCAATACCTTCTTAATTCCGACTCCAACTTGATCCGTTTGCGTCATCTCTCCAAGCTCGTTCAAAGATGCAGCCAAGTCAGCATCGTTCTCGAACGCGCCGATCTCACGCAACAACGCTGCGAGCTCTTTGTGTGACTGGATGTAGGGAACGGCCAACTCGCGATCGAAGACAGGTTGTAGGTCTAGTTGCCGCATAGTGGATCGTTGGGATGTGGTGGCTATGATCAGAAGACGACGGTTCTGTATCCCGTTAGAACATTTCAAATTTAGGGGTGGAAGAAGAACTTACATTGGGAGGCTTCGTTCCGAACAACACCATAAGGGCTTGAAGAACGGAGTTCAAGAATCTGGGGCCAATGGGACTCCATTCGATAATACGCTCGATATCGTCAACAATGACACAGTTCTGCGGTGATTTGTAGGCGTCCTCAAAGACCTTGTTCAGATGTTGAATCTTAGCCTGCTCACTGAATCCCATCATCGCCTTAGCACGAACAAGTTTGACAAAGGGGAAACCGGAGTCTAGGGCAATCTTGGCAGCGAGGGCTGTTTTCCCTGAGCCTTGAGGGCCCCACATAAGAACGGAGAGCAGTGAAGCATCGGCTGAGTTCTTGACATAGTCGACAGAGATAGCGCCATCGCTGAGAATGTTCTCAATATGAGGACTGAAATGCACAATTCCTTTATCCATAGCGTCATCTAGTTCCTCTTCAGAGACACCGAAGGCTGCTTTAACTTCTTCGAGTGCATGCATAAAGTCCTCGCGGTTAACCTTCATGTTCTCGATATCATCGCTGACGCCCGCAACCGTACCGACCTTGACATGGCGGTTGAAAGCAAATGACGAGGCAGACTTGACGAGACCGCCAATTTCAGCACCCGAGAAGTTCTTGGTGAGATGAGCAAGTTCCAGGGTGTTCACATCTCTATCCATAACGTTGTTTTCTCTCATTTTTGAAGTATGAATCTTCAAAATCTGCGCTCTTCCAGATTCGTCAGGAAGAGAAATCTCCATATGAACTTCAAGACGTCCGGGACGGAGTAAGGCATCATCGATCATGTCCATACGATTGGTCATTCCGATGAGAAGGATGTTGTTCAGCTGGTCGACACCATCAAGCTTAGAGAGCAACTGGTTGACAACACTGTCACCAACTCCAGTTCCACCACCGGCTCCGCTGCCTCTCTGCTTACAAACAGCATCCAACTCGTCGAAAATAATGATATGGAGACCACTCTCATCTCCTTTCTCCTTGTATTCCTTCTCGGCATCCGCGAAGAGCTTTCTGATATTCTCTTCAGACTGACCCACGTACTTGTTAAGTACTTCGGGACCGTTGATGACTTTGGGCTCCCTCGAGTTTAACATCTTTCCAATTTGGCGTGCAATAAGGGTCTTTCCGGTACCTGGAGGTCCGAAAAGTAGAATGCCCTTGACGTGCTGAATACCCAGCTTCTCAATCAAACCCGGAGGAAAAATACGGGAGGCGAAAGCTCTTCGGAAAATAGAACTGAATTCGGTGTCCAATCCACCGATTCCCATATCTTCGAATTTGAAATCAGGAGCAATGATCGAGTTGGCGGCCGGCCGCTTTGAAGATCCCTTGAGCTTGATGGGAGATTTGGCATCTTTATAAAATGTCATAGCAGTAGCAGGTCTCCCAGTCAGTATACCCCTCGCATGAGGTACCGAGAGGGTCGGGTTTCCTTCGTGTGACTTTTCCATACTGAGATCTGTCAACTGCACAGTTTTCACTCTGAACATCAATGGGATATTCTTATAGTCCATTAAGAGGTTTTGGCCAGGTGCAAATATCTGATTCTCAAATTGCTTGATAAAAGCTTCGGCCAAAACGTCCTGATCAAACGGGACCTCGGTGACCTTCTTTGCAGATGCAAATCCAACATCCACATCCAGAGCTCCCAGGTAAGCTTTCGGACCTTGAGAGAATGGATCGTAGAGTGAGGCATCTAAGACGTCCATCATAGAAATAGATAGCCAGGTTCGTTGAGGGTCTGACAAGCTTATACATCCTGGCGGGAACGATGCAAGAGGCCTCGCTGTGACTACGTATTGGTTATTGAGAAGTATGTAGAGGTCGGTTCCATCGCGGGAAGGAGGGAAGTCCTGGGGTGAGACAGCGCAGCTGTACAAGTACTATTAGCATAGGCCTAAAATGACAACTAGCGAGGCACCCACAGATTCCCAAAAATATATTGATTTGCGAGCGTCTTGTCTTCAACTTTAGCAATTCTCAACTGCACTCGTCGAGCTGGAGAAGCTGGTCCCCCCATTCGTCCAACAGCCGGGCGTTGCGGCATAGCTTGTCTTTGTGATGGCATAGGAGCGCCATAGCTCCCTCGCGGATCACGATATCCTCCCCTTGGGTCCTCATAACCTGCCATAGGTGTATCGTCTCGGGGTGGAGGTGCTGGCGGACGACCGTATCCACCTTGTTGCTCTCGTCCTGCTTTAGGCCCTTGGCCAAAGAGATTCTGGCGGATATTCATGGGTATGATGTGTGAAAGTATGCTGTTATGTCTTCAATTCGAAGAGGTTCTCGAGTCTTTTATGCTTTGCTTCGCAGCCTCGTGATGTAACTGTTGTTGCAAGCTGTCCGTCCAAGGCGGTAGCCTTGTCTTGCCTACGCGGACAAAGAGGTGTCCTCTGCGAAATGACTCGACACCAAAGAGAACAGATAGACCTTGCCAATTGATATATCCGTCGTAGAAATCGTGAGCCGTCAATCGTCAAGTACAGGTCAAGATGAAGTTGCCAACGTGGAGTGTACCTTTTGCGTTGCGTTTGTTGTCTTTGGCAGGTTTAGCATCAGCTGCCGGGGTCGACAAAGCGTTCACAGTGGGTTTCGGGCTCGGTTTCACCCTGTCGCCCGCTGTTGCCACTGAAAGTTTCAGTCTAGCACAGCCTCGACCTACAGATGTCAGCCTCGATGTTGATTTCCTCGTTCAGGTCCAAAATCACGAACTGCGCATCCCCATAATGCCTTTGTAAGCCTTTTATTCATTTACTATCACATAGTCGCAGTTACTAACCATCTAGACAGACATTTATTAGGCCACAAGTCATGGAACGTCTACAACAAGGATAATATCGAGAAGGTTAAGCGCGATGAAGCAGTCGCAAAGGCAAAGGAGGAGGCGGAAGAGGAGCGCATGCAAGAGATAGATGCCGAACGACGGTTACAGTTACTGCGGGGCGAAGAACCTACGCCTTTACCTGAAGTCGAGGACAGGACCGACGATGGCAAGACGAGCCACCGCGGGCCCGGAAGGGAGCGGAAGAGGAGGAAGAAGGCGGGCGAGAATGATACGGATTTCGAAATGCGGATAGCTCACGAGCAGACAATTTCGAATTCAGACAGACAGATGATACTGCGAAAGCCTATTGATGCGCCGTTAGTAGATCACACAGGCCACATCAATTTGTTCCCTGAAGAACGTCCGAATAAATCCACGGAGAAGAACGCAGAAGCCGAGAAGGAACTGGCGAAGAAGAAGAAAGAATATGAGGACCAATATACTATGAAGTTTTCGAACGCGGCGGGATTCAAGCAAGGCTTGGAGAATCCATGGTATTCTAAAGTGGGCGCCTCGAAGGAAGTCGAGGAAGACTTACCAGGCAAAGACGTATGGGGGAATGAAGACCCAAGACGAAAGGAAAGACAGGCGGCGAGGATTGTATCCAACGACCCGCTCGCCATGATGCGTCAAGGTGCAGCACAGGTGCGGCAAGTGGAAAAGGCGAGGAAGCTTTGGCGTGAGGAAAAGGAGAAAGAGATGGGTGATCTAATTGAATCTGAGGAGAGAAGGAAGAAGCATAAGAGGAAATATAGAAACGACGATGATGATTTGAAGGAATTTAGATTGGATAAGACTGAGAATAGCTCTCTTAGGAAGAGGGATGATGAGCGAGAGGGAAAACATCGACACAGGCATCGAAGCTCTCATGATGAGGAAGATAGGAGGCATAGGCACAAGCATAGGCGCCACCATCATAAATAGTTCTGGGTGCAAAATATTAAGAATAAATAAACAAAAACGCTTTTCGAGTTATCGACTTGCTAGGACATTTTAATCTCGAGGGACAGATAGGTAGTCTTACCATTATAATTAAGAATTAATTCCTCAGCAATACTCGTTTTTTTTTTTTACAGCACTTGGGTATCCCGCTATCTCTCTCCTCCCTCTACCTATTCAATCAATACAGGAAACATAGTCCCCGCCAAGTCCCCTACCTCCTTGACCCCCAACCCCTTCAACCCCCTCTCAAGCTCCCCATACAAACCCTCACTAATACCTTCTATCCTATCACAATAAACATCAATCCCCGCCGGCGTGAACCGACTCGCCGCAAACCATGTAATAACCCACCTCTCCTCCCCCTTCTCACCCCAGCCTAAAACTTCCCATCTCGAACCCCCCGCAATCTTCAACCAGCCCTTCCCCTTCCAATGCCATTGCACCGCGTCCGCCGCGTCTTTGACCTCGTCCCCGTTCTTGTCGCAAGGGTAATCGATGCCGCGGATTTCTTCCATGCTTGGCAATAGACCTTTCTTGATGGGCTTGTTGGATACGACATCCTCGAGGAGAGTGGGGCCCCCGGGCATGGAAGGAGGGATGAGTGCGTAGGTTATACGGACGTTTTTTGCTTTCTTCCACATTGGGAGGGTGCTGTGGGTTACGGACCAGGTCCTTTGAAGCCATTCCAACGGCGGAGGTTTGAAGGCTTCTGAGTCGGCGGATGTTGCGAGTCTGATTGGAGCGCGCAGGTTGAGTGAGGGTGTAGAGATGGTTGGAGGGGCTGCTGGTGTTGCTGTTGTTTCTGCCATGTCGTCTCAAAAATGCGTCTAGGAGTTGAGGTCAGTGATGATCTAGAGGCTGGAAGACGGGAGGAAGATGAACGGTTGTACCCACCAGGTATCTAATCTATGTTGCAACATGCCAGTTGGCGCCGTTCGAATAATGAAGATCTCCAAGTCCCGGATGGCAATGTCGCCGGACAAGGCTAAACCAGGCTGAGACAAGAGCTCAAGAGCTTGGTGTCTCAATTGTTTCACACCTTAAAACGGCCAGGGCAAAAAACAGAAAATAAAACTTCAAGAAACAAAACTTACAAGGAGATACCCATTCATGTTTGGTATCTTTTATATCATCTTGTACGGTTTGTATCTGGCCCTGGCTAGGACCGCCACCGCCAGCATCATGCAAGGCTGAAGCGGGGTGAATTCCACTTTTCTGAAATGTTCATTAGAAGTATCTATTAATATCCCGCGTTAAGAGTCTATACCCTGACTTGTCATGCCTAAAATAAGGAGCAAAGAAATATAAAACTGTGCCTTCACGGCATTAAACCTAAGAGTTATCACTCCCCTATCTTGTTTTGACAACCTAACACGTGACCTTTTGTGAATTTGGACCCCACCAATTCGAGCTCGACCTGATTTGCTCTAGCTGCTACACAAATCCAACCTCATATTGAAACTTCATACCTAATGTCGACATCGCCAAATTGCAGAATCTCCTACACCCACCTACCGCAAAACCCTTACCCCCTCTACGATACCCTTAGAATAGCCTCGAATGTGTGTATAATTACATGGTCGCCTTAACTTACATCTCGCCCGATAAAAAGCAAAAGAGAGAAGAAAGGAGGTACATCGTGTATTCTCAGGCCATGTTCTCAGCACATCTGCAAATGTAAAGAGTGACCGCAGCTCTCATGTACCCTTCCCCAGCCTTGCTCTGTATTACCTCAACCAGTGTTACTCTAATCCCCTGTTGCCACTAGCCCAGAGTGTGTATGACAGTCCAAGCTAAAGCCAGTGCTATCTCGTTCAAAGCATGTGATTCGTCAAGTCAAGGTTCGTGCAAAGCCTTGGAACTCTATAGTGTCTTATATGTCTTCATCGATTGTTTAGGTAGGCCGAGGTGAGGTTTGTAAATATCACAAGCGAGAAGCATAGGGGGGTGCCACTCAGTCTCGGAGTTGGATTTGATAATGCAAGCTAAGTGCGACTTCACCACACACTATTTTTGACTTTGCGGATCACGACAACAAAAATCTGTCGTCCATCTCAACATATCCGACAATCTTCATCTTCTACACCTTCTCCATCACAGCGGTCTTGATCGACAGTCTCGCAGACACATAGCAGAGACACCCAGCAAACATCATCACACCAGCGAACACCTGCTGAGCCCAGAATCCACCCTTTGCACAAGCCAGCAACGCGCCACCAATCGGCGTTCCAACAAGGCAAGAAATCGAGATACACGCAAACAGACTTCCTTGCCTAACTCCCACCTTGGACATGTCTTTCTCCGAGATCTGCGCTACCATGCCGGGGACGAGCGACACGAAGGCGCCGGAGGCGAAGCCGTAGAGTGCTGCGAAGGAGACGATGGAGATGTTGGTGTGCGCGAGGATCCATAACGGGAGGAGGGTGAGGCCGCAGAGGAAGGACATGCCGACCATGATGTTGAAGAGGCCTAGATGGTCGCCGAGCCAGCCGGGGAGGATCCGTCCGAAGAGACTTGCTGCGTTTAGGATGGTGGGGAGGTAGGTTGATAAGTTAGTGCTCATGCTGTTGGCTTGTGCGTAGACGACAATGTAATTTAACGGAATGTAGAGTGATAGGAAGCCCAGCATTGTTCCCGCGGTCAGTAACAGGAAGACCTTTTCGCCAAAGGGCTTCACGAATTCGCGCATCACGACTGGTTTTGGTTCTGGGATCAATCGCGCTTGCACTGTCACGTTAGCTATGATCAGAACACCCAGAACAACGAAGGCGCAGATCCGCATCGTCCAGCCAAATCCAACGTCCGTTAATAGCCTTGAGAGGAGGATTGGAAAGACCATCCCACCGATCGAAGATCCAGATGCGACAATACCTAGTGCGAGACCTCGCCGTGTCTTGAACCATGTTGAGGCGGTCAGGAGTCCAGAATGGAAGACGAGACTTGCTCCCAGCGAGGCACAGATTCCTTGGAAGAGGAGGAGTTGATAGTATTGTGTTGAAAGAGAGGCCATCATTAGACCGAAAACCTGGAGAAGGGTCCCGAGTAGCTGGAGGTAGCGCGGGCCATAGTTGTCGTATAACTGTGTTCATACAGTGAGCAACTTTTGACCTTGGGTGTATGTGTTTCTCGAGTCAGGGTTGGTGACGGTGTCGTACCTTGCCACAAACAGGTGCCATCAAGAACAGAATAAAGGTCTGGATGGACGTAATCCAAGCTATGGCTGAAGCAGAAGATTCTCTTAGAAGTATCTTCTCATAGTAATCTTGGAAGATCCCCAGCGCTATTCCATACACAGTAGGTCAAACAATCAATCTCTCTCCCATTTGAAGAGACTCAGGAAATCCAGGGTTCTGATTGAGCTCAAAGGGAGTGACGTACCATTAATCCACCCAAAACTCGCAAACAAACAACACCATGCACCAACAACAGCCTGCCATGCTCTCCAACCTTGATCTGGTGGATGCACCTGTTGTACCTGGGCCTGATGATGCGATGGCGAGTCGCAGTCTCCTTCGGCTTCTTTGTTCATGATGGACTGAGATACTGCAACTCGTATGTGCGTAATTGGGGAAACAAGTTGGACTATATGGTCGTTTTCCGAATGTTTGGTGTTTTTCAGAATGCCGAAAATGCGTTGAAGAGAGTTGCTAAGTCAAGGCTAAGTGCATCGCTAAGGTCTTGGCACGCTCCCCTAATGTAACCATCGGTGCGTTGGCTTTGGTTGCATACGTTTTCAGCTGCGTGACAGTAAGTCTAACGTTATGTGCAATATTTGGTTTGTTGAAGGGCCGTAAAGCTGACCGCGAGACCGAGGGATAGGCAAGGATCTGTTACTACATGTCCCATTCAACAAGTTGACTTTCTATTACTACCTCAACACTTATAATGCGATTAGACTCGCCGGACATACTCGACATGGTGATGCAGTATATTCCATGTTTCTTGAGAGACTTCGCAGTGGAACAGTAACTTGAGAGGCGAAGCGCTTGGGTTTCCTATGCGGTGAGTATAACACCATGTAATAATTTGACCTAAGAACTAAGCAATCCCACATTAATGGCATACAAGTAAATCAGAATGGCAACAGGGAGTATTGATCAGACCAAATGGCTTGATTCAGCTGGCAGCAAATATGTGTTTGACTGTACTAACAGGCACTCTATGATTATCTCTACCACCATGTGCTATTAGCTACCACTACCAGTACATTGCACTACTCCTCCACTAGATCCGACAAGCATTCAATGGTGTACAGAGGATTCATACTATGGACATCTTCCATCTTCCCATAACCATACTTCGCCCAGACGCTGATCGCATCGATGTTTCTTGCATACTGAATATCCACTAGAGTATCGCCAATAACATAAACCGTCTCTCCTTTTCCGAATTTCGGTACTATTAACTTATGATAGCTCTCTGGGTCTGGCTTCCTTTTGACCCCAGGCATGTCGCCTGCGACGAAATCGATGTACTTCAACATATCCCAAACCTTGAGCACACTCAGAATTGCCTCCGTGCCCTTGTTGCTGCTTACAACTAACGGGATGCTATGTCTGTGCAAAGTTTCCAGGGTTTGCTTAGCTCCTGGAAAAGGGTTGATCTTCGAAAGGCCCTCTGAGCTATAGATGGTACGGTACATTGCGGTCTAGAGCCTCGGGTCAGCTTTACTTGCTCTGCATGATTAACTTGGCCTGAACAGCGCAAAGTATGAGACCATCTAAGTCACAAATAACAGTAGTAGCAAGAGACGCATACCCAGTCAGCCATGTCTCGGGCCATTACTTCTCCCTTGCCGTCTTCATTAGAACCCGGATCAACCTCAACGAGACTGTCGACTGGGCCATCAACACTGCCACCGGTGCTCAAACTGGTCTGTTTCTGCTTCGCTTCTGACTTAGGCAGCAAGCGTCGGAATGTTTCTTCAAGGCCTGCTCCACTCGAGATTGTCGCTTGAATATCTTCACTTGAAGGCTGCGAGGAGTCGGGTGCGAGTACCGCGAAGGTTCGAGCGATACAGTGAGCGATAGAGGCGTGAGTGTCGAAGAGGGTACCGTCAACTGCTCAGGACCTTGGTGTCAGCATTGCATCCCTCAAAAATTCTCCAGGGGCAAGAAGACTTTTAACAGCTCGTAGACAGGCTGGCGGGGAAGAAATTGATAGGCAATACGCACAGTCGAAAATGATGAGGTCTGCAGGGCTCTCGAGGGCGATAGGTCGCCGAGTAGGTCGTGGAGGAGTTCGTTCCATTTTCAAGAGGAGCGGTGAATGCTCGTATTTCTTTGTGTATATTGGTGTTTGTGTTTGTTGTCGGTGACACTGAATACCTAACTGATCAAAGACCCGCCAAGGCATTAGCGAACAGCGAGACGCTAGTAACGCCGCGCTAGGCCCCCCTTTCCTTCCTTATTTTAATACAGTTAGTATTAGTCACTCGGAATAGGTCTTTATCATATTTGTTGGCTAAATTGATGACCTCGTGGTCCATAAGTCTGTCCGTTTTGCTGCTTGATAATCATTCGAAAGTGGGTTGAAAGCTAGAGTCAATCTTTCACCTTAGTTCTTTTCTTGTAAAGTCAACTACAACTCGCAGGAGCTAGAGGAGTGACATTTTATTAGGATAGCTCAAACCCTACATTTCTGTCAATATACCACCATATATCGTGATCAGTCACAGTTCAAAACTCAGTATGCTCCCGTCAATCACTGTCGCCCTGGACAGCTTTGATATCAGGTTCGAATTGGGATATTTTACTAATATTCGATGGTAAAGCGCTTCAAGTGAATTTTACAAATGCATTATGCTCACTCTAGCGAGGGTCATCCCTCCTCCGAGCCAAAGTTCAAAAATCTCTCTGAAGAGGCAATCATATCCCACAAGTTCACTCTTTCACCTCTCGTCCAATCCTCATAGGTAATATTATCCAGAATAGCCTTACACAAAACCGTCTCCTCCCCAGCAGCGACTAGTTCTTCAGCTACCAAACGATAAGCCTCCTTGTGAGCACGATGCTTGATAGTATTTCGCACTTCGAAATAAGTCCAATGTCGGTTCGCGACCAAAGTCTCGATCCTCTGCCAAGCATCGAATCCCTCCAGCTCATCCTTGGGCTCTCCCTCTTTAACTCTGCCGCGAAAGAAGACGCGCTGCTCGATTTCGGATGCCGTCAATTCGTAAGCTTTGTTCTGAACCAGCACAGCCAGTTGTACTGGGGTGATCGCGGCAGCAAGTTTGACTGGTGTCCCGGTGGTATTGTGGATCAAGGTTCCCCGTCCCATGAGGTACTCAGCGACCTTCGAAGCCAAAGAAGCTGTGAGTTGTTGGTAACTCATGGTGTACTTAACTTGCCCTTCTATTTGGGCATTGTTCTCCACTTCGGCGACAAAGAGCTTCGTCAGGAATTCGCTAAATACAATCCCATCCGATGCAAGAGGCGTCTGCCCTCGGTTAACTTGTCGTAACTTCAGATTCGGGGAACGGATCAATGCTGTGAGGTGGGGTGGCAGATTTGTCAACTTTGGATGGTACTGGTTTCCAAATAACTCGGAGCACAGCGTTGCAGTGGTCAGGTGCGCAAAGTCGTGTAGGTCGTACAGTGGTTTGCTTTCACCTAGGTTGTCCTCGGCCGTGTCCCTGAAAGACTTGTCGTTTACTGCGATTTGGTTTTCTCCCCTGCAGGAGATTGCACGGTCTGATATTAGGCGGGTTTCTCGCTCGACCTTGATACTTTTGTCATGAACATAGGCATGGACCGCGCAGTTCAGCGCTTTGGTTCCGATGTGATTACTTTGCAGGAAATCGTCGATTTTTCTGATCAAAATGATTGTCGATTGGCTTCCAGACCACATTGCTTTCCAGTGTCTTGAGTCTGAGCGGCTGAAGAAGTAGATTCCATCGTATCTCTGGGTTGCCAATACTGCCTTCCAAACTTCCGGCTGCTCATGTAGACAATCGACAAGCTGTCTGGACACTGGCTCGCGGGACTGGCGGACGAGTGTTTGAACTCCTTCCAAAGCGTGAGAGAGGAGCAAGCTTTTGATTTGAGAAGCTATTGCTTGGATCTGCTCATGCTGATTGAAGAAGGGGTGTGCTGGTGTTCCACCGTCGAGCCAGTCGATAGATGGGCTGAAGGAGACGTTCATACTTTGAAGAGCCAAAGGTTGTTGTGCGGTGTCATGGAATATTGAAAGGAATCAGAGCATATATAATTGGTTTGATGGGTGTATTCTTTTAGTTTGGATAAGAACCTCGTCTCGATTGTAGCATAGCATGGCATGCGGTTTGAGGTATTTCATCTTGAGCTGCGATCTTCGATTCGGAATAATGGATTGTCACCATTCTCGAACAAAAAGTCATAAAAAGGACGCCTTTATGAGTCACTTATATTTCTTATACACTCTCTACGCTACGTTTCAGTGTTGACAGTCCATGAACTCCGCCGTGCGTGACCAAAACATGCAGAGAGAACAAGCAGAGGTCATCAATTATTGCTCTGTTCAACAGACTAAGTTCTCTCCTCAGCCGGGGCTTTTATTTCGTCCTATAGCATCCCTTCATGAGGATGTATTACCTGACAGGTCGATTTTGTCGTTCTGGTGATGCTCGGATAAGTCAACATTTCGATGACTCCCACGATAATTGTAATTGTGTACCAAGAAACATGTAGACTTCTCAGGCCTCGAGCTTATTTCTGTGAACGGAAATGGGATATATGTCCTCTCGTAAATCACAAGCCTGTGGTTAAGTGCCAGCTCCGGTTGTGACCACCGAAACTCGAGCGGTTTCTATGTGTGGACATGTGGCTCAACGGCCAGGAATGGTAGCTTTTGGACTGGAGTGAGGGGCATGAGGTGACTGCTCACTGTCATTTTCAAGCCTTGTGGTAGGTGGTACAAGCTGACTGCAGGAATACTGACATATGATCTTATTACCTTTTAGATTACGAGTCACCATAAATCCACAACATGGTAACAGGAGTTTCTTATAGTAACACCATTAGTTGTTACTTTACTGATGTGATGCGACTAGATTGAGAGGATATAAGCATCGCATGCCACCCAACAAAAGCCAGAAGTAACTGCATCCAAGCAAAGCTGTCGCCTGAAAAGAAAAGAAAGCTTGACTATCAACACCATATATCCATTTATCAACTCTATTTATCCTACTTGGTACGCTACGCCTTGGTAAAGACCTCTCTGCTATCTCATAGAATGGTAGGCTTTACAGAAAAAGCAACAGTAACAATCTGCTCCTCGGACCCTCACCTCGCCTCACTCCTGGGTCCTTTCCTCTCAGCATCAACAACCACAAGCAAAATGCAAAGTGTAGTCCATCAAATGACGGATCTCATCATCTCACAAGCTATCTCTACAGATGCCAAGCTTTTGATCTCTGAAAATACCATACTCATTCTAGTCCTTCGTGCAGGGCTGCCTATGTACGTCGTGGCACAAAACCGGTTGCCCAACGCCTCGTGCGTCCCTGTACGCTGTATGAAGCTGAAGGGAAGTCGTACCGTTCTTAGCCACTGGTTGGGTGCACCATCTTTTCCCACAGTTTCCTCTACGTCTACCACACGCGGCGAGGAGGGGAAGAAGATTGTACTGTTGGACACTGTTATAGCGACTGGAGACACGATTGTACGGTTGTGTGACGAACTGGAGGCCATGGGTGGCATGGCAGGCTGTGTTACGGTACTAACATGCTATGCGAGTCCCGATGCTATTGAAAAGGTTGCAGAGCATCAGATGGTGGGAGGTATTGTTGTAGGGTTTAGGGCTGAAAGTGTGGATGATGATGGATATTTAGTGCCGTATACTCATGGAGATGTGGGTGATAAGATGTTTGGGAAAGCGAGTGTATGACCTTTAAGGGTTGTTAAAAACTATTCTGGGAGTTTCCAATACTGGAATAGTTATTTGTATTGACGATTGGCTAGCTACGCCCAATGTTCTTGAAGTCGTGTTGCTCGCTTGTGTGACAAAGGGGGGGTTTATAGGGCTTGCGCTAAACACTAAAACTCGTTACTGAGAAATTGCTAAGGGCCATACCTATCCCACTTAATATGTGTTTTACGTGAAAACGACTACTGGCTACCATTGACGTCTTGATCTGCTACCAAAACAACCAAATGAGATCAGCACTCGCTAATAGAGCATGACTTTCTAGGTGCCACACCCTTTTCGAATCAATGGTTGCATCATAGGCATATTTTCCTTTATTTCACTCATGAATGAGTGGAGAGGGGAATGAAGCAACCGAGCCGCGGCCTACAGATGGTGTTTAGTTCTTGCTGCCTAGAGTTTAATCACAGTAGTAACACAGCAATACGAAGCAAGTCAGCCGGCGTGATGATTTTTATATCTTTTTACTTTGTATTGTATTATCTCTTCATCCTCAGGGTACATGTGTGCCCATGAAGTTGCAACTCCCGGGGTATTCCATCCATCCGTCCACCCTGTCCATCCAGCCACGCAATGCAATCCCTAACCCACCACCTCGGCGAAAAATACAAAAGAACAAGCACAGCCAGTGGTAGCTATCGGGCCTCACTATCCCGCTTAACAGTTGATTTATAAGTTCCAAGCCTCGAACAATGCCAGTCCTTGCTCTTACAGGACACAAAAGGAAATTCGTCATAATCATGATGCAACCAGAGGTCGTTGAAGCGATGTTTTTAAAAGCAGACAGAGAAAGTAACGAGAGGTATAAAGGCGGCTTCAACTCAAATTATCGAACAGAGGAATCAGAAACCGAAAGCTTAAAAATGTACAGAAAGTGTGGATTCGTCCATCTGGTAATGGACTCGAGTGGAAGTGTTGTAGAAATTGACGAAGTGTTGTCCAGGCGTGCCAGTCGAGATGAGAATCGCTGATCTTGGGTAGAACAGATGTTTTTATATTAAGGAGTCCATTATCGGGGATTCAACTACTCTTGAATCATCTCTCCGTACCGCGCAATCTCCTCGTCACTCAAGGCTGCCATCCAGAGACACCTTTCTGTGACACCCTCGATTGGCAGGAACAGATATAGCTGACTAGCTTCCAAGAGCCTCAATAAGTTCTTGATGATAGCAGCATCGACCCGGCATTTTTCGAAATTTATTAGCGGTTCCGTAGTTGGAGTGCTGGCCATTTGGCTTGGCCTCTCAGAATTGACAAGCAGATCATGAGTGTAGATACCCACAAAAGGGATACAGCCTTGATCCGCACCTGAGCCTTCCATTTCCGCCCGTAGAGTATTAAAATTGTGGGTTGGAGTTATCAAATGTTCAAGCTCTCTCAATGTCTGCAGGTCGGCTGCGGGAACATGGGCCCAGGTCTTCTTGAGACGAGAAATATCCTTCGAAGTGAGCGCCACCGTAAGCTGAGTCATTGTAGCAAAGTTGCGATATTTGCGGCAATGTGCGGCAATGTGGATATACTTGACAATACACCGGACACGCTCCTCCAGGTTCTGCGTCAAAACACATTCGGATACAGCCCACTTCACCATTAAGTTGAATCGTGCAATAACAACTTCGACACCTCGGGGCTCACAGGTACGGAGAAAATCGACCCACGATCGAGATTCAGTTGAGGTATCCTTCCAGCGCATTTCAATCAAATCTTTCCAATCAATCTCATTGAGCGCATCTTTCTCGATCAGCGTGAATTGCTGTGCGAGAATTTGAGAGTCAAATGCAAGTGTGAAAGGCAGGTGGACAGACGTCTTTCGAGAAGGTTCGGCTATACGATGAGCTCTGAGAGGGTCCATTGATGGTGATGCAAGTCCCTCGCCAATGTAATCAGCGGCACTGTTGACTCCCGTTGGCGAAAATTCAGGAGTAGGAGGGAGACCTCTGTTCTCGTTTGGCTGGTCCATGTGAGCATAGGGGAGGTTGCATGTCTCGGGAGACATTTGCAAAGCTTGAGTCAATGTCATAGGCGGCGATGGAGGATGGCGAAGGGGGTGTGATGGAAGAGCTATTTCTTTGATGACTGTGCCAGGCCGGATAGGAGGGAATGTATTAGTAGAGTTGGAGTCATGTACGGTATATTCTGTTCGAGAGATGACTTCCAGTGACATTTCCGAAGACAGATCGCTTCTATGATCACTATCGCTGTCTAGGAAAGATTGATCGATGCTTTCATGGTTTGTAGCTGTCTGACCCTTATGGACCCTTCTCATACTGTCCGTTTCGTCGATGAAATCGAAGGAATTGACATGGGACGACTCTGGAGTAGGCTCATCATTCCGAAGATTCTCGTAGCTAGGCCCGCAAAGGATCGACTGTTGAGACCAATCACATCTCTTCTTTCGATCGATTCCATCATCCGTTAAGTCACGTTCAAGCAGCGGGATAGAGTTGTAGGACTCCATAGACCGAGGGGGTAATCCCGTCGGCGTAGAACTTAGGCGGCGAGGCTGGTAGACCGAAGGCTTTAGCTCCTCGTGGACTCTAGATTCCTGGGGTTGGTAAGTTGGGACCACAGAACTAGTACGCGACAAGCTTTTCTCCACAACGCGCTCATGACGATGTTTTCGTTTCTCTTCGTGCTCCTCCTCATCGAGAGTCAGTGTGCTCACATCTAATGGGCCGGCCCCGAAACTTCCCTGGCGCGCGGAGGCGAAACTGTCTCCAGAAATATCTGAATGGCGCTGTTCAAATTTCCCTTCCAATTTCATCAAGGCTGATTCGACACCACCGTCGTCGTCAACGTTATCAGGAATCTGCGCCAGCATTTGAGCCTCTTTTTCGAACGAAGGGCGCATGACTGGTTGGGAAGAATGTGTACTGCAGAGGGAGACGCGGGGTTTTGGCGACGCTTCGGCTAGAGCACCTAGAGAGAATGTTTGCGAATTTGATGGGAATTGCTCGTAATCACTATTGGCAACATCTACATACCCGCTCGAATCTCCACCAAGTAGATAAGAGCTTCGCACTGAATCAGAGTAAGTAGTCAAGGAGCCAGTGGACATCGGTCTTCGGAGTGGCTGAGCATTGAGATCACCGACATTTGTGACTGCTCTCAAATCACCACCCGGGCGGCGTCGCAAAATTCGCAGCGGAAGGGGTACGGGTCCTGCCAGTGATAGTCGATCTACCGCGTCAAATTCAGACAAAGTGGTGGCATCAAAGCTTCGTTCACTCTTATGTCGCGTGAATCCGCTGTGATATGACGCATAACGACGGAGGGAGACTGATCTTTTAGGTTTGTAGGAAATTCTCCTGGCGAGAGGAGGAAGTCTACCGAGAGGTCGGCGACTAGGGGAACGTTCTTCATCCGCAGATGGCCTTGAATCGACAACTAAAGAGGGTGTTCCTTCAAAAGAGAGCGATCGAGTCCTAGTATGCTGTCCTAACAAGTGTGATGATCGACGGGGGGTGCCCATTAGCGCTTCAGGAGGAGTTGACGGAGGCGTTGGACCTCCTGAAGGCGACATGAAAACATCCGGAAAGGTATCCACAGAAGGATGCAAAGGCAATGCACCTGCGATGATAGGTGTAGTAGGTAAAGTATCGTCAACAATGACGATAGATTTACTTCCATTGGTCATCTCACTGCCTGGTGCTCTGCTGATACCGGGCCTCTTCGGTTTGAGGTGATCGATGGTCGTGTCGGGCGCCATAGAAGAATATCGGAGATTCATCTCGTATTCAGCACTCTCATCGAAATTGGGCTGGTTTGCTTCCCTACTTTCAGCTTCGGCTTTGGCATCCTCGGCAACAGCCTTCTTGAAGTCTTCAGCAATTTCCGCACCTAGCAGGTCGATTCGCATTGGGGCTCTGATTCCTGCGTTGCGAGGGCGTGCTTGTGGAACGACTGCAGTCCCTGGGAGTCGATTGATCGTAGCTCCGCGGACACCAATGGGGGGAATATGAGGAAAGCTACCCTGTGTTGGAGAGGCACCCGGGTTTGCGATTTGCCCACTTCGAGTGCTTAAAGCTCGACGGACGCTACCCATCAGTTTCTTCATGCCTGGGCCCGACATTGCGGATGGGCCTTTCTGGTGCGTAAAAGCAGGAAATAAGGAGGCTGTGCGGTTGGTATCTGCAGGAGTGCTGGGGGCAATTACTTCAACAAATGCTTGCCCCGGTGGGAATAAGTTACCCCTGACAAGACTTCCGGCGTAAGGAAGAGCAAGAAAAAGCTCGGTACTCTTGTATATTACTTTTTGCACTGGCTGATCAAGTCCTCGTCGATCTCTGAGTGAGTCCGAAAAGCTGCCGCTGCGTTTGTGGGTATGAGTCGGACGAACACGCTTTCCTGTGAGTGCCTTTGGGGCCATTGCAACGGGAGGTGATGATTCATATATAGAGCTTGCTGGAACAGGATGCGGCCCAAGCTGGCGGTTGCCTCCCGCTCTTGCCCGTGATGGGAAGGAGCAAGAAACGAAATCCTCACTCATCCAACTCGTTGGTGACAAAGGCGGCTCGCTCGATGATTCTTCTTCCTGGGCTTCTTGTGCAACTTGAGGATCGATTATGGAGTCCATATGACCAGCACGTGAGACATCTGCGAAGAAGTTTCGGTCTTTTACGGCAGATTGCTCTTGGTTGACGAAATCAGGCTCGATGATGCCGTCAAGTCGAGGGGGCCCATCTGCATCCCAGAAATTTGGGTCTAATGTAGGATTTCTTGAACCAGCTACGCCACCTGGTGCAATAGGAACCTCAGGGCCCAGCTCTGTGTCGAACTCCGGACCATCCCAGTACAAGGCGCAGACTCTCCTCCAACATTTCTTAAGCTCTCCAAGTATTTTGAGAGGGACCTTGTTACTTGGTTGGTTCTGTGATAGATCGCCAACAAAGTTGTTGAGCAGGTCGCAAAATGACTTGCGTAAGTCGTAGTCAATAACAAAGTCGTCCAGGAAATAATTCAGGACCCAGTGACGGATCGCAACAAAGGTTCTGACCCTAACCACAGTTCCAGTCTCATCACTTCTTCCTAGAGCCCATTTTAGCCTTGCGATGAGCATATACAAAAGGTCGGCTGTCTCTAGGAAGGAGCGGAACGTCAGGAAAAAGTCCGAGAGAAGGTCATAATCGACAAAGGTTGGAGACGTAATCTCGGCAACCAGTCGCGCTGGAGTTGCTGCCCTAATACTCCCATTTATAGAATACCGCACAACTGAGGGGTGATCACAAGTTGGTTTGAATGTGAGGGCGTCGAACATCTCAGGGACAATCGCGCTGCGCCGGCGAGAAATAAGAGGTGATTCTGTAGAGTATTTTTCTAGCGCACTTGATGGAGATGCATGTACCCTGGCCTGCAAGTAAGGTTGTCGTGAAGCGTCGGAATGACGCCGTGAGAGGATCTGAGTAGCACGAGGATCTCTTGGGGAAGAGTTTGTACGAGAAAAAAGACTTGAGCGCATATTTACTGAGGTAGAATACGAAGATCTGCGAAGGAACGCTGTGCCCTGGGTGCTGAATCGTGGTGTGCCTAATTTGTATGAAGGTATAGGAACCTCCAAAGTGGGAATACCAATAATAGGTCCCGAATTCAATGGTCCAGTCCCAGGCCGTTCTATCACTACCTTGAATGCGCCGACATCTGAGTCTTGGACAGGTACGTGTTGTTCGTCTATCGTCGAATACGAATAGGTGCGCTTTTGACGTGGACGGGTAGAAGCCTTGGTGTGAGGGAAATACTGGTCTCTGGCTTGAGAAGCTGGCGTTGACGGTGAACGTGTAGGAGTGAACAGACTGTTCCGTTGTGAATCGTCTTCGTCGGTGCGCGATACTAGGGCACCAAGTCCGGCTGTACTTGGAGGGGTGACCGGGAAGACGAATGAAGGTTGGGGATATCGCTGGTTTGCAGGCCGAATTGTTGGACTAGACTTGTATATTAGCTATTTGCTATTCACTGTGAACACCATGTTTTGGTGCGTGGAGTGATTGTGGCATCACTAATATGGAAATCCTTATTTCTCAGCTTACCGTAGGAATATTTGGCCATTGCTCCCCACATTAGCAACCGCGAACTGTCTGCCTTCTCTCGCCGCAGAGCTGCCATCAGAGGCAATATCTGTCCTGCAGTCTTCTGCTTCTTTTCTTGCCCGACGATTGATACTATTCTCCTGGCGCAAGCCTAAGCCCTCCTGCCATTGCTTCTTCCGCGTCAAATCTGGCGGTGGTTTCCCAGCTTTTTTCGACCGCGGTGCCGGCCAGAGCGTGATACCTTTTCCACTCTTCGGAGATCTCTCGACTTCCCGGGCGGCGTTGGTACTAGTATTTGTTTTGGCAGCGAATCGGCCTCGTGGTGACCGTCGATCTCGTTGTCGTTGTCGCAGTGCCTCTGGTGTACGAGCCCCGGCCGGGTCAGAGGCCTGAGTAGGGTTCTCGACCTCGACCTCCATTCTCCTTGCACTCGTGGGCACGATGCAGCCTTCAACAGCTTCGTCGTCGTCGTATTGTTCGATGCATTGAAGTCGAGTTCAAGGGAATCCGTGAGCGTAGATGTTTGTCTGACGAGAGTTCGTCTGGAGGATGAGGAGGAGCGATAGAGGCACCGTCAGAAGGAGAGGGTCAGAGAGGTCGGGGCCAGTACTCAATAGTCGGAAGTGCGGTTCTGCAGGGAAGTCACGATGGCTGGGCTCTCGTTCTATGTGGGGCATCGTCAGTGTTGCATGGGATGGATGGTCCCACTGCACAAAAAGTGGATAGGGCCCTGTAACCGGACCCCCTGTACGCCTGCTTTATTTACCACGATAACCCCTTTGCGTAGGGGTAATCAAATGTCTGCTGCCCCTCTCAGTCTGTCTTTCAGGCCTTGCTGTCTGTTGAATTGTCGAAAGGCTTCAATTCTCTTATTCCCTTAGAAAGAATGAGCAGGATTGCATTGTCAAAGGCGCTGCTCGGTGCTATCATATCATATATCTATTTCTAGGCGATTCCTCCGAGCTGGAGGAGGAAGGCGGTCGTTCAGATCAGACTTTGAAGCAATCCCATCTCTTCGGCACTTATGATTCGCGCATTCGTCGTCGGCGTTCTATTTATCAGAGCCTATAAGAAGCCGCTGCCCACCACGAATTCTGGCTGATGGTTGCGTAGACTCGGAGGACCACCACTAGGACTTGGCTGAGATAATGTCCTGTTTTGGCGTCGTGCCTGCAGCTTGCAGCGCAGCGTTGTGACCCAAGAGCAAGCAAGGTGCATCCTGGCGAGATCACCAGATCCTTTCACTACGCTGTCTTTAACTCTTCAGCAAAACCATGCAGCTTTCGCTATATGGTCTTGACTCTCGCAATATGAAGGCACATAAGTCGCATACCGGTATCTTCATGCGCTACTGTACCATTGTACTGTGTGCAACGTATCTGAGATGCCGGGTGCCCTTCCCTTTGCTACGGCGCCAGTCCTGTACAATGGTCACTATCACAGGTCTTAGTGACCAACGGGTATCAGCCGTGAAGCCATCACCGGCAGCATGCCATGCCATGAGGCTGGTGTCTTCAATGCCCCGTACTTGGGCCGTGATGGGCACGAAGTAAAAGTAATAAACTTTCTGCCTACCGAGGGTCTCGGTCCGAGATTCTCAGAAAGGGAATTGATCGTTGAGGTCTCAAAATCCCCTGAAAAAGGCTGAAGCCCAAGAAATCAATGTGGATTCTAGTCCTTACCCAGCGCGATGGACACGAAATCTCTCGTGCCCTATCTAGAGCTCAAAGTGGTTTAGATGAACCATACCAGTGGTGGCGGGGATGCTTCCGAGCGACGGTGCCATAGCTAATCAAAAGTGAGGCTACGGAGTATGAAAGTCAAGCCAGGACGGATACAAAACGTCTAGCTTTACCTGATGAAGTCACGATCGCTGGCTAGAGAGCAAGCGGCCTTCAGGGAGGAGTTGGGGACATTAGAAAAATGCATAAAAAAGTCTGATATCATCTCCATCGCACGCACGCGGTTCCCACCCATATTGCAGAAAGCATGCACCACCAGCACCCTCAAACCATCCTCCTGCGCGCGTTCCCCAATCGCATCATGTCGCTCCCGACCTCAAGTGTGTATTAATATATCCAACACTAGAAATAGCTTCACAAACCGAGACAAGGTCTAGACAATGGAGATCGGAAGTCATTCCTGAAACCCGTACCAAATTATCGGGATCAGGAACGCAAGAAACGCGTATCATTTTCAGACCTCTCTCGGGATATTTCCAGCATCAGGTAGGCTCGTCCGGCGGTGGATGAGCGAATCTAGGAAGCAAACCACATAGTCGGGAACAGATCTCAATGTCGCAGCATCATTTGCTGGATCGATCATCTTGTTCTTGGGCCCCTTTCTGATCAGAATCATCATGCAAACATGTGCGGGCCTCCTATTCAAAAGCCTCCAGTTTGCATAAGTCGCATGATGATGTTATTGCCGCACCCACCCGCATCCCACATTCTTCCCGCCGGTCCTTCCAGGCGTGCGCCGCGTGCGCCTTCCCGTTAAGACCGGCTTTATACGGCTACTACGATCGTATTAATAAGCCACAAAGAGTGCCGTCAAAGTTCAAAGTAAATAACGTCTGTCTCAGTTTCAGATTCCTCCAAAATAAAGTGTTGAATTGAACAAGCCATATTATTCCGTCACTTTTGTCATGCACCTAAAGTTCGTTCTCTATCCTACAGTACCCTCTTTATCGTTTCTTATCGATCGCTTACGAAAGGAAGCTCCTCACAACGACGCGTGCATGCATATCCACCTAATTAAGCCAGAACCAGGAGTATCGTTGAACCTCCAGACTTTTACTATACACTATTTATTGAAAGCCATGAACCTCATGTCGGTGCGTGAGAAGGGATGTCCTTGTCATTTACTCCGCAAACCTTGATATCGGAGGCGTTCCTTCCAAGGGCATACCCGGTACTGGTACCCAATGTCAACCCAATATCATTACTGTTCCTGAATCGTGCTCGGCGGCTTTCCGAAGACTAAGCCCCATTATAAATTCAAAAAAAAGTTAGATGAAGTGAGAATGTTTTTCTCAGCCTTTGATTTGTTTATTTTCTTTTCCCTAGTTTGAATGCCTAACAAGTTACGAGATACGGTCATAGACGCTGTATACAATCTAGAACCGAGATTCGAAATTGGCAAGAGCAAGTGATGAGGCGAAGAAGGAACCTCAGCTCCTTTCCAGTACCGTATCAGATACGACATTTGTCGCGGAATCTAATGTACGAAGTACAATCCACGAACACGCTGCGGGGTTCAATAGTGTCTGGTCGCTGCAATAATTGCATATGAATCTACGGGGGAGAAAGCAAGGGGATGCCAGCAAACAAGGTTTCTGGCCAATACCGCGTACGAATAATAGAGTTCTTTAATACGTAAATACTCGGACCAAAAGCTTTGACTGGACTGAAGCCATGAACCCGACCAACGGGACGAGCTAAAGCTATCGATACTTATGAACCAGGATGTATCAGACTCTCGTTCTGTTAGTATGTCTTTATGTGGTTTAATCCATCTGATTAATAAGAAGACTTGTAATCCTTTAAAGATTGTTGCATGTATTGGCCATGTCTCTCTGGTGGGGGTTTAGAAGCCCATTCTTCATATTCCATCTAGGCTCGCCGACGAGCTATACCATTCTCAAATCTGAAATACAAAATTGAAGGCTGATGGGAGGGTACCCAGTATTTCACTGCTACTGTGGACCGATCAGCTCTGGTTTGTATTTAGTCATTTGATACAAGCGAGGTATATCTAGCCTGTATCCAACCCTCAAGTAGCTCTTCGACCACCCATTTACTACATTTTGCCTTCCTCGAATCTCAATTCCTTGGTCTATTTACTCTCAATAGTCATACCACTCGTCGATGATCCATGGCTCACACTCTTGATCCTAGGAATAATGGCCCGTCACCGCCATCCCATATCCGAGAAACAGCCACGTCTGGCTCTTTCCCAAGCCCTCTCAGCGAGGCAAGCTGGAGGAGCTGTAATGTTGTGCCGGAAAGAGGAAGGGGGTATTTCAGCTGTTGGGCTGCCTCGATTGATACTTTCTATCACTTTATTAGCAACATGGATTGCACAACCAACTCAATATCACACGTACCAATTCAGCGATAACTTCATCAACAGTCTTTTTGGATGTCCACTTTCCACTCAGTAGCTGGGGAATACGATCCTTGTACATGAAACTCGTCCCAGCAGCACCGACACAAATATCGAATAGTTGTTGAGGTTGCAGACCAACTTTAGCTCCAAGAGTCGTAGCTTCAATAGCCGCCACGAGATGGACAGCCGCCATAAGTTTGGCAACTAGTTCTAGCTTCGAAACATCCTTTGAACTTGTCGTTGCTAAAGAAGTCTGCTCCAGGACCAGATTTTGTTGGTCGGTGGGAAGAAATATCTTGACGACTTCAGCATCGTCTTTAGCTCCATAGCCAGCGCTGAAACCCGTCACGAAAACCTGTTCCGCAGCTGAAGAAAGAAATAGAGGCAAGCCCGCTGCCCTCCCACCACTAGTAATAATGCCCTATCACAATCAACATCAGCTCAAGCCCTCCCTCCCTTCACACATCAATCAAACTCACAATATCCTTAACAAAGTTATTCAACGCCGAATAGATCTTCTTATCATCCACCAGCATATGCGGCGTCCTATTCCCAAACATCCAACTATTACCCTCACCCTTCTGCAGCTCCTCAAAAGCCCACTGCGTATTAAGGCCCAACCGCGCCGCGAACCCCATCGCCTCACACGACACCACAACATGAATGCCCGCCAACACCTGATGCACTATTTTCACATTCGTCCCCGCCCCCAAGCCCCCCTCAATAACCCACAGATTGCTCCCCGCCATCGCCTCCAACACCGGTCGTGCAGCCCGCACATCCGCCTCGGCCCCCGCTGCAAAAATGCTCAACGTCCCGTCAGCAGCCCGTACCGTACCGCCCGACACCGGCGCATCGATCACAGCTACATCGTCCCTGCCCACCGCATCTAGCTTCTGCCTCACGATGCCCGCGTGGTCTGGGGGCGTCGTGGAGCACAATATCACTATTGCTCCTTTCTCCAACGCCGTTGCTGCGCTGATACCCTTACCCCCACTGGTCCCCGTGCTCTCGTCAAATAAACAGGACAGGATCTGAGCGGCGCTGGTAACCATAAAGACTACGTATTTCGCCCCCTTTACTGCTTCTACTGGCGTCTGCGCTGTGTGTCCGCCGGCGGCTGTGAAGCGCGAGAGCGTCGGGGCCCAGACGTCGAAGCCGGTGGTGTGGGGGAAGGTGTGGAGGAGGTTGGTGGCCATGCCGAAGCCCATGGCTCCAAGGCCTAAGAAGGCTATTTTGGCGGGATCTGACATATTGGGCGGTATTGTGTGGTTAGGATTCAAGAGTACCTAAGTTAGTCGATGAGACTTGAGACTTGAGTTGATGATACTTGTAAATGAATGTCTCGAAAGAGGTGGGGGCGGGGTAAAGAGGGGTATTTATTTATCCAGTCTTTGATCGGCACTGTGAATACTACTTTAATGGAATTTCAGCTCGGGAAATATGTTTGATCTTTTGAGGATTTTTTATTATTAATACTTGTTCGGAGGTGGTCTGGTAGTGAGTATTTAGCACTGAAGAGTGGAGGGAGGTGGAGGTGTGTGGAGGCAGAGGTGGAGCTCCCCGGAAACGTCATTCTGGTGGGGTCAGCTGCTTATACGAACTATAAGAAGTCCATCAATGTCTGGCGGAATTACTATGAGTGTTCTATCAATTGATTACCTAGGTAATTATATACTTCTAGACTTCATCGAATAGTCGAATATCGGGCAGTAGGAAGCGCGTCAAGCTTTCCTGTCCCCTAACGCTCTTTCAAGTCTCCTCGGATGCCTGGAGCCGCAAGATATATTGAAAGGCTGGTAAATGTCGCCTTTGGAATCCTATACTTAATTGCTAATCAGGCATAGAGTATTTTAGCAAAGTGATGAAGTGAAACTACAAATGAATTCTCTCCGTGTCGTAGAAGACGGAGCGAGAGTGAAAGAGCCGCTAGTACGGAGGAGGTCCACCCTGTGAATCTGGAGCGGGCTACGGTCCAAGTAGTGGGATCTAGAATCATTCAATTGCACTTCTATTGCCTGAATGCCAGAAGATACGTATCTTTTACAAACATACCATTCCGTATTCACCATCATTAATATCTCACTCATTGCTTGTCACGTGGGCTGGGATCTCGGCATGAAATAAAATCCGAGATTCCGTCGCGGAAATTGGCACTTTCCCCCTTTTGATGTCACCTCGGTACGTCTGTAGATATATATTGACATCACGGCCTTTCCACCACGTATCTCGTACCCTCCTTACATTCGTCGTGTCACTCCTTCACTCAATTTATTTCCTTCTTCACTTCACAAGCTTGTGCCTCAAGCAATGACAATGACATTCCTCGAGTCACTACCCGTCCCGTCTCTCGACAGGCCTTTTGGCGTGCACCTATGGCCCCTCTTCAGCAAGGCCTTTGAACTGGTGGCAGGCTATCCTGCCGATGACTTTAAGTTCGTTGCGGGGGAGACACCAATGTCGACCCTAAGGGACACTTCCATCTTCGTCGCCGTTTACTACACCGTCATCTTTTCCGGCCGGGAATGGATGCGAAACCGAGAGCCCTTCAAGCTGAAGTCTCTGTTCCTGATCCATAACTTCGTCCTCACGGCCGTAAGCGCAATCCTGCTTGCGCTGTTCGTCGAGGAGCTGCTTCCTACGGTTGTTCGAAAGGGCATTTTTTATGCCATCTGTGACCATGATGGTGGCTGGACGCAGCCCCTGGTTGTCCTCTACTACGTACGTTTAGCCTGTTTTGTGAGAAAACCGGGTACACGATGCTAATATGAAGACAGATGACTTATCTGACCAAGTATCTTGAGCTTCTCGATACTGTATTCCTGTTCCTCAAAAAGAAGCCTTTGACGTTCCTGCACTGCTACCACCACGGCGCGACGGCCGTTCTGTGCTACACCCAGCTGATTGGCCACACCTCAGTTTCATGGGTTCCCATCACTCTAAACCTAACCGTCCACGTCGTTATGTACTGGTATTATTTTCAGAGCGCTCGTGGTGTTCGCATATCGTGGAAGGAATGGGTCACGAGACTGCAGATCGGGCAATTCGTCATCGATCTCGGCTTCGTCTACTTTGCATCCTACACGTACTTCACGTCGACCTATTTCACCTGGATGCCGCACTCGGGCCAGTGTGCTGGAGAGGAGTTCGCCGCCTTTGCAGGCATTATTATTCTCAGCTCCTACCTCGTGCTCTTCATCTCCTTCTACTTGGCCACGTACAGCAAGGAAGGAAAGCCGCCTACTGCTCGCAAGGCTCTGCGACGCATGTCCCAAGCGCGCGCTCTGGACCCTCACTCCTTCGATGCCAAAGCCATGACCACCGGAGCTGGCACTGGCGACGTCTTGCCCCGGTCCCGGAAGGCGTAAAGGCAATCAATCAATCAATCGTTCAAGATAGACCGCGTACCAAAACCACTGTGGTCCTGCTTTGCTGGCATCTGCATGGTTTATCCTTCCAAAACTTCTAGACCTTGGTATGGTTTATCCACGATGTGGCATTATGGCTGGATGAATTTCACGACGATCAATATAACGCAACTGCCCGCAATCGATCAACACATACATCATCACCGATATGAGGTTTTCTTTTTCCTTCTCGATGACCCGACCTGGTAATGGAACGAATCCTGATGTAATTTTACTTTGCATATGTACTATAATCTTTAGGAAATTATACTGGCGCTGGGATAGCTTCAGCGGAGAAGTGGACTGCGAGATCATATAAGAGATAATCCTAATAGAAGAACATGAAGAGTGTCAAATTTCGCCGTTCTTTTTCTTTTCTTTTTCCGAATCTCGTCAAGGGTTCAGATCAGTGGTCTAATGTTGAAAGGTAGTTCGTTTCATACCCATTCAGCTTTGCGGTGCTTGCGAAAACCTGTCCACTGTGTGATCTAAAGATTACCCGGACAGGTGATGTTTATTCCCATGTTATATTTTGAGAGTACCACGGGAGAACACTGAATTATTCACTATTTGCAATATTTTGGAAATGAACTCCGTGGTATATTGATCTGCCTGCAACTCTTCCGATTCCCAAAGCAACGCAAATGAACATCAGGGCGGAAACAAAATGGCAGTGGGTATCTGCCGGGTATCATCCCATGTCTAATAAATAACCAGCCTCTCGTTTCCCTACCATCCCATCCCATCAATCAGTTTCGCCCCTCGCTTCAGACCACATTAACCTTTACACCTTCCCCAACACCCAACCCCGCCTTGACATCCACATTCGCAGCACAAACCTTATACCCCGGGTGTGCCACCTCATGCATATCTCTCTCAACCCCCGCCCAAGTCACAAAGCGCGCCTTGACCTCCTCCGGCTCCAGCGCCCAGCTCCTCCGCGCAAATCTGCGACATAACGGGAGGGTGAACCATGAACGCAGACCCATCCTCCTTGGCCCTGTTCTGAAACGCTTTCCTGTACAGCATAAATGCGTTCATGGGTCGCTTGGCCTTGATATTGCCGGATACTTTGGCTCGCTCTCGCTCTCGCTTGCCTTCGGCGTGTCGGACGGCGATGGGGCGGTTGACGTACGTTTCTATGTCAATGAGGGGCATGTATGTCCATTTTGCTGTGAGCGAGCTGAGGGGTTGCGAGGGCTTGGTGAGGCGTTGTGGGGGCGTTGGGATGGGGAATGACTGTTTCGGGCGTTTTGGAGGGCTGGGAGGGGCTTCATGTTTCTCGTTGTGTTCGCGGCGTCGTTTGGCTGTCTGGAGTGCTAGGGCGGTCTTTTGGGCCGTGTGTGTTTTTTGCGCTGCGGTGTTTATTGATATTGCTGGTCTTGTTATGGATAGCCTATTATTATCATCGTCGTCGTCAATGAGCATGGGTTTGAGATTGGGTGCTTTGTGGGGAGGTGCCGCCTTTGTTTTTAGGATTGTTTGATGGGGGGTGTATTCAATAACCTGGAGACTGCTATGATCATGACTTGGCTGTCGTGTAGCTATAGCTGAGGGGCAATCGTCGTTGGCCTCTGTAGTCCCTTCCTCCTGAACAGAATGCTTCATGTTCCACCCAATAACCTTGTCCATCACACCTGTATTTCCCATAGCAGCAGATAGCAATAACTCTTCGAGAGCCTTTCGTGGGAATCCAGCTATGATACTCCGTGCCATAGCCTTGCATACGGGGTCTATTGGATTGCTGCGAATAGGTGTCTGGCGTTGCTGTTGCTGCCGCGCTCGAGTTGGATATACATCCGACAATATCGTAGAAATTGGCACTTGGATCACTGAAGGCGTCAAAGTCTGCTCTATCGAAGGTGAAGGAGCCGGGAGGCTAGTTGTAGAAGCCGTAACATCCATGTTTCCTTTCTCGATAGTCCGCGTCCGCGGTGCTAAAGAGCAAGGCAAAAAAGTCATATCCCACATCAAATCCCCCTCCACATCCATCTTATCAATCCCGACATCCTTCTCATGTTCCAGACATCTCTCCTTTCCTTCCTTCTCCAAAATTCGTGGCCCTGGTCCTGATCCTAATTCTGCCGCCGGCTTCTCCGTTGTTACACGAGACTGGCGTGACGTACGGCTCAAACTATGCCCTCCCCTCCTCGCCATCCCTTTACACACTGGTTTTATACCTTGACGCGCACAGCTGGGTCGAGCGGTGCCTGATAGCCCGTTGACTTGGGCGGTGAGGATGTTAACATGGCGGATGATGGGGCATTAGTGAAGAGCGGTGGATGCTGATGGTGTGTTTGGTCTGTAGAGAGTGAAGGAAGTAAAATAATTTAGTGTTTACGAGATAAGGAAGGTATGTGCTGAATAAAGCTTAAACAAAGCCTTATCGGTGAAAGACTGAAACATCAACGTTAGCGGCGCTGCTGTGTTCATGTCGCTGTCTACATATCCCTAATAAATGTTAATGATCCTTCGCCCCACCGCGTAAACAGGGGAATTCAGCAAATGATATCACTACATCCAGGGCCTAGTGGGACCTTACAAGAACTTTACAAGTACCCTTCGCGGGCCACTGCAAGGGTTCTAGCCATTCAGTTCTATAGGATTCTACGTATTATAGAGATTTTACGTGATTTAATATTTATTAAGGGGGATAGTAAGAGGACCCTGTGAGTTCAAGTAGTACAAAGCTAGATTTAGCGGCCGTTGACAACCCAAGACACCTACTAGGTACCTCAATGAGATCATGGCGTTATGCCCTGGTTCTAGATCTTTTGCAATTTGGTATCTAGACTCGTTATATTTGATCTACCACTGTGTATGAATATGATACTAGGTAAAGTCAATAACTCGGACACATTTTCTAAGTAAAAGAGCGGGGTTACGGGTGCGGCACTGGAACGTGGGGCGGATGCGTTCGGTACATCAGGAAGAATGCGCTGGTACTGTACCGGCGATTACACTGAAAACTGGCGGACAACCAAGTACCTTTATAAGCATGCCTTCTATACTCCAAGCATTCAGCATCCATCAGATCGTCGTCTCCTTTTCCAATCCTCTTACAGTTTCATCCAATGCGATTCTTATTCTCCAAACAATAAGTCTTTGTAATTCATTAATGGACTATAGATTTGATCTCACATGAAATTGTAACATAAGCTCATATTAAAAGCTCACCTATACATATCCTTCAAACTTTCCACCGCAACTCTATACGCCTCATCCCTCTCCCTAGTCATGTTCCCCCAGCTTGGCATTTTATCCCACCCGTGAGCAACCCCCGGAACTGTAAACCCACTAATCACGCTCCCCATTCCCCTTAACCGTTCCCTAAACGCCTCCCCCTCCCCAAGCAAAGCATCACCCCAACAAGTAATAAAACAAACCTTCCTCGGCAACGCTTCCTTCAGTAACGCCTCATCCGCCAATGCAGGACTCAGTAACGGATTCCTCATATCGGCAGGCTTGGGGTAAAGATACGACTCGTCAAAGACGCCAACCAACGATTTAGGCATCCCAATCGGCTTAGTATTCGGATTCGAAGCCGCCCTCTCAGCACGTGAACGCGTCCAGTCAACAGCCGGATAGAAAGCCACGATTCCCACAAGCTTGCCCAGCTCAACTTCAGCAAGCCGGTCTTCGGCCTTCAATCGAGCAATTTCCTGGTGCAGGCGTATGGGAGCCGTGAAGCTGTAATTCCCACCTGCTGAGAAGCCCGAAAGGGCGGTGCGGGATACATCGAGGTGGAGAGAGTCAGCATTAGCCCAGAGATACAGCATAGCTGATACACAGTCCTCGATTCCTGTTGGAAAGGGGTATCGAGGCGCAAGACGGTAATCTACGCTTACGATCACACACTCGATTTTCTGCAACACAGTAGTGGCCCATCGTGCATCGTCAGCTGCATTCCCGACGCTGTAGGCGCCTCCATGGAAATTGACGAGTACGGGATACTTTTTCGAAGACTGCTGGCCGAGTTTGTAGCTAGGTGGCGTGTAGAAGAGGAGCTTGAAGGAACCAGGGACGGAACCGATGGTTGAAGGGATGCGGACGGTGAAAGAGGGGCGTTGGGGTGAAGGGGGTGAGAGATAAAGTTCGCAGTAGCGGCCTATTGCTGCGAAGATGCGGAAGAGGTAGGTTTTGATGTATAGGTTGAGACGTGACATTTTGTAGCTGTTAATGGATGTTGGAATCTGATGACGCGTTGATTCTTGAGCTTGGCTGGCTGTGGGCAGTATAAGTAAGGGTTATATATAGAATGAAGTTATTGTATTTACCATAAGATTTATGAAGGTTATTTAAAATAGACAAGTTTGCGTGGATGTCGCTATTGTACACCAGGTATAGAGTGTGGAAAATAATCAGTGTCTTGGGGGAAGTGAAACAGAAACAGCTCTCCGTGGAGGGAAAAAGTGTACTAATAAGGCACCAAACCTCGCTTGTCTATTAGGAGACTATTTTCCTCCACGGAGAAAACAGATAAGCTTGCAGATCGAAGGGGGGCTTACAGTGGGGTTTCGCTAAGTAAAAGCTTGACTTCTCTAGGATTAGTCTCAAAGAAATGGTTTCAAACTATCTATGCACTTTTAAAATTTGTACTAGAAAAGCGCTATATTACTTTCTAAAGAATAGGAATAAGCTAGAAAACAACTACTAGAAAATAGAAGATAAAAGATATATACTGAACGTTATCTACTAGGAGATATATATTAGAGGTAGCTTTTCGATTTAGTGTAAGAGTAAAATTAAGGCATTTGATGATTTTAATCTACTATTAGTACCACGTAGTGCTCTTTTCTAGCTTAGTAATTTGCGTTGTTAGTGATGCTATGAATTTGTAAAAGTTCTTTGCTTATAGGAGAGGTTCACTTATAGCACAGGAGTAGACTGTAGCTAAAAGGGGGAGGTTCACTGGCGCTCAATTAAGAAGTGCGAATTGTTGGGGTAGAATGCTCTACTGGAGCTGATTGCTTTTGTGGAGCATTTGGAGCTGCAATTGCTGCTGGAGTCCGGATAGCAATGATGATTGGAACTGAGGTCAAAGGGGCTTAAGCGAGGTACCTCCCTCTACCTCTGGTTCGGAATTTGGGGAATGACCAATATTTGTCCATCGGTTAAGCACTTGACTTCAAATCTCCCCCATTGTTTGAGGGATTGAAAAGAGAAACAACTGGAATGAATGCTCCGGCGTTAAAGAGATAGGGAGGAGCGGAGCGGAACGGAGCAGACAACGTCGAAAGAGGAGAGCTTTATCCGCTGCGCCAAAGGGCTACCTGGCAGGAGAACTGAGTGAAGGGTGGAAGGAGGAGTGGTTATTGACTCGATTCCGAACATTGTAATGATTTGTCGCAGAAAGCTGTTGAACTAAAACAACAATAATGGCATCTCTCGCAAATGGGACCAATTATTTTGCTATTAACGGAAAGAGACTGACTAGATGTAATATATGGCAGCATAAGTTCAGGCAATCCATCGAGTGAAGCGGAGGACAAAACCCCTGATGAGGAATAGCGGCACGTGATTTTAGGCGGAAGAAAGATGATCCTTGTGCCGATTGGCTAGAGCTGATTTCCCTGATAGTTTAGAATCCCCTCCTCCGAGCTTTTAGTCGCGAGACAGTACGCTGTCAAGCCTCATCTAGATTGATACTTGCGATTCCGCGTCAAATTGTTCTCCAGCAACAGCCTCGACATCCTTCTTTTCTCTACAGCGGTTCTTTTAATGAGGCCTGTTAGGACCTAGATTATTTGATGAGATTTTTGATACCCTCCCTTCATCTTCCTAATAATCAATTCGATTGATCTATTCAGCCTTCTCACAGCCTTCACTACAATCACAATATCAACGCCCCACACAACCACCACTCTGCGCGAAGATTCTTGCCGCAGATACCTCCTCCCTCTTGCGCATGAAGCCTCTTTCTTGAAAGGGCTTGCGCCATTGCGAATGTCGCTGTCATGTCTGCCACTATTGATGTAGTTGTGCAGCGGTTGAGCTCGCCTGACTCTGGTACGTTTGCTTCCGTCCCCCCAGGCCCCATCATAATACGGAATTTGGAAATATCAATCGGAACTCGAAAGCTGACCTGCCTCTGCTTCGATTAGATGTCAAACTCAAAGTCGAAGCAGCGACTCAGCTGCGCGACAACCTCGAGCACTACATAACTGGACCCATATACCCAGCTTTCCTCAAGAAGCTAATTCCAATATTCATCAACTGCCTAAAAGGCCCTCCAGTTTTTATTAGTACTTCCTCGGAACAAGTCAGAGCTTCTGCCATGCTGCTTTTGCCCCATGCTAAAATACTGTAGAAACTACGGAGCTGTGTTCTCGAGATCCTCCATCGCTTGCCTACGAACCCCCCCGAGCCTTTCGAACCATATGCAGAAGAAGTGGTGGATCTTTTGATGAATCTGGTGAAATGTGATAATGAGGAAAATGCATCTCTCTGTGTCAAGACGATCATGGATATTATGCGGCACCAGACCAAAGTGCTGCAAGAGAAGGTCCAGCCCTTCTTGACGCTCATTCAAGACCTCTTCGACCAGATGGAGTCAGTGGTACGGGATCAGCTCGACAACCCAACTTCTGGAGTGCCATCGACACCAGGGAGCTCACAAACATACCAAAACTCTCCTCGACCAGGCTCTCCAGTTGCATCTGTCGCAGACCTTGGGGCAGATCCCCAGCAGCAGACCCGGCCGTTGTTAAAGGGGATGCAGTCCTTCAAAGTGCTGGCAGAATGTCCAATTATTGTGGTGTCAATATTCCAGGTCTACAGAAACACGGTTGGGCCAAATGTTAAGCTTTTTGTGCCTCTCATCAAGAGCGTTCTCCTTCTCCAAGCAAAACCTCAAGAACAAGCACATACCGATGCCGCAGCAAAGGGTACCATCTTCACTGGTGTTAGCCCCAACATTCGAAACAGAGCTGCCTTTGGAGAGTTCATCACGGCCCAGGTCAAGACAATGAGTTTCTTGGCATACCTCCTTCGGGTATACTCGCAGCAGCTTACCGATTTTCTTCCAACACTACCAAATATCGTTGTTCGACTGTTGAAGGATTGTCCGCGGGAAAAATCCGGGGCGAGAAAAGAACTGCTGGTTGCGATTCGACACATCATAAATTTCAACTTCCGGAAGATATTTGTGTCGAAGATTGATGAGCTTCTTGATGAGAGGACATTGATAGGTGATGGTTTGACAGTCTACGAAACAATGCGACCTCTTGCATACAGCATGCTTGCTGACCTTATCCATCATGTTCGAGATGCTCTAGATCCTAAGCAGATTCGGAAGACGGTCGAGGTATATACCAAGAATCTGCAGGACAGCTTCCCCGGTACCAGCTTTCAGACCATGAGCGCCAAGCTGCTTCTGAATATGGCAGAATGCATTTCGAAGATGCCCAGCAAGACAGATGCTCGTTACTACCTAATCATGATCCTTAATGCTATTGGAGATAAGTTTGCCGCCATGAACAGGCAATATCCCAATGCTGTCAAGCTTTCGAAGCTCTACGCACAACAATCGATCGATGCGTCTGCAGATAACTATCTAGCGGAAAAAGATAATCCTCCTAATTGGGATGAGATCGATATTTTCACAGCTATGCCAATCAAGCCATCAAATCCTCGAGACCGGGGGCTCGACCCTGTTGCCGATAACAAATTCCTGTTCAAGAATCTCATGAATGGGTTGAAGAACACTTTCTATCAACTGAAAGCATGTAATACTGCCCCGCCAATTGATGCGAACAACGCACCCGCTCATTGGCAGGAAGTCTCATATGGATTTTCGGCCGAGGAAGTCCAGGTAATCATTAAGCTCTTTCGCGAAGGTGCTTACGTTTTCCGGTACTACGAAATTGAGAAACCAGCGTCAGAATCGCAGTACGCTTCACCTGTTGAGTTTATGGCAAATCACTACATGATCTCCAGCAGCAAGGAAGAGAAGGATCTGCTTGAAACTTTTGCCACAGTCTTCCATTGTATCGACCCAGCCACTTTCCATGAGGTTTTCCATGAAGAGATTCCAAAGCTCTACGAGATGATATTTGAGCACACTGCACTCCTCCATGTACCGCAGTTCTTTCTTGCGAGCGAAGCAACGTCTCCCAGCTTTGCGGGAATGCTTTTGAAGTTCCTCATGGACCATATCGATGAAGTAGGCAGCTCAGATGTCAAGAAGTCGTCAATTCTTCTCCGACTCTTCAAGCTGGCTTTCATGGCCGTGACTCTCTTTTCGAATCAGAATGAACAAGTCCTTTTGCCCCACGTGCTCGACATTGTCACGAAATCCATTGAGCTATCAACGACCGCCGAAGAGCCAATGAACTACTTCCTCCTTTTAAGATCACTCTTCCGAAGTATTGGTGGTGGAAAGTTTGAGCACCTCTACAAGCAGATCCTACCTCTTCTTGAAATGCTTTTGGAGGTTCTGAACAACTTGCTCTTAGCCGCACGAAAGCCGGCAGACCGAGACCTATACGTAGAGCTGTGTCTCACCGTCCCTGCCAGGCTCAGTAACCTCCTCCCCCATTTGAGCTATTTGATGCGACCTCTCGTAGTAGCTCTGAGACCTGGGTCTGATCTTGTGGGACAAGGTCTCAGGACGTTGGAACTTTGCGTCGACAACCTCACCGCTGATTACTTGGACCCCATCATGGCCCCAGTAATTGATGAGTTGATGACCGCTCTCTTCGATCATCTTCGCCCTACACCCTACAGTCATTTTTATGCTCACACCACCATGCGAATCTTGGGAAAACTGGGTGGCCGGAACAGGAAATATATGACAGGCGCTCCAGGTCTGACCTTCCAGCAATTCTCGGACGATATTACCAGTTTCGATCTGAAGCTCGTTGGGTCGAAGAAAGATAGAGCTTTCCCAGCTGAGATTGGTATCGATCTCGCCATTGGTAAATTGATGGAAGCGCCGAAAGGAGCTGCGGCCAAGAAATTAGATGGATATTACAAGAAACAAGCTCTCCATCTCATAAAGACCCAATTAAAGTTGCGTCTTGGTGTAGACAACCTCCCGGAAGATTTCTCCCGACTTGTCCGTTTGCAGGCACAGGATTTGCTAGCCGGAGAATCCAACGTCGACTTGACTGCGCTCGAAACGTCCGACAGAGAACGGTCTGTTTTCAAGAAAGACGGACAGGACGCGATGCTTAAAAAGTTGCTCAAAAGCTGCATATTTGCTATTTCTCTCCCCGACTTTACAGCTGAGGCCTCGGCACTTTTAACCAATGTCTGCAGGCATATCACAATCCTCGAGATTGGTAACGCTTTGCAAGAGATGAAGCGAAGGAAACAGGCGTTTGATGTAAAAGCTGGAGAAGGTAGACTCTTCATTGAAAGTAGAGTGCTTGCCGATGCCATTGTTGAGTCCTTGTCATCTGATATGCCAGCTGTTCGGGAAGCCGCCCAGCAAGCGATCCAGGAGGTTTACGATTCTACCGGTATCATATTCGGATCGAGCACTGAAATTTCCCGCTTGTCATTTTTTGACCATCTCGTCAAGTCCTTCTGTCACGCATGTTACGAAGAGGAGTGGTTTACCAAGGCAGGTGGTAGCTTGGGAATTAGCCTTATGCTTACCACGTTTGACATGGGCGATGCTTGGGTGCAAGATAAGCTGATAGAGCTGGTAAGGGCTCTGATGTATGTCATCAAGGACATGCCTCCTGATCTACCAGCAAAGACTCGAAGGGGAGCTCAAGGTACACTCGAGATCCTTCTACGTCGTAGTATGAAGAATGCGACCAAGGATGACCTCGCTGTTCCTCCTCCGGCTCAGCCCCCTCACCAACAGTCACGAGGATCTAAGCTTTACCAGATTTGCGGCCTCATGAATCTCGCCGTTTGCCACATGAATCGACATGTCCGTGAAGCTTCCAGGCAAGCACTGGAGATCATTTCTAAGGAGGTTGGGGTTGAGATCTGGGAGCTTTTGGAGCCCAGCAAGGACAGTTGTCTAATGCCAATTTACAACAAGCCGCTGAGAGCACTTCCATTTGGAGTGCAAATTGGTTTTATCGATGCAATCACATATTACATGGGATTGAAGAGCGACTTCGTCCCCTTTGACGACCACCTCAATCGCCTGCTCATGGAGACTTTGGCTTTGACTGATGCACCTGACGAGTCCTTGGCTGGAAAGCCGCAGGAGCATCGGACACATGAGTCGATCGTCAATCTTCGCGTGGCCTGCATGAAAATGCTTACAACAGCAATGGGGTTCGAGGATTTTCAGAAAGGGGCCGCAAATCCCACTCGAAGCAAGATCGTTGGCGTCTTCTTCAAGTGCTTGTACTCAGAATCAAAGCCTATTATTGAGTCAGCGAATGACGCATTGAAGGTCGTCCTCTCTCAGACGAGCAAGCTACCCAAAGATCTTCTTCAAAATGGTCTCCGTCCTGTGCTGGCAAATCTCCAAGATCCACGTCGGCTAAGCGTCCACGGTCTTGACGGCTTAGCCCGACTTCTGCAACTTCTGACAACGTACTTCAAGGTTGAGATTGGCTCTCGTCTGCTCGACCACATCAAGACCCTCGCAGATCAAAACATGCTCCAACGAATCTCATTCACTCTTATTGAGCAAAACGAGCAGATGAAAATCATTGCCGCCGTCGTCAACATCTTCCATCTGCTTCCTCCGGCCGCAGAACAATTTAAAGAAAGACTCATCATCACTGTACTGGATTTGGAGGAACAATTACGTAGGACGCGATACAGCCCATTCAGACCGCCACTCTACAAATACATCAACAGATACCCCAAAGAGACCTGGGGCCTCCTCCTTGGCAAGATCGAGGAGCCAAAGTATGGCCGCTTCCTAGCTCAGGTTCTGGAGAATCCCGAAAGCAAAGCTCTACGAGAGGTCGTTGTCAATGGAGTCGAGTCCTTGATCAAGTACTGTGGAGACATGAGTGAGGGAAACAAGGAGAGCAAGTATGCTGCTATCATCAATTCCATCCACATCATGCATTCCATCTCCAAGTTCGAAGGCACCCGATCTTGGATGGAAAAGAAGGATAGTTTGATGTGGTTCAAAGCCGTTGGCAAGAAGTTGGAAGCACAATTGCGCAGCAACACCCTGCCGCCACAACTCCGTCTTGCTGCCGAGCAAGCTGGCGATCATCTCATGATCATCTTCACCAAGTTCCTTGAGTACCATCCTAAGGACCTGGACGCTTTGTTCAGCCTTGTGGAGGCTGTCACCTCTGATGACTTCAAACCCAGCCAGCCGCTTTTCGATTATATCTACAAGCACATTGTCTGTAATGAATCGATTGACTACTGGAAAGCAATTATTATGCGGAGCTTGGAAATATATGCTGGTAGGAGCGCATCACAAAAGACGAAGGCATTCCTTTTGCACTACCTGGTCAACCCCATCATCGCCATGGATGTCATGCGCACCACTGGACAATCAATTGCTGCAAAGACACCCAGACTAATGGATAAAGCAGTGATCGAGTCAGTTCACAGCAAGATCTGGAAAGTGGGTCTTGGGGACTCCAATGAAGACTTGACTCAGCCAGGCATCGATCACACCCGGATGGAAGTCCTGCAGCTTACAGCGATGCTTATTAAGTATTACCACGCGATTCTGCAAGATGCCCGAAAGGACATCATCAAATTCGGCTGGACCTACATTCGTCTGGAGGATGTTATCAATAAGCATGCTGCGTATGTCGTAATCGGATACTTCATCGCGCATTACGAGACACCAGCCAAGATAGTCCAGCAAGTCTACTTTTCACTTCTGAGAGCAAATCAGAATGAAGGTCGAGCCTTGGTGACACAGGCCCTGGAGCTCATCGCACCTGTACTCCCCAAGCGAGTCAACGCAGCGCCAGGCGATCGCAACCCTATCTGGGCTGTTGGACCCCGTCGAATTTTGGCTGAAGAGGGTCAAAATGTACAGCAAATGACTAGCATCTTCCACTTCTTAGTCAAGCACGCGGATCTTTTCTACGACTCTCGTGAAAAGTTCATTAATCTCATCATAAGCTCTCTCCGCAAAATTGCTGCACCACCAAATCCATCAAATGAGAGCAAGAAGCTGGTATTGAACCTGATGACTTTGATATGGCAGTGGGAGCAGAAGCGTGTCGAAGGAAAGGATGCTTCTCCTGTGCGAGCCTTTTCGGAATCTCCGAACACGAAAAAAAGGAAGCTCGAGAGTTTGAGTGACCAGCAAACATCTTCGCCTTCACCATCCAAGCCTGGTTCGTCCTCAGGTGACAAACCCGAGTACAAAATCCCACCTATTGTCCAATCAAAGATGATTAAGTATCTCGTCGAGTTTATTGCATCGCTCAGCGAGAGGTATCCGCTCCCATCAGCTAAGAACAGAGATTCAGGCGCTTCTAATTCTCCGATGCAGCCTGGGCTCTCAGTTGAGATGTGCAAGAAGGCCATTTCTCTTCTCTACAATCTCCTTCAGCCACAGTACTGGGGAGAATCAGGTGTTGACTTGTTCCCAAATGTTACCGAGACAGTTTTAGCGAGTGAGAGGACAATTGCCGCTCTTGCCAGCGAGCATTCTGACAAGGAAAAGCCCGATGAGAAATTCATCACCAACATGATAAATACTCTCCAGATTGTTCGCATCATTGTCAACATCAAGTCAGACGAGTGGATTTTGCAAAACCTATCCGCTCTGCAGCATATTCTGGATAAGTCCCTGAAGTCAGACAATCCAGAGATACAAGATTGCTTGCATTCGGCCGATGAAACGATCGACGATGGTCGGAAGCTGAGGCCACTGCTCAAACGTATCCTGGATGCTGTTCCCGATGATGTTCCCATGGAGGATGCCGATGCAGATGGAGAAGCAGAAGCATCAACGTCGGAGATCATTACCTTCTTAACTAACATAGCTACCGAGATGCTCTCGGCCAGCAACTATGTCGCCGGCATCAACGTTTTGTGGACTCTGGCCCAGCGAAAGCCTTCTGAGATGGATCAACACATTAATCAAGTAATGAAGGCTCTGCAAGCCAAGCTGGCGCGGGAACACGTTGGTCATTATACTGCTGTAATGGGCCAGTCTGGGATGGCAGCTCCGGTTCGACCAGGAGAGGCTGAACCAGCAGGGGTAATGAGCAACTACGATCTGGAAATTCAAACTGGTCTCATGCTCAAGGCTATTGATGTCATCTCGATGCGTATGGATGTCCTCGGGGATAATCGCCGTCCTTTCCTTAGCGTCCTTGCGACATTGGTTGAAAAATCGATGAGTAACTCACTGTGTTTGAAGATTCTAGACATGGTCGAAAACTGGGTCTTTAAGTCCGAGGGATCATGGCCTACGTTGAAAGAGAAGACTGCCGTCTTACACAAAATGTTGACTTTCGAAACCCGATCCGACCAAACCCTCCTGATGAAGTTCCTCGAACTCGTAATACGTATTTACGAGGACCCGAAGATTACGCGCACGGAGCTCACTGTTCGAATGGAGCATGCATTCTTGATTGGCACCAGAGCCCAAGATGTTGGGATGCGGAACCGCTTTATGACAATCTTTGACAAGAGTCAATCCAAGACAGCCAGTGCGAGACTAGCTTATGTGATTACTGGTCAGAATTGGGACACATTAGCCGAATCGTACTGGCTCTCTCAAGCTTCTCAACTACTGCTTGGCGCTGTCGATACGAATAGCTCACTGCAGCTGCACTCGGAAGACTTCCGAGTCATGCCAGCTTCTATGATCTTTGGGACTTATTCCAAAGACCCTCGAACCCCAGCACTTCCTTCGGACGCCAAGTTCGATAGTTTGATGGCCACTCATCGACGCTTTGTGGCCGAGCTTGGAGATGTTAAAGTCCGCGATGTGATTGAACCTCTCACTCAATTGCAACATACCGATCCCGACATGGCACATGAGATGTGGGTTGCGTTGTTCCCTATGTTCTGGGCTGCTACTCCCAAGGATGAACGTAGTGATTTAGAGAGAGGAATGGTCGCTTTACTCACCAAGGATTACCACTCACGGCAAGTTGATAAGAGACCCAACGTCATCCAATCACTCCTCGAAGGAGCCGCAAGGTCTTGGCCGGAATGCAAAATTCCACCCCATGTGCTGAAGTTTGAAGCAAAGACGTACGATGCTTGGTACACCGCACTTGTACAGCTTGAAAACGCTGCAATCAACCCAGCAGTTGATAGCGCGTTAATTCGAGAGAGCAATCAGGATGCTCTTGTGGAGCTGTATGCTGGTTTACAGGAAGATGATCTATTCTACGGAACGTGGCGCCGCCGATGTCAGTTCGTGGAGACGAACGCTGCTCTTTCGTACGAGCAGAATGGCATGTGGGACAAAGCGCAGAGCATGTATGAGGCTGCTCAAATCAAAGCCCGTACCGGTGCTATTCCTTTCTCCCAGGGCGAATACATGCTCTGGGAAGATCATTGGGTCTTGTGTGCACAGAAACTTCAGCAGTGGGAGATTCTTTCCGATTTCGCCAAGCATGAGAACTTCCAAGACCTGCTGTTGGAGTGCGCATGGAAACAAACAGAGATGTGGCAGACACCCGAACATCGCGAGTCCCTCGACAATTTGATCAAGGGTGTGATGGATGCACCTACACCTCGGCGTGCCTTCTTCCAGGCCTTCATGTCACTTCTCAAGCTTCACAACAAGACCGAATCTCCAGGCGAGTTTAGCAAGGTCTGTGACGAGGCCATTCAGCTTTCAATCCGAAAGTGGCACCAGCTACCGAGGCGGATCACGAACGCTCATATTCCTCTCCTGCAGAACTTCCAACAGCTTGTGGAGCTTCACGATGCTAGCGTTATTTGCCAGAGTCTAGCGCAGACAAATCAGGCCAACCTTGATGTGAAATCTGGCGAGCTGAAGTTATTACTGGGTACATGGCGTGATCGACTTCCTAACGTTTGGGATGATATCACCGCATGGCAGGATCTGGTGACCTGGAGACAACACATTTTTGGACTGATCAATACAACATATCTTGGACTCCTTCCTCAGCAAGGGCAAAACGCCAATGGAGCTTCCTTCGCTTATCGGGGTTATCACGAGACTGCTTGGATTATCAATCGCTTTGCTCACGTTGCCCGCAAGCACCAGCTTCCAGAGGTCTGTATCAGCCAGCTCAGTCGAATCTACACTCTGCCAAATATTGAAATTCAAGAAGCATTCTTGAAGCTTAGGGAACAGGCCAAGTGCCATTATCAGAACCCCAACGAGCTCACCAATGGATTGGATGTTATTAACAATACCAATCTCAATTACTTCGGTCCAAACCAGAAGGCTGAGTTCTATACACTAAAGGGTATGTTCTTGGAGAAGCTAGGTCAGCGGGATGAGGCTGCGGAGGCCTATGGCATGGCACTATTCTTTGACATCAAGCTTCCAAAGGCATGGGCAGAATGGGGGTATTACAATGATCGTCTGTTCAAAGAAAACCCAAATGATTATCAATTCGCGCGAAACGCGTTGAGCTGCTACCTCGAGGCTGCTGGACTCTTCAAGAATGCGAAGTCACGGAAATTGCTCACTCGCATTCTCTGGCTACTAAGTCTTGATGACGCCGAAGGCACCCTGTCGGCACAATTCGATGACTACAAAGGTGAGACGCCCGTGTGGTACTGGATCACCTTCATCCCTCAACTTTTGACTGGACTTGGCCACAAGGAAGCACCTAAAGCGAATATACTTCTTTCCAAGATCGCCAAGGCGTATCCCCAAGCTCTTTACTTTCAGTTGCGAACCAATCGAGAAGATATGCTCGCCATCAAGAAGACCCAGGAGCAGAAAGAGGCAAGAGAGAGAATGGCAAAAGCTAGACAGCAGGGCAATAATAGCGGTTCAGCTCCACAGCAAAACGGCTCACCCAGTGCCCAACGTCAGAACACTCCTGCTACTCGACCTGATAGTGCTGCTGGATCAAGGCCCGGAACAGCAAACCCGGAGTCTAATTCTGTGGTCAAGGCTGAGCCGGATGCAAATGGAGATAACAAGACTGATGTTACAGCTGCACCGCAGAAGAAGCCGCCATGGGAGCACACCGAGGAGGTGCTCGCTGTACTCAAGACTGCCTTCCCGCTCTTGGCACTTTCTATGGAAACCATGGTTGACCAGATTTCCAAGTTCTTCAAGTGTCCACCAGATGAAGATGCGTACAGATTGATCACTGCTTTGCTCAACGACGCACTCTCGTACGTTGGCCGCATGCCCGGTTCATACGCTCACGATGTCAAGTTACCACAGGCAACCGAGTCAAACATCACGAGATTTGCTGAGACCATTCTTCCGACGCATATACGAGCCTCGTTTGAAATCGACTTTGTTCAGAAGAAGCCGACAATGCACGAATATATTCATAAGCTCCGCAAGTGGCGCGATAAGTTCGAAGCCAAGCTTGATCGAAGATCGAAAATTAAGTATCTGGAGGATTGTAGCCAACACCTCAGTGATTTCAAATTTGCCAAACTCGACGAGATCGAGGTCCCCGGCCAATACTTGCAACACAAAGACAAAAACCAGGACTTTATTCGCATTGAGCGTTTCTTGCCAAATGTTGATCTAGTCCGAAATATTGGGGTTTGCCATCGCCGAGTAAAGATTCGTGGTCACGATGGTAGCGTTCATCCATTCGCGATTCAGCATCCAGCCGCCAGGCACTGTCGGCGTGAAGAACGAATCTTACAGTTGTTTAGACATTTTAACGGGAGCCTAAGTAAGCGCAAAGAAAGCCGGCGCCGCAATCTCAACTTCACCCTGCCGCTAATGATTCCTCTTGCCCCACATATTCGTATGGTGCAAGATGACCCAACCTATGTCTCGTTACAAGGTGTCTATGAAGATCACTGCAGGAAGAGTGGGATGTCGAAGGACGATCCCATCCTATTTACAATGGACAAGATGAGGGCATTTGCCGAGGGAAAGGCAAGTCACATTAATGCTGAGCCTATAGATGAAGCTAACATATTCCAGAAAAATATCGATCAGTCAATCACCGCCAAACTCGAAACTTACGGTGCCATCCAGGATAAATGGGTCCCCCACAACCTGGCTCTTGAATACTTTACGAAGGTGTACCCGTCATATTCCGAGTTCTGGCTCTTCCGCCGTCAATTCTCCTATCAATTCGCGGCCCTCACCTTCATGACCTACATCTTACACATGCACAACCGCTACCCGCAAAAGCTCAACATCTCCCGCGGTACCGGCAACGTCTGGGGTTCAGAACTTATGTCCTGCATGGCAGCCGGAAAGGCCTTCTTCCATAACCCCGAGCCTGTTCCTTTCCGCCTGACGCCCAACCTACAGACACTCATGGGTCCCTTAGCCACCGAAGGCATTTTCTCCTGCGCAATCATGGCTATTGCGCGCTGCCTGACGGAACCAGAATTTGAGCTCGAACAACAGCTTTCACTGTTCGTAAGAGACGAGATGATCTTTTGGTTCACGTCCGCGCACAGAAGCTCGGGCAGTATGGGTGAGGGGCAGCTTAGGGAGACAGTCCAGACTAATAGTGAGTTGATTGTCAAGAGGACCCTAAGTATCGCGCAGAGTCCGGCGGGTGCACTGCCGGCGAATCAGACGGTCATTGATTTGATTGCAAAGGCGGTTAACCCGATGAATTTGGCGCAGTGTGAGGCGCTTTTCATGCCCTATCTATGATTGAGTGGGTTGGAGATGATTAGAGATGATTAGCTTGGAAATGTTTTATAGAGGTGCGGGGGCATGTATGTATTCATATGGAACGGCGTTTGGTACAATCTGCTTTACATCAAAAGGTGGCGGGTTAGCGTGGCGTTGGGTTTGGTCAGAGGGCAGAAAGGACTGCTGGGGTGCACTAGGATTGAACGAATTTTATTGTATTTAGTATTGATAATGCAGCTCTTCCAATCACTCCAAGTCTATGCTGTGATGAATCTAAATTCCGGTACCTTGTTTCCAACCTCCACGATGCAAATGTTGATGTATGCACGCTCACAAGCAGCTCTCAATTCCTACACGGAAATTGCAGATTCTGCCAAAGTCATGGCCCTGGTTCTGGCCTTCACCCTTCCAACAATAACCGAATTAACAACATGCCCATACGGGTGCACCACGACACAAATATCCAGCACGGAGAGGATGCCCTCGGTCGTGCAGTCGAAGTCCGGATACAGCAAGCTCCTCAGCCCCCAACTTGTCCTGATAACGAGCAGGGCGCCTTCCTTCATCTGCCCAACGACCTTTTGCACGAGGGTTTCTTTTTCGGGTTGTGAGGCCCCGACGAGAGCCGCTAGGTAGACGACTGAGAAGGCGTGGAGGGGTGGGGGGGTGGAGGCGCAGGAGAGGGAGAAGGACATTTGTTTGGCTGGGTGGGTAGGATTGATCAGTGGGAATTTGGGATTGGTATAAATGTGTGAGTGGATGGATGAATGGGTGGGTATGAGGAGGTGGGGTTTTATTGGGGTGGAATGGGGTGAACTAAAGTCCAGAGCTGGGGATATGAGCGAGGTAGAAAGAATGAAACATACCCATTTTTCCAAGCTTCATACACAACCACTCAGATTGTCTCAGCGCAGACGCGTTGTTGTCGATATTGAGAATTGACACTTCGGGTCGTTCTGGCGCCGTGGGATTCAGCCAAGACGGAAGGTAAGAAAGCAATGATTGGATCAAGGTCTTAGGGGAATTTTCGTTGAGTGACGATAGGAGACATAGCGAAGTCAATGGCAAGGGACCGCTCCCAACGAAGGCAATCTGTCGCGGTGGGGTCGGATCTACTGTTTGGAGAGCCGCTAGTTCCAGGCGTGTAAGATCGATGTAGTTGGAGTAGTAGGGGAAAGTAGCAAGAAGCTTATGGGCTGGAAATGTTGTTATTGTCCTGTTTATTATGTGTGCGAGGGGAAGTGGGAGACTGGAAAGGTGAATTCTTACCTTCCTGCGTGTTGGCGCCTTTGGAGATGATATCCGCCCACTGAAACTCGAGGTAGCATTCCGCTTCTGCGCAGAGAGCCCTCAAACCCGGGAGTATCTCTTTTATCTTCGCCTTTTCTAGGATCTAGTTTAAGTTAGTCACATTCTCTTATATCTTATATGATACGGGAAAATGACTTGCCGCTTCGGTAACATTCTTGCTCATAGTTTGGGTACATAACCCCACGAGCTCGTTGAATATTGCATTGATAGAAGTACACGGTCGTAAATCCGGTTGCTTGCAAAGGCTGCGGTACAAGGAGAGGACTTGCTCGACGTGTGATTGTGCTTCTAGGGATGAAGTATCATCTGCTAGGGTGACGGAGACACTTTTTGCATCGGTGTCGGTCGCTTCAGAACACATCGTGAGAGAGTTACTGAATGGTAGAGATCGCCTTGATACGTGTTACGAATGTGGAATTGTGATATGATGGAGGCTAGGACTTATTGATGGTAGTATAAAAGGGCCAGCGGAAGGCAAATGCGAAGAGTCAGGGTTGATTGAACTTGGTTGTTTCCCTGGGTGAATAAAAGTTCAAAGCATTTGCTCGTTAGGCTGCAATTGTGAATGATGCTGTATGAAGAGTAGCCAGGAGACTTCAAGGGAACCCAGTTAAGACTTTTCTTGGGTTTCCTTTTGTTCAAAGTAGGAAACTTCAGCTTACATAGTAGATGGATGGAGAAACTGGAGAAACTGCCAGCCCACTTGGACAACGAGCAGGTCTACCTGCATATGCAACTGCAGGGAAAAGTTTAAGACAACAAACAGCTATCAAACTGAGTGGGGGGATTCAATCATGGAAGGTTCATCTTCTTCATAAAGCTCTTGTATTCAACAAGCAACTGTTGAGTAACATCAGGATCCAAGACATGGGAAGGTTGGGACAGCAACAATCAAAATCCCAGGGCGAAACTCTTAGAAATGCTTCTGTCATTAGAAAGATTGTGGTTGTTTCTCCCTTTTCCGTTTCGGCCGTTCTTGCAGCAAACTACCCATCAAGGTGCTACTCAAAGTTTACCTGAGGAGCCAGCAGATCTGGGTACACCAATGGTGCCTCACAGTTCAGCGCTATGTAGATCTATGTATGTATTAGTCTCAATCCCACTATCTTCTATAACCTGCCCCTCACTTGCTTGCTGATGTGACAAAAGAAGTACTGTATGCTCACGTGATGGCAGCTCGAGCTTGAAGTGGGAAAGATTTGTCCACCTTTTTTTTTAGTTGCTTTGAGGTTTGTGCTTGTTGGGGAATATCTTCCGGCAAGAGTCGACCCTCTGAGACATTACAGCACTTTGACTGAGGGTTACTTTGCTGGCTGATTCCGCCTTCTGCTTCATTGAGGCTTCCTCAGGTAGTTGTCTAGCCTCGACTCCCTGGCTATCATTAGCCACACCGAAAGGCTCAGGGTTACTCGGCAAGAGACGGCTGGTAGAGATGTGGGGTGTAACTCATATATAGAGTCAAGCCGCGATGGAGATCAACTCTTCAACTACTTGCAGAGCTGGCCGAGAACGGGTTTCTTGAACTTTCTTCTGTAGGTAGATGAGTTTCAACCAACGTCCTGATACTTCGGACTGATGCTTTGCATTAAATTAGTGCTTTGTATGCTAATTGTAGTTTCCGTAGAGTTGTGTACCATGGCGCTTCTTTTTGTGAGAGAATGGTCTGCGTTGTGGAGTCGAGGGAGTTTGGTGTGGCTGCAGAGAGAAGAGAGAATGTGGCGGGGACGGCGACATTTTGCAACCCCACACCGCCTTGGATACTTCGACCCGACCCGACCCCTCCCCTCAATTTTTCCAGATCTTTCAATCTCATTAAAAGCTCAACTTGAATCAATATGAGTAAAGCGAAGTCAAAAAGAAAGGCCCAGGAGTCGCAGAATGATTCCAATCCCAAAAAGCTGAAGAGCGCAACAGTTGTCACTCCTCCGCCAGAGACTGCAGCCCATGAACCTAAGACTATTCAGGCTATTGGCATCACCGACGACGACATAGAACTGGCCATTGATACTCTCCACACCTTGGCGGAGAACCCAATTGTCATCAAATCGAAAGCATGCAGAGAGCTGAGGACAGCTGTGTATGAGTTCCGCCAGGCTTGCACCACGGGCTTCAATGCTGCTGGTTTGCCCCCCTCCAGCACAAATCGAGGAACCATCCACTAACAATTGGTGAAGTGGACACAAATCTCACGGCACGTATTAGCGGAGCTCTCGCAGATGGAGGATATACAGAGGCTCGTATTTTGCTTGCGGAGATGCGGATTAGGGGAAAGGCACCGAAGTTGGGAGCGCTGTGTCGATGGGTGCGAGATCTCGATGTCGTCAGTGGACTGGCAGAACAGCTCAAGGGAGGGCATAAGAGGTCACCGACAGAGGAGGAGTTGTTGATAGTGCTTGATGCCATCTTACGACTGACTGGCCCGACCGACTACACATCAGAGGGGACTATGTCAGCAGGACCCATTGTGCCGAGAAGTTTATGGGATCTGAGGAGTGCGTCTACATCTAGCAAGGAGACTTATGCCTCTGTTCGAGACGGCAGCATTTTCTCTTCGTTGCCGGCAGACATAAAGTCGGAATTCCGGATAATCGAAGAGACACCGGGTCTGCTGCGGAGACCTGCGAATTTACACCCTGCAATACTTCATGCCTCCAACGACGACGCTATACCACTCTCTACAACCCCACCTAAATCGAGCCATCACAAACACCCTATAGTTCCGAATTTACATCTGTTGAAGGATATATTGTCACCCGAAGAGTGCACGAAGATCATTGCTGCGGCAGAAACGATTGGCTTCACGCCAGATGCCCCAATACGTGCAGAAGGCGAAGAGAGCAGTATTCTAGCCCACAATTTCTACTGGATTGTCGACAATGCATTCTGTGCGAAGTTGTGGGGTAGAGTCCAGTCTTTCGTGCCCAAAGATGTTGGTGGGAAGAAAGTAAGAGGGTTGAATCGCAGATTCAGGGTATACAGATATGTCCCTGGCGCTGAATACCGAGCCCATATTGGTAAGTTCCCAGTCAAACATGTTTGTCTTTACACAAGCTAACCAGTCTAGATGGTGCTTGGCCACCTTCCGGCATTGATTCCAACGACAAGTACATATACGACTCGTCCCCGCCTACGGCGAAGCAATCTTCGCTCTTCACATTCCTCATCTACCTGAACGATGAATTCGAAGCTGGGGAAACAACTTTCTTCCTGCCAAGCGCGAGAGAAGGCTCCATGAATGCATATCCCGTCAAGCCTATTCAAGGTAGCGTGGCAATGTTTCCACATGGAGAGACTGAGGGCAGTCTATTACACGAAGGGACTGGCGTTCGAAAGGGAGCTGCACCTTCGGCCAAGTATGTCATACGTACGGATGTTGTGTACGATGTCGATCCTTAGCAATGGAAGACTTGAAGCCAAGATTTACAGTAAAGATTGATGTCCAGCTCTTTCTACTCCATGACCAAGGTAGGCCAATATGACGCAACAATGTGTCAATGCCCTCAACCACCCACGGACGACTACCTTATCCATTTATCGTGATCCCCATCAATACCTACATTTATATACCTGCTTATGGAGAACTCGCCATGCATAGTATACATCACCGCCTCGCCGTGTTTGTCTACTAAACTACCTAAGGCACTAGGTACCTCTAATCATGCTATTTGTGGCGTGACCAGCAGCATAGGACTATATATTGGTAGTGCCAACATCGTAACGGACTATCGGTCTCCGAAGAGAAAAATTGCTTACTTGTGGGTCAATTGGCTTTAACTAATCATCTAAACATATGTTTATACATTACATGATTATGCGGTGTGCGATTTGCGACTAGCATCCAGCAAATGCGGCACGATGGACGGTGTGCAGCGAGCGCGAGAGAGAGTACGCAAGGAGGGGGACAGAATAGCAGAGAGTTTCTGTGCAATATGAGAGGATCCAGCAGGAGAAAAATTTAAGATAAATGTGGAATATTGGAAAGACCGTGTCCCGACGGACTTGAATGTGCTATGACACAAAGTGGGTGCACTGCTGCTGAGTTTGACAAGTGGGAGAAGCTGAGCTACAAGAAGGCGAGGAAGGGGGAATATGAGAATTTCTCAAAAGAGAAGACGGAAAGATTGGCGAGGCGGCGTGACATGAATGGTTTGCGGAAGGAGGTAGCAGGTAGGTAGAGATGAGATGGATATCTATTCCTTGTACTACATCGAATCATGTATCATAATCCTCACTTTCTAACTATTTCCCCTTCCCCTTCCCCTTCCCCTTCTTCCCCCTTCATCTCAACCAGTTTCCTCCCAAACGCCCTCCCAGCCTCCCCATGACTCTCCTGCTCCGTCTTCACCACAAAAGGCATCATAAGCCTATAACCAATCAACCTCGCCTCCTCAATCAATACCAAACCTCCACCCTCACCTTGCCCCTCCCTCACAACCCGGAACCGATTAACACCATGCAGCCCCAACGGCGCCTGGAACACAATAATCAAGCCATCCTCCGTATCCACAAACGCAGACGTCGTCACAACGGTGTTAGTAAACGGACCCATCGGCACAGCGACCGACACCTCGCGGTACTCGACGCTCGCGTTCCCGTTCGCCTGCGCGAGGGACTGGGCTTCGGCTACGAGCCATGAGGTTGCGGGGGTAGCAGGGATGGGGATGATGGTGTTTTTTACGAGGAGGGGCTGTAGGCTTTGGAAGGCGGGGTGGTTGTGCAGGAGGGCGAGCGCGGATGCGGCGTCTACGGATGGGGGGAGGGGGGTGTTGGTGGTGGATGTGTGGGTTGAGTTTATGGCTGGGTGGATGGTGTTTGTTAGTTTGAATGGTAGGTGTGTAGGTATAGGGAGGGTTTTACAAGGCATGTAGTCCATGGGTATGTGTATGTAGGTAGTGGGGGGAGAAAGGGCGTTTCGATTGGTCGAATAACCTTGTTTATTGGAGCGGTTTTTACGGAGTATACGCTTTGGTTTAGTGGAGTCTAAGTGAGATGTTGGATGGATGCCTGTTGCGTTTAGCTGGCTTTTTTTCAGTCAAAGTACTATTATATATGGCTGGATTCCTGCTCAGCTGCGAATGTACATTAGTGGCACAGCACCTGTGGTATCTTGCTTTCTTGATGTCACTTATTTGATCACGTGCCTTTCCCGCGTGCTTTACTTATAAGCTTAGTTAGCGTTGCTCTTAAAGGAAACGACGCGATGCTCAATTCTAGAAGATTATGCATTTTTACTCTTTTAAATCACATCGAGGTGCTTACTAGGCAGGATCGTTGTAAAGATTTCCTTTTTTTAAACATGTCAATTTGCTTTCTGACTATACTTTTCTTGTTATGACTAGATATATGTTTAGAGCCTAGCTTCGTTTATGCGATTTCAACTTGATGGTAAATTCGTCACATTCTCCTATCTTCAAGTGTATTTATTCCCCCAAGAGCGCTTAAGAGCTTGTCTAAGTTGCGTTGCCTTTAGAGGATGCCAAACAAGTAATTGCCTTTTTATATGATATGTGCATTTCAATATTGTATTACTCATTGCCTGCATCCTTCACCGTTAATATAGAGTATTAATTTGTCTTTTTTATTATCCATCTCATATTTTCAGGAGCGTGATCTGGGCTAGTTGCATTCTCATATGCAGGTTTTGACGTAAAATAGTTGGAACAGTCAAGTCATCCAGGTACTAAACATCCTCTGACTTGAAACCCCTGCAATAGCCACCAGCCTCAAAGCCTTATCGTTGTAAGACACTTGAGGTCATGTGAATACCCGCACGTGATTCAGCCTTTGTTGCTGAGTCTAGACCTATCTCGCTGCAATTGCTTCATCTAAATGCGTGCATAGATATGCCTTTAATTTATAGATAATAGGACGACGGTTGAATTGGAGTTGCTCTCTCGTTCGGATGGGATATCCCAATTGGTTGACCAGCTTACCTTGGCCGTAAGACTCGGAACGTGACCGAGTCAAGCTGCAAACGGGAGGCAAAAAGGCCATTCTGCATGTACCTGACTCCGTGGCCCGGCTCTGACTGCAGGAGAGAACGTTAAAATAAAGGGGGTGCATCAGAGACATGGAATCGGGGATGGGGATGGTGCCACTCTTGACCGTGATGGTGTGCAGTGTGAGTGTGATGTGCTTGGCGTGTATTCGAGCTACGGGTAGTAGATAGATCAAGAGCTGGTGATCGAAGTGAAATGAAGTGGGGTAGAGTGATAGACAAAGAGAGACGCTAAGTTACAAATGATCAAGTCCAGATATATATATATATATATTATAACAAAGAAATGTGTATAGTATTGATGAGACGAGTTAAGGGTGATCTGGGTACGTACTGTATACCTAGGTTGAGGCAAACGTAGTGACTAATATGGTATCTGGTGGTATGGATATAATGCATCCATCCTGTCAATGCTTCTTTCTATTCCTGCTCACGCCGTAATCGGACAGTGAAATTCGTAAAGTGTGCCTTTGCTACAGTCTTATAGGCAGCTGCTAGAGTAAACAGTGAGAAACGATTCATTGCTGTTCTGTTATCTCTCATCACAATGCAGTGACGGTTGCTAGCTTTATCGCGCCATCTCAGGTTCACTACGTGTACGGTGGCCGGGTTTGGCCGTTGAAAAAGCGGCACCAAGTCTTGAATGGGGCAAGCGGAGTGAGCATAACGGAAAGATGCCATAATGAGTGCCGCCTTTAGGATGCATCACAAATGGATCGGATCGTGACTCTATCGGAGGTAATCAGTCAATGTGACTGCCACTGCCACTGCCTCCGCCTTCTGCTGCTTCTCTACTTCACTTCTACTTCACTACCACTTCCTCCCACATACACATATTCACCCCTATTATCCACGCATGTAGTACTGCTCCATTCCATCCGCAGTCGTGTCATATCAGATATATTATCATTCTTGCTTGCCCGTCGAGTCATTAACTTGAACTCGGTATAGCTGCCCTCACCCCCATTCGTTACTCGAGACCCTGCAACCTGTGCAGCCTCGTCTCTGCACCCTGCACTCACCTTCACCTTGTTGACTGCCATCCCATCCCAACCCAATAACTGCCCCCTTCCCTACAAGATCCCCGCAAGTACTCACGACAACGCATCTCCAGCCGCCTCCCCGGGAAGCCTACCTACAGCAAAGCCAGCCGAAGAGCTACCTCAAACCACAGACCACAGCAGCCACCAGTCCAGGCACCTTCTTCCGACCAACTACCGCTTTGGTCTATCTTGAGGCATTCTTTTGCGCAAGACCAACAGCGTTGCCTGACCACTCAGCTCAAGCTACTCGCTCGCTTCCTCTGCCTACCATCATCTGAGCAGATTGTACATCCGTCTCCGCCTTCTAGTACCACGAACAAGCCCTGTGCTACTTTGCAACCCTATCCGCCATTCATCCTCAAAGCTTTCTGTGTACATGCAGAACGAAATCACATCGAGTCTCTACCCCCATCTCTCCCGGTAGTACTCGAAGTCATCTTCAGGATCACATCGAGGATTCTGCCAACAGGAGCCCCGAATCACAACCATGGCGGCCCAACCGCCCCCGTCTTCGTCATCTAGACGGACGAGGACGGGTGATAAATCTGTTGGTTCCTTCACAATAGAAGACGAGATAGGCAAGGGTAGCTTTGCTACGGTCTACAGAGGCACTCACAAGGTCAGTATGCTGATGGAGCTCCTATGAGCTTCGGGTTCATCTTCAATGGACCAATTCTATCATCATTGGTATACTCCTGCTAATCCCCATCTCTACAGGCTACCGGAGCTCTCGTTGCCATCAAGTCAGTCAACCTAGCGAAGCTCAACAAGAAGCTCAAGGAGAACCTCTACTGCGAAATCGAGATCCTCAAAGGCCTCCACCATCCCCACATCGTTGCCCTGATCGATTGCCGAGAGTCAGCGTCCCATATACATTTGGTGATGGAGTATTGCGAGCTTGGTGACCTGTCGTATTTCATCAAAAAGAGGGATAAATTGGCAGACAACCCAGCACTTAGAGACATGGTTAGAAGATACCCCATGCCACCAGCTGGAGGGTTGAACGAGGTCATAGTCCGGCATTTTCTCAAACAACTTGCCAGTGCGATGGAATTTTTGAGAGACCGGAATTTCATCCATCGAGACGTTAAGCCACAGAACCTACTTATATTGCCATCGCCCCAATATATGGAAAGCGCCAAGGATCCACCTCTAGTAATGAGTGCAAGTGAGAAGACCCTGGTCCCCATTGTTGGTCTTACCTCCTTGCCAATGCTCAAGATTGCGGATTTTGGATTTGCTCGTTCACTTCCTTCGACCTCTCTTGCTGAAACGTTGTGTGGCTCGCCTCTGTACATGGCCCCAGAGATACTACGATATGAGAAATATGACGCCAAAGCAGATCTCTGGTCAGTAGGCACAGTATTATATGAAATGGCATTTGGGAGACCACCGTTCCGTGCATCGAATCACGTTGAGCTTCTTCGCAAAATCGAGCAAGGGGAGGATAAGATCAAATTCCCCAAGGAAGCAGTTGTAACCTCGGGAATGAAAGAGTTGATAATGTCATTGTTGAAGCGACAACCCGTAGAGCGAATCCCCTTTGAAGACTTTTTCAACCACCGTGTTGTTGTCGAACCTATTCCTGGCTTAGTTGGGGACGATCGACCAAGTGAGATCCGGCAATCGACTAGGTCAGAAGTAGCGTCGATAGCACGTACCTCATCGACAAGAAGCAACCGTAAGCCTGCAGTGAGGAGCGAACCTGTTCAGTCTTCATCCCCTAGGGAACGACCTATGCCACCATCGCCTAAAAATCAAATTGCAGAACCAGTCCGACAGCTAGCAGGAACTCCTCCGCGTGTCAGTGCTCAGGCTCAATCAGGCTCTCGGGAACAAAGGCGCCCAGCCATTGCTGCTGCTGCAACAGCTCCAAATGCGGAGACTCTTCAGGGTAGCCGGCCTCCTTCACACGCCTTCAATCCTACATCGAGGGATCAGCGATCAACTGCATCAAGACAGTCGTCACACGATGAAGGTCCCAAAGGAGAACGATTAGGGGGTAACCCTCAAAGCCGAGACGCAATCGCCGAAGCTGAGCAGGCGGTGCGTGATGCACGTGAGTATGTTTTGGTCGAGAGGCGGGCTGTGGAGGTCAATGCTTTTGCGGATGAAATGGCGGCAAGTCCTAACTTGCAGAGCCGTAGAGCTTCCGTCTCTTCCCGACCTGGGGCTGGCCATGTGACGAGAAGAGCTACAACACAAGGCGTTCCTATTTCGTCGACGGGGGCGGTTCCAGCGTCGCCTTCGAGGGCAGTTCAGATTGCGCAGGGGAAGCCACGCCCAGAGGTAGTACCCCAGCAACAGAATTCATTTGGGAGGTCATATGGGAGCCCTTCAACAACTTCAGCAATTGCAAAGGCCATCAGTGGCGCCAGTCTAAGGATGTTTGGCGTAGCATGGACCCCTCCGTTGAGCGGCAAAGGAGTCTCACCACCTCAATTGTATAGCCCATTTCCAGCTTACCCAACCTCACATGGCACTGTTGGCCTAATTGGAGACGGCAAACCCATTGGCCCCATCGATGAGGACCAGAAGATTGTTAATATAGTCGAGGAAGCCGCCACGAGAAGCGATGTTGTGTATGGCTTTGCGGAAGTCAAATATAAGCAACTGATCCCACTAGCACCTTCTATGGATCACGGACTCGGAGGCGCTTTGCCTGACAAACCTACTGATTTTGTTGATGAGGACGATGGCCTCACAGTTGAAGCTATAGTAGCTCTTTCTGAAGAAGCTCTCGTATTATACGTCAAAGCTCTCTCACTTCTTGCGAAATCCATGGACATAGCTGGTGCATGGTGGGCACGGAAATATCGAGGCGAAGTGCTCATTTCCGGTCAGACCATGAGATCCGACAGCGCCCCTGGAGCCCGCATCAACGGCGCCGTACAATGGGTTCGAAATCGCTTCAACGAAGTATTAGAGAAGGCAGAGTTCGTTAGGTTAAAGCTTATCGAGGCACAGAAGCAGTTACCAGAAGACCATCCTGGACATCCCAGTAATCACACCAGTGCCTCGCGCCTCGCCGGTGCTTCGTCAACAGATGGTGTTGTTTTGAGTACCGGTGTATCGGCGGAGAAGCTAATGTATGACCGTGCGTTGGAGATGAGCCGCTCTGCCGCAATCAACGAAATCGCCAATGAGGATCTTCCCGGCTGCGAGATCTCTTACATTACCGCGATTAGGATGTTAGAGGCTGTCCTGGAGACGGATGAAGATACAAGTCCACCGCAGCGGAAGAGGAGTTCGAGTCTGATGGGTCAGGAGAGTGTGGCTGGTAACAGCAACGGCTTTTTCAAGGTGGAAGATGTAGCTTCTGTACATAAAGGTAAGCTTTGCCCATAGTCCACTTCAACACACCCCCTCAATTACTGGCTTTTACTGACACAGATTAGTCACAAGCATGATCCGCACCCGCCTTGTAACCCTCCGCCGCAAAATGGCACTGATAGCCAAACACCAATCTTTGCCCCCCTCTTCTCCCCGCAGCGGTGGCACTACCCCCACGATAGCGAATACCCCACCTAAATGATTTATGTTTACGAAATCACTGATCCAGCGTGGGCGAGCGAGCTGGAATCGGCGCATTTTCCATCAAACGGCGTTCGGTCTTCATCAAATTTGCCAATTGACGTTCTTGTTTTTGTGTTTTAGATTTGGACCTCCCTTATTTTTGTTTTTTGACTTGGGAGTTAATGTTTTGTGAGTGTTGCAATGGATGGATGGCGTTTTGGGGTTGAATTCATAGGAGGGAAGAGGCTCGGAAGTTTCACAGCATCAATGGGATGGCGCTGGTGAATTATAGGCGCGATTCGATCATTTGTGTATACCCCCTGCATGGACTTGGGCTTTGATTTAGGCCTGGGAATGACAGCACGGCACGGCCGGCGGATTTGAGTTGGATGAGTTGCTTGTGTCGGCATATAGGTACGGTGGAATACCGATTGAATAGGTTAAAGGATGGGGTATCTTTGGCGGGCACAGACAGAAAGTTGTATTTATTATACTTACATGCCAGTATAGGAAGAATGCAAAGCCCTGATATGGAACTCAGTTGGACTTTGAAGTAAGGCCTGGCCCTCTTTAGCAACCATAAACTGGTCTAAACTAAAGCAATAGACACACCACTGTGTTTTTCTATGAGTTATATTTATTATAGTCACTACCAAATTTGATAATGGAAGGCGCATACAGCGTCATGTACGGTACTAACCACGAAGGTACCTAGGTACACATATTAGCGGGCGATCTAGACTTTAACCCTGCGCCACGACCCCACACTATCTTGATCCAGACACTTTTCCGGCGATCGCATCACCATTTATACTTTTCTACCTCGTTGATCAACCATTCTAGTCCTGTTTCCTGACTCTCTCTTCTCTGTATTCTCTATCTTCTCTCTCTTCCCTCTCTGTTTTTCTTTCTCTTCTCTCGCTCTGTTACTTGCTTGCACAAAGTCAACGAACACCACGACGCCGCCTTTTATCAGTCACGTTGCTGGGAGACGAATTCATTCTTGACATCCATCACATTGCATTACCACAACGTAAATCGCCTATGAGATCATTACACGAGAGGACAGGCCCACAGTACAGCACAGCATTGCGCCAACTCAAAGATTCATTCTTCGTATTCTTACCATTCTACCATCCTACCTTGGCCTACCTTATCTACCTACCTACCTATCTATAGGTACATACCTACCTACATACCTAGGTGAGTGAGCGGCCAAAGGTGTACATACAGTGCGCGACAAAGCCTTGCGATTGAGAACGATGGCAAGGAGAGTCTCTTTTTGGATAAGCAGGCACGTGAACAACGGACATGGACAACCATCACAGCTCCAAGGTCGAGGTCGAGGCTGCGCGTGCTCGTCGTAACAACCTATCGAGGAAAATATTCGACTGGATCTCAAAACCTCATCCGCAAGACATCACCCCGTTCCAGAAGTCCATCCTCGGTGTCGATTGGGACAAGTCACCACTTGGTCCTATCTCAACGTGGCCTATCCAGCTGAAGCAAATGGTCTTATTGGTTGTTCAGGACCACGCCCCAGCGTTGATTTTTTGGGGAGATGAGAATACTGTTATTTACAATGAATATTTTGCGCCGCTCATAGGCAACAAGCACCCGGCGCTTCAAGGTCAGGATCCGTATGTCGGAATGCCCGAGATTTGGGACCGTTTCGACGGGTTATTGGTTACCCAGCGTGAAACTGGGGAGGCCCTTTTTGAAAGAAACGATTGTTTAATGCTCTACAGACATGGTTTCCTCGAAGAAACATATTTTAACTGGAAGTCAATCCCCGTCATAGGCCCAGAAGGTTGGGTGGTCGGGATCTATGCTACAGGTAAGTCACCCTCTCGGCGTGATATATTTTATTTCGGATATTTCCAGAGTGGTTTACTCTCTAGACATGTCGTGAAAGTCAACTGCTTCTGAAAAGTGTCTCTATTTCATTGCGACAGTATTTCAACTCCCAAGATCTACTATGCAATGCTGACTGATATCCTAACGTCCAGTCGTCGAAGTGACGAGAGAAGTGTTATCAGATCGAAGGAAGTCTACCGTCAGGTTACTCAGTCGGGAGCTGTCTGAAGCAAGCTCAATCCAGGAAATGTGGAAGGGCCTAATAACAGGAATTCAGAGTGCAGTTATAGATATTCCCTTTGCGCTGCTTTATTCCTGTGCTCCAAGGAAGGGAAGCGGCGAATCAAAGTCTCCCCAATCTATTCTCGCTAGCGAAATACAATGCTCTCTTGAAGGCTGCGTAGGGATCGCGTCGGGGCATGCTTTAGCTCCAGAGACCATCGAGTTGGATCACGAGGATCAATCTGAGCTTGGTCCATGGGTGCGCAAAGCCTTGGAGGAAAGAGCGCCAACTCTGATCCCTATACCAGACACAATGCAACCCATAGAATGGCGTGGCTATGGTCGTCCTACTCAGGGCGTGATCTGTCCAATCATCCCCGCCAATACAGAGAGTGCTCTTGCATTTTTGATTCTTGCGTTGAACCCGCGGAGACCGTTTGATGAGGATTATCAGAATTTTATTCATCTACTCACTCAACAAATTACGATGCCGCAACTTTCAGCCATGATTCTCCGCGAAGAAGTCGAGAGGAGACGAAATTTAGCTAGGCAAGAAGCTTTAGATCGAGAAAGGCTACACAAAGAGCTTTCGGATAGTGAAACAAAGTTCGCCAGATTCGCAAGTCGAGCCCCTATTGGGCTGGCAATCCAAGATACTAATGGCAAAGTACTATCTGCTAATGATATTTGGACGAACTTGACAATGCTAGGCATCGGAAGTGAACAGGGGGCCTGGGAAACGGTGCTTGCAGATGGAGAATCGGAGCTATTATCAGGCGTTTGGGCGCAGATGATCCACGACAAGCAACCCACCACCATACAAACCAGAATGATCACACAATGGACCGCACCTGACCTTGACCTAGATGGCAATCCTCAAGAGGGGTTTACTCATATCCTGGTGGCGTTGTACCCCGACCAGGATGAACGTGGCGAGGTGTCGACGGTGATGTCTTGTATCACTGACATAAGCGGGTTGAAGTGGTCGGAGAATCAATTGAGAAAGAGAATGGATCAGGCAATTGAGATGAAAACCCAGCAGGAACGCTTCGTTGATATGACCTCGTGGGTTCACTCTTTTATCGGCTCGACGGGCTCAACTGATCACACATCAATCTAGGCACGAAATGCGCAATCCGCTCTCAGCGCTCATTGGTTGCGCTGATGAAATTACCACTTCACTCAAAAAATATACCTCCGATCTCAAGAAGCCCTCGTCGATCGAAAATAGTTCTGCAAATTCAAATATGGGGTTCCAAAAACCACTTCATCTGCTGGATGACGCCATGGAAGCTGCCGAAATCATTATTTACTGCGCTATGCACCAAAAACGTATTATAGATGACATCTTAACTCTGTCTCGACTTGACTCCAAGCTCCTCTTGGTATCTCCAGAGCCGTCGCAGCCGATCCAGCTTGTCCGAGGCGCTTTGAAAATGTTCCAAGCCGAAGTGAAGCGAGCAGATGTAAGACTCGACTTCGTTGAACAGAAAACACTTCAACTCCTTGACATTAACTGGACATTGCTCGATCCAAGTCGAGTCCTTCAGGTTTTCATAAACTTGATGACCAATGCGATAAAATTCACGCGAATAGAAGCACAGCGGCACATCAAAATCACCATCGGAGCTTCTTGTATTAAGCCATCAGTGCCAAACGAATTTGGAGTCGAATACATTCGCAAGAATACTGACAGTCAAGATCAAACTGGAAATCCTGAGTGGGGTGATGGTGAAGTCATCTACTTCACAATCGCGGTTACAGACACCGGCCGTGGTCTCACCATCGAGGAAAAGAAGCGCCTCTTCAGCTTGTTTCAACAAGCTAGTCCGAAAACCCACGTTCAATACGGTGGCTCAGGATTGGGCCTCTTCATCTCCCAGCAACTTGCTGAGATGCATGGCGGTGAGATTGGTGTTGCCTCGGAAAGAGGAAAAGGGTCTACATTTCAGTTCTATATCAAGACACGTCGAACGACCCCACCTCTGACAGGGTTGCCTGAACGATCCGATGTGCAACTTCATGTGCGAGAAGACGAGCTAAGGGAAGCTTGCGGAGTAAAGTTGCCTGCGTTACTTGATGAGCCGCAATTGTCAAACTTGAAGATAGATGTCTCCCTCAGCCCCGTCCCCCAAGCATCCCACCCACCAAGCAGCTTTCATGTTCTTGTCGTAGAGGATAACTTGGTAAACCAAAAGGTGGTCTCAAAACAACTTCGAAAGGCGGGCCACATAGTCGATGTCGCGAACCACGGAGAAGAGGCACTGGATTTTATTCGCCAAACAGAATATTGGGAAGGCTCGACTGGAGAAAATGGGCGACTGCATGTCATTCTCATGGACCTCGAAATGCCGGTAATGGATGGATTGAGTTGCGTGAAGAGGATTAGGGAGCATCAGGCACAGGGAATGATAAATCACCACATCCCTGTACTTGCTGTGACGGCTAATGCGAGGAAAGATCAGATCATGGCCTCGATGGAGGCTGGAATGGTGAATTCGCCCAGCTCCCGAATGGAGTTGTATGCTGCTAACATTTATATAGGACGATGTGATGACGAAACCATATAGGATGCAAGACATGCTGAAGCAAATAGGATCACTTGTTGCAAAACAGGATCGGCTTGATTTGGCCGGAAAGTAATGAGGTATAATGTTTATATATATGTATATATGCCCATGACTCCGCGAAACTCAGCCGCCAACTCAATGATCAACAAAGCACACTGTGCATAATATGAGGTCGTTGGCTCAGAGAGAGGACGCCCAAGTGAGTAAATGGTATTTAAAAGGGCTAGAGAGGTGTGTGCAGCATTAGATTATGGTTTGAAGTTGCTTTCGTTCCCTGATTCGGTATGTCATTTCTGCACGTACTTATCTTGTGCTTACACTTGGTACAAACCCAGGAATATTAATTTTTCCTAGTTCTATACAGCCAACCCGGGCTCTCATTTAACGGCTGAGGCCTTTCTCAACGGCCATGATCTGCAAAGCCACAAACCTCGAGTAAGTTCTGCAAAGCGCAAGACTACCTCCCATAAACCAGAAGTTTGGGTGTCCACTCGGCCTCCACATCTGCAGATTCCTGTTAGAAAGTGCATGGTGTTTAAGATTGTCAAATTGAACAACTTACTGTATTGACTTCTCCTTCTTCATCCAGATCCCACACATCCTTGCACCGGTTTGCAATCTCATCCCCGAAAACCTTCCTCGCGCTCGTCCGCATGTTGTCATAACCCGTCGCCAAAACAACAATATCAGCCTCCAGCTTCGTCCCATCCGCCAACACGAGTGCGTTTGGCTCGAAATGAGAGATGCCGTCAGGGCTTTGCTGAACCTTGATTTTACCGTCGATGATAAGTTGACTGGCACCGATATCGATATAATACCCACCTCCGCGCGTGATGTACTTTCGATAGATACCACTCTTATCATCGCCAAAGTCCAGCTTGAAGCCGGCCTTGACTAATCCATCCAGACTCTCTTTCTCTGCCTCCTTGATCTTTTCCGTCAACCCAACATTCAATGTGAATTGTGCTGGGATGGGAAGGGATTGCCCGGCGATGTCGGCATCCTCGATGGGGGGACCGGTCTCGTCGTACATTCCTTCGTGGAGCATGAATAGCCCCTTTGATGCGGATATCACGTATGTACCTGCTCGCTGCACCATGGTTACATCTGCGCCGGCCATCTGGTAATTCTGCGAGATGTCGTGGCCAGAGTTACCTGTTCCGACCACTACGACTTTCTTACCCTTCATATCACCTGCGAGCTTGGCATCCTGGTGGAAAGAGGCATGGTGTGCTAGGCCTTTGAAGGTATTCTGGCCGGGGAAAGAAGGAATTTTTGCCTCTCCTGCATGGCCGGTAGCGAACACGACGTGCTTGGGGTGCAAAGTACGGGTTGCGCCGTCGCCTCGGGTAACGGTGATGGTCCAGATCTTGGTCGTGTCATCGAAAGAGGCGGAGGAGATGGTGGTTTTGGTCCAGACATTAAGCTCCATGAGGGAGGCGTAGGATTCGAAGAAGTCGCCGAGCTTGTCCTTTGGAGTGAAGAGTGGCCAGTTGGAGGGAAAGGGCAGGAATGCCATATGGGTATATTGAACTGGGTCATGCGTTATCAAGGTCGATGGAATCAATTAGCTTTATGAAGCAGTGTGTACGGTGCTGGATGCTGGCTTACTCTATATCTGTTGCGCCAATTATCACCAACACGCTCATTCTTGTCAATCAGAAGAGAAGAAAGGCCCATGGCTTTAAGTCGAGCTCCGAGATTCAACCCAGATTGTCCTGTTTTCCATCAGTATACTTCTTCAAACCATGACAGAGCTTTCACTTACCAGCACCAACAACAAACACGTCTGGCTCGCTGTCCACAAACTCTTTTTCCTTGTCCCTCCTCTCCTGCCAGTTCCCCTGTTCCACATCATACTCTTTACTTCCATGCGGTCTCTTATCACCTTTCCCCTCCTCAAACCCCTTCAGCTCTTGCAGAGCAGTATACATCATATACCCCTTCCACACTCCATCGCTCCCCTGCACAAGTCTAATCATACCCGACCCGCGTCCCACCTTGGTCTCAAAATCAAACATCGACTCCAGCCATTCCAAACCGGCAATAGGCGACGAGATACTAGGCGCAAATTTCCCTGTCTCTCGGAGCTTCAAGTTGTATAGTCCGGTCTCAGCGAGATTTGAGGTAAAGTAATCCGAGATCTTGTCTAGGCCGTGGATCGTGCGTATGTCCCAGGAAAAGGTGAGCATGTCGCGCCACCAGGAGTCTGCGTGCATGACGCTGGGAAGGGCGCTGACATCGTTAGATGCAAGGATGGATTCGAGCTTGGTGATGTATTGCTGGGCGATTTGGAAGGGCAATTCTTTTTTCACTTGGATGATTGGCGGGGTGAGGGGCGCGGAAGGCAGTTGGATCGTGTGGCGTTCTGCGAACATCGCGAAGGATATAATAGGATGTGATATGATGGATGAAGAATGAGTAAGTGAGGTGAGGGAAGAGGATGGGTTATTGAGGTAAAAGGGCGGATGAGGAAGAGTTCAGACGGTCTCTTATATCCTAGAGATTGGATATAGAGCGTCCAGTACACCATCTCGATCTGATTATCAAGGCCACAACCTGAATCCGAACCCCTTTTCGGGATTTATTATTATCGCGAGAACCAGTTCGCGGGCGAGACATGGCCCGGCGAAACATGGCGGGGTACATACAGTACTAAATAAAGGGTGTGGGGGGTAGGTCATCTTGCAGGATGGATGTGGCGGGGGCGGGGCAAGTTTTGCGGGGAGGGGAGGTAGGTAACTTTCCCGCGTCGGGTGCCTGTCACCCTGAAGCTGACTCGGTTCTCGGCCCATCTTGAATAAAGCAGGTAGTTAATACTTATAAGCTAATCAGTAAGACGTAGGTTTAAACGCATACGGTGCTTATGTTTTGCGATTGCTGTACTTTATGCTTATACTTCCAATGCACTATAAAATTTACTAAACGGAGGTGAAGCCTTGAATCATTATAACTCTTAGCGTAGCTAATAATAAGCGGTAGCAGAATTAGAAATGCTGATCAAGTCCACATGACGCTAAGAAGTTCTATGCGAAGGAGCAGCTTGTAGATCTCTATCGCCGGTGTAAAGGGGATGATATTTTAGGGTTGCGTAAGGCACTATAGTATACTGTGTGGGAGGATTTTCCAGACTGGATGGGAGATTTTATACACCTCCTTCAAATCAATGACAACGCGTGGTCGAGGATGCAAGAGTGGTCAAAGCCATGTCGGACAGGACTGGTGGGATACTAGTCAATTTAAGTTGAGTATTTGAAGCACGACAAAATTTCATTTAAAGCACTAAAAATATTCCTTAGAAAAGGTATCTGTATGCGGCTTAATAAGCTTTTGCGAAAGCCGACATGATTTGCAAGGTTTGGGGACTAAATCTCGCACCAATTGATATGTGTTGTTTCTAGGGGTAATAACTTGAATTGACTGCTGTTCTACAGTGGGAAGTATGCTGTATATATAGGGCTCTTCAAGCCCTATTTCTAAGCTTTGCCACCTGCTTAGAAATAGCTATTTCTAAGCTTCGCCACAGGCTTTATAAGCTTTGCCACTTGCCACTTACAGGCTACAACAATATGACTATCTCCGATTCTCAATTCTCAATTCTCATGTTGGTCTACTTGCTCGATGTGAAATACGCTGCTCTTTTGAGCGGCAACTTTCTTATCAGCAACCGTAACACGTCTGACTTCCGCGTCAAGAGCTTCTTGTGGGCGAGCTGTGGATTTTGTGGCTTTGTCGCTAAAAGGAATGATAGTTGTATGGCCGGAATCCACGTCAAAGTACTCGTCAATATCCTCCAGAGTTCGGTTTGCAGTCTCTGGGTACAGAAAGTAGACGACTGGGATAAAAAGTAGATTGAAGGCAGCAAATACTGTTCTAGCGTAAGCGATTGGTAGGTATAAGAGTTATTTTTATAGGAGACCTACTGATGTAAAACCTATATCCGATGTTTCGGATGCCAGTAGGTGTAAACTGTGTGCAAACGAAACCAAATAACCAATTCGTTGCAGTTGCCGCAGCTGATCCAGTGGTTCGCATAGCCAGTGAGTTGACCTCGGCTTGGTATACCCATGGAACCATGCCCCAAGTGCAGCCGAATGCAGCATAGTAGAAGAAGAGGAACGTGATTGCAACGGCACCCCACTTATACTTGTCAGCGTGTATATAACAGAGGGAGGAAGAGAAAATGGCTTACTTGAAAAGGTGCGGTAGCAAGAAGACCAACAGCCAGGGCAACCATCACGTAAGCTCCACATTGAAGGACAAGCCCGCTCAACATGAGTGATCTTCTACCAAATCGCTCAATCATCCAGAAACAGAGCCCAGATGATATCATGTAAGAAGTAGCATTGCATCCAGTGAGGACTCTGGCCATAAACTCGCTGAGACCAATATTCTCTGTCAAGATGATTGGGAAATAGTAGTTCAAAGCGTTGATTCCTCCAAACTGCTGCATGAACTGTCCTCCGCACCCGAGTAGGAGTCTCTTCAAGTGTCCACTTCTGTCCCGGGAGAGCACAACCTCTTTCAAGGTTATGCGGGATTGCTTTTCGATGTTGTAAGCTTCTTCGATAGATAAGAGTTCATTGATGACTGTGGGATCATCTAGAGGCAAATTCTCTCCAAGGTAGCGCCGCAGAGCTTCGTGCGCATCATCTCGCATATCTTTCATCACTAGCCATCGAGGTGATTCCGGAAGAAGTGGAAGCAAAGAGCACATCACAATACATGGTACCAACTAGGTTCGGTTTGTGTTAGTATCTAAATATCTGGTAAAGTTTCCCATTTCTGACTTACTTGGAGAGCCAGTGGAACTCTCCATTGGGCTGATGTGTTGATGTAAGAGAATGCAAGAGTGAGCCAGCTTGCGATGCAGTAGAATACGACATTATGAAGCACAACTATGACAGAAAGCTTTCCTCGCCTTGGCCCTCTGCACGACTCAGCCTGGTACATTCCACAGGTAGAACTGATCAATCCTACAAATAGAGATGTTAGAGTCCACGTAGTAGTCCGTGCAGAGGAGACATACCGTTGCCCATCCCATTAATCACACGCCCAGCGATGAACTGAGGGAAATGATATGATGAGAATTGAAGGATGGCACCGACTGTTGAGAAGAATGCCCCTGCCCGGAGGGTATTTTTACGACCGAGACGATCACCGAAAAGAGCGGCAAGCAAGCAGCCTGCAAGGTTTCCAAGCTGTAATTTCTATTAGCTTCTATAACTACAGGTATATTGAAATAACACTAACCGAAAAACAGCTGGCGGTAATGCCCTGGATATCGGAGTTCTTTGTTTGTGGGAAAGTATTGATAAAGAATTTACTGATCAAGATGCCACTGATGACACCTTGGTCATATCCGTACCAAGACTGTGCAGCAGCGTTGGTAGCAGTAAGAGCAATTTCCAAGCGTCTCCCAGTGAGTTGGTTCTTGATCGCCATATTGAAGATGGTTCACCTATGGAAAAAGTCGAGATGGCCCGAGGAAAAGGAGGCGAGACTTTCCACTACTTATAGAAAGTACAATCTGACGGAAAAGGAACGAGAGCATGGAAATAATTCACCAACATAAGGTAGAACTCAATAAATACCAGGCTTTCTTGTTTCCGATACTCGTACTAGTCACCCCTAGTGGCTGGGGCAGTAGCGGGGTATGGGGTACATGACCGGGGCCTTTTTCCTGGGACTCCAGCCGAGCTGACAGCCAATTGAGGCACCAGGGGCATTGCTACTGTACTTTCGTAAAAGCCTCAAATTGCTAGACTCACGCTGCAGCCGCCGGGGAAAGAGCCCGATTCCTTGGTAAGAGTTGATAATAGCTACCAATCAAGACCAAAATCGACTGGCCATGCCCCTGAAGACTTCAACTACTCAAAGGAATGTCACAAAGTAAAAGCAAAGTATTCACACTTGTGAATTACGTGTGATTTGGCCGAAATAATAGGAATTGCTGCAGATTGTGAATCGCTTCCTTTCTTCCAAGTCTTTCCAATACGATTGATTGTCATCAGATTGGGCGCAAGTCATTCGCGAAGCAAAGTTACCGAGAGTTTTAAGCTCCGAGTCTGAGCGAGTCAAGACAGGGACAACATGGCCCGGAACCCCTGCCACATAAACGGTGTTATGATACGGCCTTTTCACGTGCTCACTTTACCGGTCCCTACATGGCCCTTAGCATGACGATGCCAGCCGCACGTATATCAACCAGATCTACATTCGAGCTGAGTAGAAATGGAAATGGCCCGGCGATTCTTCTTCCTCAAGGATCAAGTTTGCGGGGATGCGGAGAAACGTTTGCACGCATGACCCGCTTTTCATTCGCCGTATTCCCCCACCCCCGCCAGTGCCCCAAAGTGGAGTGGATTATGCAAGCACAGATTGCGGATCATCCTCCTTGCGTAGGTATGAGTCTCTACTAGAATTTACATCCTTATACAAGTCCCATCGAAAGAAACGACAAGAACGAAATTATGGAGCCAAGCAAAGTAGTGTATGTATTTCGGTTTCCGTATTATCTCCTTCCGAATTCCCCTTATCTCAGCTGTCCGAATCAACCACGAAGATGGCATACTCTTACGTAGGCCGAAAGTATGGTTCAGGTACAGGATTATACCCGGCTTCATGCAAAGGTACTTTTCTTGCGACTGGCCGAGGTTTGAGACCCCGAGATGCACCAAGTTCATTACGCGTTTTGAGTATTTCAAGACCCATGCTAATCCGGGCCGTGTACTGCTCTAGGTGCTCTTCGTGCCGTCAAAGAAAGGTCAAGTGTGACAGAAAGCAGCCGACTTGCGGACTATGCAAGGAAATCGGCACAGCTTGCTTATACGTCCGGCCCCAAAAGAAAAGGGGACTTCGCGCGGGATATGTTTCGTCACTTGAGAGCAGACTAAGTTAGAATATAGGGAAGTGCTTGGGTATGGCGCTAATAGGACAATAGATAGATTGGAACAGGAGTTTTTTGACTTCAAGTCCCAGCACCCAGCCAGTAAGGTTTAATCAAGCCTCACTAAATTTCATTATAGCTGACAGATGGGCCTAGATTTAGTTCATGCTAGTGTTTCCACCCCCGAAGATGTTAGCCCGTCAAGTCAACATGACCGGGGGTTTTATGTGTCGTCCCCGGCATCGCAAATGGACCGCTCAGTCGAGGAGTCTGAACGTGACGTCTTTTCCCAGTCAATTTTGAATGATTTATGCAATGCCTGGTTCGAACGCTACCACCCTTGGTTTCCAATTCTCCACAGGCTTTCCGTCATCGGAACAATCGAAGACACAGCTGCATTGGAGGACTCTCCTATTTACATTGTACTGAAAGCCATCATTGCTGTTACTCTGCCCCATTGGTCTTTGTCAAATCCAATCTCTCGAGAAACACGAAGTCAAATATCGGAGAAGTTTCGAAAGCAGGTCATCCTGCAAGCTATTAGTGCTCTATCACTCCCTTCTCTTCAAGCTGTCTTGATTGTAACGACTATTGATTATGGAGCTGGGAGACTTTCTGAATTCTGGAACTTGGTGGCATTATGTAAAAGGTGGGTAGTTCGCATATCAAAGATAGTTATATACTGACGCAAATCCAGAATGGGAGTTCAGCTTGGGCTGCGTGATCTCGTGGCAAATAAGTTCGACAATTTTAATAAGCTGTCGACATTGCCTCCACGAATGATCCCAGTCCCAACATCTTTGATAGAACAAGAAGAGAAGATCCGGGCATATTGGATGACAGAAGTACTCGACAGTATGTCTTCTCTAGGTGCAGGGTGGAATCTCAGCCTATCACTTCCTGAAAGCGAATTGTGGTTCCCCTGTAACGAAGCGGTGTGGGCTTTTCCGGAAAAAACGACTTCCATCTCGTCATTTGATGATTCTGAAGTATCATCTGCCTTCTCGGTTTACCTAAACTTGGTTACGCATCAACTATACCAAGTCCATCTCTTCTTACAACAATCATATGATGCGACCTCCGCAGTTGACAGAGCACGATGGCAGTCACAGTGCATAACTGTGGATGAAGCATTAAACAAATGGAGAAACTCAAATCTTGAGACGAACTATCTGGGCCACGATTCAACTGTGGTGCTAAGTGCAGTGACCTTCAATGCGTGAGTATCCTCTGGGAATGTCTCATTCTAATACTTACATGAATAGTGCTATCATTGCGTTATATCAGAGACTTGCACTTCCTCCAAAAGGTCTAGCTGAAGTTCATGGGCCGTGGTACCACGCGATACAAAGGTGTTTGAATGCTTGTGATGACATGAGCACGGTTATTCGCGCTATCAATGACGCAGATCTGGAGAACATGAGCCCGCATATGATATTTTGTATATTTGTCGCCGCAAGGTTCTACCTAGGTAAGTTTTGTGTCACTGAACTTAGTAAAGTGTCGCTGATCAAAACGAAGTTCATGCAAAAGTCCTGTCGGTCGAAATTCCTCGCTCTCTCGACCTTCTAATTTATGGGCTCAAAACCTGTGGCCAGAGGTGGTACTTTGCTCGTCGATTGGAAAAGGTATTGCATACTGCCATTGCGGAGAAACAGGTCCCAGTTGTCATGTCTGCGCTTCCACAGCAGTTTTATGATTTGCAATATTCGTCGTTGGACATTGACCATGCATTGAGTCTTTGGGCAGAAGACAGCAGGCGCCCTAGTGTTTTGTCACCCTGAGGGCATAAAATCCATATTATAAGAACCCTTAATCATCTATAATGCTAGTGAACCCGTAAGATGTGTTCATGAAGGGCCATCGCAGCTTTGGTGTCTACCCCGCTGCCCCGCCCCCTTTTTAAGCGAGTACGCCTCGTAATGATAATACACAAAGGGAGGTTTAGTGATAACACGAATACTCCGATCCCTGTGAAACGCCGCTATCAAGCCACAGATTGGAAAGATCTTTTTGGTGAAGTTTTATGGTGTGAGATTGAATTTATCAAATAATAATTTGCCACTACTTCCTCCCTCCATATCAGATCATCTGAAGGCTTATCACCACTGCTATGTCCCTATTCATTTTAGGTCGAGAAAGCCTTGTCGAAATTCGTCAGTGTGAAGCGGTATTTTACATCATTCTTCTGTAGTCTCATCACTATGTCACTTGTCAGATTCTGCCAAGTCTTCCGTTCATAGATTTTAACAACTTACCAGCTTCAGCGCACCCCTTTTCTGAGATCGGAATTCCTTCCACCCATGGATGGATACCCTTATCAGCCGCGAGTTGTAGCATTCTTAGAACCTCTTTCCTAGAACCAAGATGAGTTGCGCCGATCAAACACCCATTCTCCATGAACATATTTGACTTGATCTCCTGTCCAGCTCCCTCTGGCAGACCAACACTAATCCATCTACCGTGAACATCGAGAAGAGAAAGATATTTCCCCAAATCGAACCCATCGCTACTATTAGCAGTGTTGACGATAAGGTCAAATGTCATCCGATGAGGCTCGTTCCACTCCTTGTCCGCGGTAGCAATGAAACCGTCTGCTCCCAATTTCAAGGAGTCAGCTTCTTTGGCATGGGATCTCGAGATGACCCACGTCTCAGCTCCGAGAGCTTTCGCAAAGAGAATACCAAAATGGCCAATTCCTCCGAGCCCGACAATACCAACCTTTTTCCCAGGTCCAGCACCATTACGCACGAGGGGGCTGAATGCCGTCAGCCCTGCGCAAAGCATTGGCGCTACCTCTGTAGTCTTAAGTGCATCTGGAATTGGAAATACCCAGTGCTTCGCAACTATTAGCAAGTGGTCTTTCTTTTCGACGCTGGAATCTCGTACCTCATGGGCACGAATATGACTCGCATATCCACCTTGGGAGACGATTCCGGTATCTGGCCAAATGGCACCATAAGTGTCGATTTGGTGGCGGCAGTAGGTCTCGTTGTCATTCTTGCATTGCTTGCAGTCCAAGCACGAGTAGATCTGAGCACCTACGCCAACACGCTCTCCCGTCTTTATTAAGGTGACCTTGGGGCCAACACGGAGTGCTTCTCCGACAATCTCATGGCCGATGCAGAGAGGGAAGTGTTTTGGTCCCCAGCCGCCGGTTATGGTATGGACATCCGACCCACACACGCCACAGGCGAGGATTTTCACGTCGACATCATAGTCTCCAAACGGTTTTGGTTTAATCTGTCCCTGGATCAGTATTTGTTAAGTCTATTACAAGAAAGGATACCTACTTCTCGTTTGGTGAATGTTGTCCAAGTCTCGGAGCCATCCACCTGAAAGCCTTCAAAAGTATCGGGGTAGACCATGACGAATGATGTAAAGCTGGAATGTTCTAATGAATAGATTGAAATGTCAACTCTCTCACGCTTTATATATATATCTTGGTACCTTTAAAATCATGTACTAAATTTTATTGTCGCTAAACCTGCATTGCGGGGTGGAGTCCCGTATGCGTCGGGCCATGTCCTCTGCGATCAGGTTAGATCGTAAATTGCGGGGTGACTCCTCACTATGCTTAAATGCAGTGTATGAATCGGCCTCTGGAAAGTCTTAAAAGCTAAATATGAAACATTGATAACGAGTCGGAGCACAATGCAGCAAAATTATTACCTAGTCTCGAGCTCTGGTAGCCACCAACTGAAATCTTTAGCGATCTATTTATAGCCGCTACCCACCGAAAACTAGTGGTACTTGAGGTCTACTCTATGCTTGGATAACACTAAGTTCACAAGTAAATCATTCGGATTTATACAAATTATTGGCAGAATATTACCCCTAGACTGAAGAAGAAACTTTAATTCGCTATGCCTACTACTTTAGTCTCAATATCTGCACTGAGATCGTATTCGTTCATCTCCTCAATAGTCAGCTTCCTCTTCTCATCTTTAACCTTATATAATGGGTTTGTGGTATTGCTCGAAAATCCAATGCGTTCAGTGATATCTTCTCTCGCCCTCGCACTCGCTGTTTGTACTTTAGATGCACGGGGTTTGCGGATCTGCTCATAAATATGAAGTCCTTTGCTGATGTCTTCCGGAGAGTTCGCAAACGAGTACTTCGGGCTGAATATAATACCAAGCGCTGCAGCGTCTTCAAGTGCTTGACAGGCACCCTGACTTTGATCAGGAAGCACTAGATGAAGGGAAAGTTAGTTCTTTCCTATTCAAGGCGGTTTCGGGAGTAGAGGGGGCTTGTACTTTCAGTTTAAGGAAATTCAAGGGGGGGGGGGTTGGTGCAACATAATAGAAGAAGGCTGGGTGTAATAAAAGAGACAGTTATCCTTACTGGGATGAGCGGCGTCACCAAGGATACATGTTAATCCTGAATGCCAAATTGGATAGGGTTGATGAACAAAAAGACGCCAAGGCTTGATGTCAGTGGAGTTCTCAAATAAAGCATAAAGCTTAGGATCCAGAGTTCCAAAGGGCTCAAGAAGCTCTTCGACCGAAATTTCATGGGTCCAACCCTCGCCAGGGTTCCTTGCAATTTCAGTCGGAAAGAAACAATAAAATGAGTTGACTTGGCCTTCACGGCAAGGTGAGTACACAATCTTCTCAATTCCTTGGCCACCCCAGTATTCGATAGCTTCATTCACAGAGAGATTCAAGAGACCCAGCCTTTTCACATCCTCCGTCGAGATGATGCAGTGGAGGCAATGCGAAGTTGACTGGTTTCTGTCAGGGACTATGCCCAACGTTGTTCGTACCGTAGACCCGATTCCATCAGCGCCAATTATCAGGTCGTGTTGGGCCTGTACGCCGTTGGAGAAAGTTACGACACCGGTTTTGTGGTCGATTGAAGTACATTTGTGGTTGACTTTCAGGACAGCGGGGATACCTTCATGCGACTCTCCTACTGCTGAATCCATCAACATGGCATGCATGTCGACCCTGTGAAACATATTATAGACCTATCTCACTTGTCAGTACCGAATTTGCAACATTCCCCCACTAGCTAACACCTACATATCCCCATCTGTCTTCATAATCTGCCAGATCATAAACATTTTGGACGGCGCCAGTCTTCCAATCGTGAGCAATCAGCTTCTTTAATACAACTGGCTTTCCCAGTGAGATATTAACGCCCCACGTTTCAAGCCACCTTGTTCCGTTGGCAGCGCAGCTTATTGAAGCACCGACCTCTCCTGAAAAATTTGCTCGCTCGTAAATCGTGGCTTTGTGCCCAGCTTTTCGAAGTGAAGTTGCTGTTGCTAGACCACCTTAGAAGACATTAGTTGGTGAGATTCGAAGGCGGGGTAAAATATACCGATGCCTCCCCCAATAATTGCAATATTCAACTCCTTCCAGGAGTTATCTATTGATCCCATTTTGTCTTGGGGATTGTACAGGAGATTCAGAGAAGGTAGCGAATAATGATTGTGGTGACAGATAGATAATATATTAAGGTTGTATTCTTATTGAGGGACAATGTACGGAACAGGCAAACCTGATGTAGTTCCATGAGTCATTACTTTGATACATCTGAGTTTCGGTCATTAAGGTTGGGAGATAGAACAATAGCGGGTAAAGCTACGGTCCTCAAATTTGGACTTCCGCATCCGTCTCCGCTGCAATTCGAGGCAGATGACAGGTTTCTTGTGCCACAGCTGGGGAGCTCTTCGCCCGATAACTTGGCGCCATGCAGTCAACCCTGGAGAATGCTAGGAAGTCTTTGTTGGACAAAGAATTTCGCCGCGACTTTCCGTTCCGCTTCCGTGTTTTAGTCTCATCCGTCTTGACCCGCCCCCACTTTCGGAACAGATTAGCCAAGTCGAGTCCCCCTTTTCCAACTTCTGCTCGAAGCGTTTGATAATAATGAAGCGTACAGTGGGGTGCAAAAAGTTTGAACCCATGTCTTGAGGCTAACTTGGAAAAGTAACCGCTTGACTTGTTCACGTTAGATTTGCGCCCCTTCTAGCTTTATTAAGTAACCGCTTGACTTTTCTAAGATTAGGTTTAAAGACATGGGTTTAAACTTTTTGCACCCCACTGTACGGTAGATAACCAATATATCGAGATAATGTTCGACAGGTTACGGGATTGAAATGCCGAGGCGATTAGTCAATTGAACAAGGAACACGATACTATTTGGGAAAAGGGAACGGACATAAGTAGGTTAATCGATGTAGTTGTAATGAGATATGTAGGCTGAATATCTAAGTGTTAGAAAGTCTTCGGCGGGTTTTCAAAGAGATTTGCTAACGCTTAGGCAGAATAATCAGATTCCATTCATGATAAAAGGAATTCTGCTAAAAGTCAAGTTTATCTGTTTCTTCCTATGAATAACCATTTTAAGATCATTGTATGAATTTCCATCGTCTACCTATTCAGAGTCAGTCATGCCTGCTCCGTTGCGTGGGCATGCTTGCAGAGAACTAAAATCCCAGCCTAACCCCGAGTCGTTTACCTCTCACCATAAATAATGCTGATTGGAACCGGTGAAGTGGAAACATTTTTGGGCTAACCTTCCATCGTATTTGAGAGGGAACAACTGTCATGATTCGTGATATTTTATTTTAATGGTCCTAACGCACGTCAAGGCATATTACTCCGATGTCCGACTGGATGTTGCGTTGGATAGACTGCATGCCCGACATATAAAAGCTTCCAAACCATTGAAAGAGGACTGATAGTTATATCTACTTATATATAGTAAATCCCAGCTCTAGAAGAAAATAGATCAGTTCCCAGTACATAGCAGTCCCAGACTTTCCAGTTCGCCCAAATCTTCATCATGCCTTCAATATCCAACCACTCCATCCTCATCATCGGTGGCTCATCTGGAATCGGTTTCGCAGCTGCAAAACTCGCCCTCGAAGCCGGTGCACGTGTCGCAATTGCATCTTCCAACCCAACCCGGGTCACATCTGCTGTCACATCCCTCAAAACCTCATTCCCAGATTCGCAAATCTCAGGCTACGAGTGCGATCTCAGCCTCGAAGGCATTGAATCCCGCATCGACAAACTCTTCAATGCCGCGACAGCGAAAGGCACCACCCTTCTAAATCATGTAATATACACGGCAGGCAGAGTACCAGCAGTAAAACCGCTTGCAGAAACCGAAATCGAAGAAACCATCAAAAGCTCGCAGCTTGGTTTCGCAGCTGTTTTAGCTATTGCTAAACTAGCTCCAAGATATATAAAGGAAAGCTACACATCGTCTATAACCTTTACGGGTGGAAGGGTAGCAGAAAAACCCATCCCGACCTATACACTCTACTCTGGAATGGCCGCGGGGTTGGTTGCAATGGTGCGGAATCTGGCGCTGGATATGGCACCCTTGAGAGTGAACTTGGTCAGTCCTGGAGCGACAAAGACGGAGATGTGGGGGCCGCCAGAGAAACAGGAGATGATTGCGAAGATGGTAGGGGCGAAGGCGCTACTGGGGAAGGTGGGGATGCCAGAGGAGGTCGGCGAGGCGTATATCTATTTGATGCGGAATTCGGATGCAACAGGAAGTGTTGTGAGTAGTAATGGGGGCGCCGTGTTACAGTAAAGAATAAAGGTCTACACAAGCATGTGCATAATATCTAAATTGGCTCATTTCATTCTACTTTAAACCTCCTTTCTATATGCAACGCAATCCTGAGTCTTGCAATATTCGTGACACCTAATTTAATGCAGTATTCTTTGTCTCATCTCGACTTTGCTTAAGAAATGGCAGCAACTGTGTTCCCCCGGTTCCATGCAGATCCTTCGTCTCACCATTCGCTGATGCGATGGCCAAATTCATACCAGCTGTACTAGGCGGAACTTGTTGCTTCGAAGGGGTAATGATATATCGCGTAACAATCTGGATATGAATGTCCCGAAACCTGGACAGCTCCACGATGGCTGCATTATAAGCTTCTCCGACGCCAGCGTCAAGGCACTTATCTGCGTATTCCCGAATGTTGGAAGTTGACTCTACGTGTTGAAGGAATTCTCTATGGGGACCAGGCATGTAATTTCGCATTTCCTGCTTCTATAAGTATATGCGTTCTTCGTTGATTGAAATTTAGTTACCTGAAGAAAGCCGGGCTTCGACCCTTTTGCAGCTCCTGTCAATGAATGCTCAACTCCAAGCGCAACATCAAAGAATTGTATCAACGAGCTCTGCGCATTGCTTCCTCCACTATACTGTCTCCACTTTCCCTTGCCCTCCCCCTCCTCGTAAAACACCCCATTGGGGAGTCCAGCCAGGACCATGTTTTTACTTCCTGCGAGAAAAGGTCTGATTTGATTGTAAAAAACATCCGGATCGCACCCTTCATTCATCCTCTTGAGAATCACCCCAACTTCTCCCACGCATTTCGAGAACTTGATAAGTGCGTTTATTACTATTTCGGGTTTATTCAACTGGGCGGCATCCATGGCTTTCAACATCACAGGGATTATTGCAGCGCCGTGAGCCTCGATTGCGACGGAGATTAGGAAGAACCATTCTTCGTCTCGGGTACCAGTGAACGTGTGAAGAGTTCGAAGGTTCTCAATTTTGCTGATTGAGACCCCTGAGGATATTGAAGTAAAATTCCAGAGATTCAATGCAGCATAAGTTGCTGTTGGTGGAAGTTGAAGGTGAGAAGATACGTCTAGAAATGGGACCGAAATGGCAGCTGGTAAGTGCTGCGAGGTGTTAGTGAAACTTGAATCGGAAAGGGTAACGATTTGAGAGTAAATTGGCAATAAGATAGTCTTGAGCTGCAAGTTTGGAAATCGAGGTTCTTACCTCTGATGGACCACCAGATTCCCAGATATACGAATGTGTGAAGAATGCGAGTACGAGATACGCCCTCTGCCACTCTCTCATTGAAGTTAATCGCAAAGTTGACAATACTTCTAGCTTGTCTACCTTGCCTCTGAATGACTTTGTCTTAAGGAGGGTTGGAAGTTCGCGGATGATCCTTTCCCAGACCTCATAGTATGGGTCGCTGAGCCGTTGAAGGGGCAGTTCTTCTGGTAGAAATCCATTTTTAGAAACTCCGAACGCTTCTAAGTTGACTTTTGGCGTTGGTAGTACTGTTGCTGTGTTGTGTGGCATTTTGATTGCCGGTGACGAAATTTCAATTATGGGTGATTTCGATTATTCCTCAAATTAGAACTAGCAAGATGTAAAGAAAACTTTGTAGAATGTGCTTCGAAGTCTTATTTGGATGAAGATCTAAATTGTTTGCGCTGACTTTGGTTAAAAGAAGGGAGAGGGTGAATATATCTACAATTTCAGCAATAAGTTTCATGGATCATCCATAGATAAATATCTAATTAAAACTCTCAGAAGTGATACGATATTCCTCCGGGGTTTTTCTATCATCTATACCCACAAAATCACGGCTATAACCCCTGTTTCCAAAAGTGCTACATATTAGTTCGTGATCAAACCTACTTCGTGCTGGATAGCAAAAGCGGCACTAATTATCACCCCTTTCAAGTGGTCCACTCTGCCCTGGACATTATAAATTGGTGCCGCTTCTTCGATCCACCAACCAGCCTACCTTAGGCCCACGAATGCCCGTGGCGGGTACGGTACGGATGCGGAACTGAAGCGGATAACAGGAAACGGCTGAGCCGACGTAACGCGGTGAACAATTTGTTAGTGCAACGCCGCCTAGAAACTCGAAGAATGTACAAAGTGAGGTCAAGTTGCCCATTACAAAGTCAAAAATTATACCAGATCAAAGATATTGGCTAACTTCGAACCTCCTCTTACAACGTCAGAATGGGTTCAATTTCAACAGCAGAGCAGCAACAAATGAAGAAGCCATCATTTCCAGCTGAGGCAAACACATTAGAATTTGCCAAATCACTTGATGCAAAGGATCACCTTCGTTCTTTTCGAGAGAAATTTTTCATCCCTTCAAAAACAAACATTAAATCAAAGACTCTATCGAAGCCAGGTCAGTTTGTCACGCTTCGTAGCACGGCGTCTCTGACTCAAAATAGATAATAATGATCCAAGCATCTACTTCTGCGGAAATTCGCTTGGGCTCCAGCCTAAAGCTGTAGCAGAATATCTTCAAGTTCACCTCAACACGTGGGCAACAATCAACGTTCATGGACACTTTAGAAAACTTGAAGGTTCACCCATGATACAATGGCAACTGCTTGCCGAACATGCAGCAGAACAGGCAGCTCCAATTGTCGGAGCGTTGCCTTCAGAGGTTGGTATTATGGGCAGTCTTACCACGAACCTGCATTTGTTGATGGGCAGCTTTTACACACCTACCGCGTCCAAGAACAAGATTATTATGGAGTGGAAATCATTTCCCAGTGATCATTTCGCTATCGAGTCTCAGATTAGAGCACATGGGTACGATCCTAAGGAATCAATGGTCATGGTCGGTCCTGATGAGGGAAGCTATGAACTCTCGACGGAGAAGATTCTCTCATTCATTGATGAGCACGCTTCAACCGCTGCGCTACTTCTGCTGCCAGGCATCCAGTATTACACTGGCCAGTACTTTGATATGAAGACCATCACCAAATACGCGCAAGACAGAGGCTTAATCGTCGGTTGGGACTTAGCTCATGCGGCTGGAAATGTTCCTGTGCAGTTGCATGACTGGAATGTGGATTTTGCGGTCTGGTGCACGTACAAGTACATGAATGCCGGACCAGGTTCCATTGGTGGATTCTTCGTTCACCAGAGACATGGAAAAGTTGATTACGTGGATGATAAGCCAATTTTCAGACCCAGATTATCGGGATGGTACGGCGGTGATCAAACCGGACGGATGGCAATGGACAACAGTAAGCCCGCCCCCTAGTAGAATTTGAAATAATGAAGCTAATGAGAATAGGCTTCCGCCCAAGTCCAGGAGCCAGCGGATATCAGGTATCAAATCCATCCGCTGTAGACTTGGCATCACTTTGTGCCGCACTTTCAGTTTTGAACCAGACCTCCATGGCGGACATCCGGAAAAAGTCCGTCAAATTGACTGCATACCTCGAATATTTGCTCCTTTTCAGCTCAAGTGACAATTTCAAGATCATCACCCCTTCGGATCCTGATGCTAGAGGCACGCAGCTCAGTGTTCTTCTGAAACCAGGCCGCATGGATACACTTATGGATATGCTGGAGAATGAAGGAATCACAATTGATAAGAGGAAACCGAATGTAATTAGAGTTGCGCCTGTTCCGCTGTACAACACGTATGAAGATGTATGGCGGTTCGTGCAAATTTTCAACCAGGCTATGGCAAAATTTTGAGTAGACAATCAAAAGTTTTCGCATAGCGGTCTCTAATTTGTACAGTAAAAACCACAACGCTTGAAACCACTCAATATGACCGCTGTTGTAATTACTCAATTCCTGTAGTTGCCGAAACAGATGTATACGGACCTTGGGTAGTGCATTTCGCTATCAGAAGAAAGAATTTGAAATGAAACGATCATGTGTTGCCGTTGGTAGTACAGTAGCACCCGAAACCGGCTTTCCCAAACACACTCTTAGAATATTAAGCCCCATGTTTACAAGCGCACAGGGTTTACCGTATTAGGCTAAGCGCATTATGAGGGTAGTACTGGATGTACCACGCCATCGTCGTACCCCTCTTCTCCCTCTCCGCATACGACCTCATACCCTAGTTGTCCATATCGTGACAACCGTGGCAGGGAATCACCTATCTTCCACCCATCTCATGCCGGTCTCCTACGATACTGTAACTTTTCAAGTCTTTGTCTGACTAAGTTCTTAGATATTGGAAGTTGGTGTGACCAAGCGTGGCTTCCACTGGAGCTAATCTATGCTAGGCCCGCCTTGCCCTTCGCGAGCCTTGCAATGGCAGCACATGCAAATCAATACCACCACTACATACCTCGCTTCATCCTGAAGCAATTTGCCCACAGAGATGTTAAAACAAAGAGGCAAGAATGTCTATGTTTTGGTCCAAGATTATGCTCTAAAAGAGACATAGGTTGATACGGGATGGTCTTCTACACACATTCGACTTGCCCAGTGGACAGTTTTATCTCGGAGAAGTCGGGAAGACTTGTGGCACACAAAATCTCTACTACGACGCAAACGTCACTGATCCGATGAGAATCGAGCATCTCTTCAGCAAGCTGGAGTCCAAAACTAGCTTAACTTTTGCTAAGATCAGTACCGCTGTGACCGATGGTCTAGATCACATCGATATCTTTGAGAAGGATATTCATATTCTCTTCAAGTTTATGAACCTTTCCCTTAGACGCTCCATGCAGTACAGAGACGAGCTCAAAAGTCCTTATCGCGAGAACGACTTCATGTGTCAACAACTATTTGAAGCCTCGAGAAAGAGTGGCCGATCTGGCGATCCTGGTCAATTCTGGCTCGACCACTTGCTCTACCTCTTAGAGACTAGCCACGAGGACCTCCTCGCAGATGCCGAAAAAACTGACAGCAATGCTGCAGCAGACACGTATAAGCACTTCATTGAACGCTATGCCCTTCAGATTTGGAAAGCAGCTGATGGCTACGAGTTCTTCCTCAACGACAGACTGGTCGACTTCGAGGGCGACACACAATCCTTCTTGGGAACAGAAGTTAAAGAAACAGGGTCTCAACTTATTTGGATGACTACAGAAGACCAAATTCATCGAATACTTCCCATCAGTCCGGAAGTAGCCGTCGTCTTCTGCGACGAGTCACGATGCTGGGAGTCGCCTTTCGCTAATAGGATGCATCCGCTCAAGAAGCCCTACCCCCAGAACAGCTTGCTGAAGAACGCACCACACAAGGATATCGTCAATATCAATGTTCCAAGTCAGAGGAGAGGCAAGAAGATATGGCCCGCAAGTGTGGCATGGCGAGTGAACATCGGGACCCTATCTCGTGACCACCATCGAATCCTCGCATCCTACTCACTCAGTCACGCTAGATCATTTGTTATAGTCCGACGCAGGGCGCGATTCGAGAGAGCTAAAAGAGAACTGGAGGTGTTTAACAAGACGAGAGCTGAAGTGTGGAAGACTCAGGGGATTCGGTGTGGTGATCAGAATACCCAGCGACAACAGAAAGAAGACTCACCTCCCAGCCAGGAGCAGATAACGAGGATAGTAGGCAATCTTATGTCTGCTATCGAGGATGTCTTCAACATAATCAATACTACACAAAAGCCTCTACAAAGAACCAAGGACAATGCGCTCAAGTCCTGGTTGGCAATTCGCACACTCGAGAGTCACAGACTGAAATGTATCACAACTTCCTCATCGGAATCAAACACTGAATTTTCGCACTTCTACATTATGCACCCGGCCCTCAAAGCGGCTTTCGAAGCTGACTATCCTCCACAACATCCGGACCATAGGGATCTTGTCACCATTGACTTTGGCCAATTTCTCAGCTATGGCATCGGGGAAGAGATGTTTGCTAAGCTAACTTCAAAGATCGATTCGAAGATGTCAGAGCTGATCCATGCAGACACCTTCAATACCCACTGGGAAGCCTTCGTAACAAAATTACGGTCTCCCGAGGGATCACCAATTCAAAGTGATGAGGTCCTCAACGAACAGCCTACTCATCTTGAAGAAGACTTTCTTGGAAACCCCTCTTTCCAATCGATTTACAGGGCGGCCCAGGGTTTCGATGTTCTGAAATGGATGTTTGAAGAACGGCAAGACATTTTGGCGACTTTCATTCAGCAGATCGCGGTGCCTATGGAAGCTATGCAACCCGGCTTAGTTCGGATTCGCCTCAGGCGGGACTAATCTTAGCATAAACTGGGTGGCACTAGGGTTAATGAAAATTTTGTTGGTGGAAACCCCATGGTTGGGTTAGATGCTATAATAATTTGCAACGAGTATAGTAGTGAATTACAGTACGTACATTTCCTATTATGGTGTCGTCTTTGCGGTTCTGGATCACTATCTCAGTTGAAATACCCGGCCATTACCCATCCCGTGTTTTATAACCTCGCCATCCATCAGACCCCACACAAAACACGCCCCAATGAACAAATGATGGCCGTGTTCTTCCCGGATGACCACAGGCACATTGCAGCCTCTGAGTACACAGATCATGTCGTTGGTCTCAGTAGCAAGCGGACCTAAACCCATGTAGCCTGACTTGGATAAAATGAATTTTCGTGATTTGATAGCTGATCGGATGGTACGATAGTACCGGTGCGACTTCCGATCTTCACCAGGTCTGCGTGGCAATTGAGAAAGTTCGACATATTGCTGGAAGATATCTGGAGGTAGACGCGAGAATTCTGCCGTGGAATGATCACTTCTGTCTAAGGTTATCGTCCGGACCCAAGCATGATATTCGCTGTCGCCATTCGGATATTTTTCGAAACGCGCGCACCAGTCGGCGAGCCCATAGCTATATGACCGCGATTGGAGACTGAATTCGCGACAAATAGTATCAACGTGAAACCCATGCGCCTCTAGTGTTGAATGGTCATGGAGATAGCGTTGGATGGGAGTCGAATTGGAGGCAGCTTTGTAGAGCCCGTGTTGTACAGGAATTGTCCGCTCCCAAGCACCGGTTTGCCAGTCAGGTACCCAAGACGGAAGTGCGTCGCGGTTTCTCCTACAGTGATCATCAATTCCAGCGAGACTTAAGACCTCTAGAGACTCGTTCTCTTCAATTATCTCCAAAGCACACATGGTATAGAGTGTAGCCACTGACTGACCGTAATCAAGTCTAATGGTCCGGTTGAGCCTGTCCTTTACGAGACCCATAATTGCAAACACACGATCTTTAGGATTAGAACATTCCAAGTGTAGAGTGTCCTGCAGCACATCCAGTAGTGTTCTATTTCGTAATTGTCCGCTGTCTCTATCGTAACACCTCCATGCTTTAGACCGGCGCGAGGCGGCAAGGAGCGCAGGCCTAAGATTTGGGAGGGGGCCAGTATTGATATAATCATGTTGTAAAAGGAATTCCCATAAAGCCATAGCGGGATTCAGAACCTTGTCATATGCTATGTGATAATACTGAAAGACAAAGCTGGCTTTTGCTGCTACGAGAAGCTCTTGATACGTCCATAGCCTCTCGAACCATTTGTGCATGAGTATTTTCCCTAAAGCTCTCCAAGCGGGTTCCCGCTTGGAGCCTTGTACTAACAATCGAATAGAATCTTCCATATAGCTGTTGGCTTTGCTATCCAAGACGCGTATTAAGGCAAATGCGAGAGTCTCAATCTGTTTCCGATGACGGTCCCGCTTGGCTTCAAGCTCGCTGTAACCCAGCCAGATAACTACTTCATCGGCGAAGTGATATATGTCTCGCATGAGTGCTAATTGATCTCGCTTTTCAGACTCATCTCTCTGGTTAATACAAATAGCATCGACCCATAAACAAACGACTCCAATCTCGCGAAGGCGTCGTAGAGCTGCACGACAGTTGGGGGTTACCCAGTGCCGCTTTCCATCGATGAAGATAGGTAACTGTTCCCCCTCATCTCCCCAGACATAAGAGAGTGCCTTATACACACAGCTTTCGTCAAAATTCACTGGTTGTAGCTTGCTATGGATCGTTGAGTGGTTGCCGGTTGTGAGGTCGAGATAGAGGAGACGAATCATGCGCTTGTGTGGTAGTGGCATGTATGCGAAATCCGCGTGTGAATCCAGTACTTCAGCCATCCCTGGACGTTACTGGTCCCAGACGAGATACATATCCAAGTCAGAGACAGTAGGTAACCAAAGGCGATGCTTCGAGAAAGGGCTTGGAATTCGGCTAAGCTCGTCCTCGAATATGCCGGACAAAGCAAAAGAGTCTGCGAAACAAGTCTCTCTAATGATACTCGAGCTCGAGTTTATCGATAACAGCTTAGACAGTATGAATAGCAGCAGTTCTGATCAAGCGGACAAGCACAATGAACAGGAATTCAACTGCGGGGTTGGAATACTGGATTCCGTGAGGCTCAACGCACGGGCCTTAACCTTATTATTACAGTAACGCGGGGAACTGGCGGGTCCTCTTGCACTAACACTGAGCCTTACCTGAATAGACGAGGCGGTGCACGAGGAAAAGTGGAGTAGAATATCTTGAAAGAGAGTGCGCAGGAAAGCCGCATTCAGGTACTACTGTAGTGTGACAATCAAGGATGAGGGTTCAACAGAGCTCTTGTTTGGGCTGTTCCATTGGCAGACAATAAAGAAAGACCTGCTACTGCTGCAATAAGATGCAAGTCTGTTGTCAAGTCTTATTGTTTCTTGAAATTTCTTCTATATGCCATTGTCCTTTAACGGCTCATCATAATTGGTTCAAATTACATCAAATTGCATCAAATTGCATAAACAACCAAAGACAATGCTTACAATGCATGTACAAAGCTGTGCAATCTCGTTGCTTGAGCTTAGGGTTACATTTCCCACCACTATACCATCTCTGACTCTCCACAACACAAAACTGCATCAAGCTTTCACCACAGCGGAGCCAACTAAGTCAGAAAAGGTCCGAATCTAGCACACAGCGCCATGCAGCTACCTGAGTTCATGACCATTAGTCTTGGAGATGAGTCTAAGAGAGATTCCAGCTCTTCGGAGCCTAGCTCATCAGACGATGGCTTGATAAACAAAGTATTGCTGAAGCAACAGAAACAGAAAGTTCGCACCGACATGGCAAGAGCTTTTATCATCGGGTACGCTGATGGGATGACTGTGCCCTTTGCTCTAACCGCAGGTCTAAGTTCCGTCACAACTAGGAAAACCATCATCGCAGCCGGTCTGCTCGAACTCGTGGGTGGAGCGATCTCCATGGCGGGTAGCGCTTTCCTGGCAACATCCCAAGAGCGAGAAGAGTTCATCGCTGAAGAACGGCGAGAAAAAGAACGAATCCGCTTAGATCCTGAAGACGCGTGCTTGGATGTCGCCGAGCTGATGAGAGGCTACGAAGTGGATCGGCCCACAGTCGAGCCACTTTTGACCACACTTGCGAGAAACCCAGATTCGTTCCTGCGATTTCTGTTGGATTTCAAGCATCACATCCAAAAAGTCTCGCACGCGCGCACAGGCATCTCAGCGCTTGTAATGGGCCTTGCCTATTTCTTCGCTGGCATTATCCCGATGATCCCGTACTTCTGTATGAAGCACATCTCACATGCCTTGTATGTTTCCATTGCTGTTTCTTTCGTCGAATTCAGCATATTTGGATTCAATAACGGCTACCAAGCGTTCGGAACAGCATCTGGGGGCTTCCGAGTTGCTGGCACAACGTTGCTTGTTGGAATCGTCGCTGCTTGTTCTACCTACGGATGTGGCCGACTTCTCAATGTCGTTATCTGATAATTAACCTCAGAGCACTGTTTGAGAATGACAAGCGGACAAGAGCGTAATTTGTAGAATGGTAGATGAGAGAATGAATAAAAATCCGGAGTTTACCCCATTGAATTAAGAAGTCTTTAAAGGCACGAGCCCAAAGCTTTACAGCGCGTGAATGTAACACAATATAAAAATAAATAGCAAAAAAAAACATAAAATCTGATGATAGACAGGGCTAATTAATTTTAGAGATCCAGTACTACAGACATGAAAAACAGTGCTTGCTTCCAGGTATACTGTCCCTCCAAAACATAGTAAGGATCTCTTTCTTTCTTCCTCTCTTCCTCTTTGTTATGTAGGGCCAGCTTCGTTCTAAGAGTGCTTCATTTTTGGAAGTGAACTGAACAACAAATAACACGCCTTCTGAGTTGATTTACGAAGGATTGGGATTTTCTAGGTTCGAACATGCGATGAGAGGAATCTTTAAGTGTCTTATTTAGCTAACTGTAATAGAATGAACTCTTCCTGTCTTTATTTTGGACAATTGCATCCCCGCGCTCTCCAGACGTGATCTGACCCCACTGATCCGCTAAAGCATAATCCCGAGCGTCTAATCTCACAGCAAAGAGTAGACATGTTCGTTAGGACCGTCTGGTAAAGTCTTTTGAAACACTTCGCCAAACATGATAGTATCAACATAACATTCGCCAAGAAATCTGAAGCCAGTGCCCATAGGTCCTAAGACGTAGGGTACGTTGCCTCCGTACAGCACAACCACAATAACCACAATATCTCCCTTGCCCATACAAACTGGTCCTAATCCGTAGATACCGCCAGTTGTACGGAAGAATCGTCGTTGGTCACATACCCCTGATGATGCAACCTTGTACCGTTGCCAATCGCCCTCGCACGTAGCGATCTCGGCTGGATGGAACGTGTCATTCTGTTGGCCTGTGCGATGGAAGAGATGCTGGATAAAAGCAGTGAAATCCGCGTAGAATTGTAGCCTATCATCTTGATCAATCTCCACGACACTTTCATGGTTCTCAGTTACTCCAGATGTCAAGGTGTAAGTCATAGCAATGATAGAGGGATGCCTGCTTGGGTAGGAAGTGTTGTCTCCTGAGCAAATATTCCATAGATCGAGGATAATGTGAGATTTGGACTTCTCGTCCGATTTTCTGAACATACTAATGTCCATCATGCCAGTTGCAAACTCAATGCTATCAAGGTATATGCCGCGCAGATTGAGTCCTCCAGTGCTTGTCAACGAAAAGTCCGCCACTGCGTGACTGCCACACGAAGACCAGGATAGTGCCTCATCGTGCAGCATCATGACTTCAGTAGATGTGTCCCAGCGTGGCACCCAGGAAGGGATGCCCGCTTCATGGTATATCTCTCCATGCTTCACATAGGATAGCACAGCAAGGTTCTTGCTACTCTCGATCGCCATAAGTGCTACATCGAGATATACTTCACAAATAGACTCTTGTATTCGATTACCCACCGGTGGC